ATGTGAGAATCGAAATCTATTCGATTAAAACTGAACGATAAATAACGTGTATTTTAGCAATTTTTGCGACGATGATAATTCGATTATAAAGTCAGCTCACGGTTAACGCAATGTTACCCCATCCGTGATGGCCAGGTTTTCTTTGACCTACCGGTGATTACCATAGAACGAGCCTTGAGTTTTACATTTATTTCAATCGTAAACACTAGAATTCTCCTCTCGGCGATCGTTCGATAGGAATGCACAGTTTCACGATGCCGTTTCTGCTAGCACAACAATCGGGTCAAAACCGAAAGGGTTTTGATGCGCGGCATGTCTTCTTGGAAATCAATGAAAGGACGGCAAAGCGCGGATACGGAAATCCTCGAGTTTTCCACCGAGTTTTCACTGTTTTATTAAACACCAGCTATTTATATCGATCGACGATATTTAGTTATCGCGAAAGAATGATTTTTCTAGCGTTTCAACACTTTGTACGGCGATATTCTACGGATGCTGATGAAAAACAACGAGCTCGCTTACATTTTCGCTACTAAGAGACAAACAGTGCGCGTGTATCGATTGAAGGAACAACTACGAGTCGTTAGAATCACCTTCGCCCTATATAGCAAGTACCACTGTATCACCCCTCGACCCCTTGCTACGTCAAACTCGACGAGTGTTTGTAGAATGGCTCATAGGAGAGATCTTTGAAATTTCAATATTCTGTTAGAATAGGATTGTCAACATATTCAAATATTCTATATTTTATTCTCTTTATTTCTCACTGGACAGTTGTTATTTTATCAACTGATTTACAAATAAATTAATGAATGATAAGGGTAAAGATAATAGACAGTTGTTTGGCCGACTTTAATATGCGTGTATTCAAATTCAGGAAGTAAGAGTTTCAGTGTATATAGAATTTGATGGCCTGTAAAGTCAAAATTTATGTCTAAACCAGGGATGAGCAACCCGTTGTAAAAAAAGATTACTCATCCCTGGTCTAAACGATCGTAACGTTCAATAGGGAATACTATCGTTTGTTAGAAAAATAAGCGCTTTATTATTCGTCGGAAACTTCGTCTTCTTCTGCCGCGGCTCTTTCTTTCTCTTCCATCCTTGTCCGTGCAATTAACTCTTTAGCTGGATTAAATACACCGTTTGTTTGTACATTGCATATATAACATCTTGTGCTTTTTTTGTAATGCTCTAAAGCGCATTTTTCACAAAAATAATGTTTACATCTGAAACAGAGATGTTAATTAATCAACAGCTGAATCTCTGAGAAAAATTATACATACTTTGTAATAACGGGATCGGTAAAACTGTTCCGACAAATGAAACATTTAAACGGCAATGTTTCTTCGTCGCTGTCGATTTCGTATTTTTTATCATCCTCATCCCCGCTGTTGTTATATTCTCCTGTAGCGGCTTCTCTTTCCAATTGCCAGCCTAATTTATAATCGGACCGGTCGTGAAGAAATTTACAACTATCTGAAAATGAAATTACACTCGTTATCTCTGATACTTTGTTCGGTATTTCATTCGCTAGCCAATTAAGTACCTCCAAAACCACAAAATCCAGTTTCCTTGTAATCTTTACATATGTCTGGCTGATAATCCCATCTAACGGTTGCTCTTAGATTAGATGGCGCACGAATTGGTCCCTTACGTACCATACCACTGGAAGCATTTCCAGCTGCAGTATCTTTCTTTTTATAGTATTGAGCATAATTGTTCAAACCCCTGTAAATTTTATCATCTTCCTTTCCTTCCAGTTCCTAAAAGATATTATGCTGTGTAATTCTATTGTACTTTCAATTATTATTATTATTTTCATTGTTTCCATACTTCATTTATTTTTTGAGCCTTTTCAAACAAAGCCTGAGCATCTTTGTCCTTTTCTGTCTCTGTTTCCAAAATTGCTGTTGCCCTTTGATCGCTTGGTCCAGCTGGCATAGGGGTTCTGCTACTCTTGTAAGAAACTGTAACGCTTTCATCCTCACTGTTATCATTGTCGCTAGCTTTCTGCTGACTTTTCAATCTTCTTGTGTTAGTCTGCAAAATACTGTATTTACAAAAAGTTTCATCCTTTTATTATATTAACATCTGTTTCACAGATATAAACATAGATTTGTTCCTCGTTAATAAAAATAATATTATAACCCATAATCTAAAATACTTACGCTTTGTTTCATAGGATTGTGATCATCCTGTTTTTTTTCTTTCTTAACTACCGTTGTTTCATCCTCGCTGCTCTCTATTTAAAAAATAAACATAGAAAAAGAAGAAACTTTATTATTCGTGTGTTCGATAGATGAATAACCTATCAAGAACACTAATCAAATTTATATAATGAAATTAAAGTTTATTAGAGAAACGGAAGAAAATTTAGAATTTTTCAAACACACGTACCGTCTTCGTCGCTCGTTGCTTTGCGTTTCCTGGTTGCAGTACTTCGAATTTTCCTTCTTTTAAATAAAAACGTGCAATTCTTCTTGTCTGTTTTCGGTTCTGCGTCTTCCATGTTTGTTTTGTAAACAATCCAGTTCCAGCACTTTTGTAATCTCAAGATATAATATTTTTTCATTAATTTAGAACTGGTGGAAATATATATTTTGATCTTCTATTTAATTGATCAATACTACATTTACTCAAGTGAATTAAACTTGTGAGCAAGTACGTTTTAAAAGTATCGCATACATTTTTCTAAAGACTAGTAATAGGTTACGTTTGATTAATCAAAGACGCTGCATTTCATATAAATCCAATTCATATAAATGGAATCACAAATGAAATAATTTCATAGATAAAGAAGTGCAAATTCGTTATTGAAAATAAATCGGTAACAAATTTTTGGCGCGTTTCAGAAAAAAAAGAACAGTATGAATAAAAAAAAAAGTATGGCAATTGATTTTCAAGATAATATGATTCTGTTAACGAGAAAATATTTGAAACGTAAAATTATGTGCCCTGAAACAAAATTTAGGCATCATGTTAAAGAACGCTTGCATATATTAGAACTATTAAAGCGTACAGTAGATACGGGTGAAAGTAATTCCGCTTTGTTGATTGGACCTAGAGGTAGTGGAAAAACAACAGTAAGTTTAACTTGTCTGTTAAAATAGAGTACAATGGTTTCATTGTTTGTTCTTATGGATGTTCATTGTTCCAGCTGATAAACAGTGTTTTAAAAGAGTTGTCTTCTATTAAAAGTTTCAAGGAAAATGCATTGATAGTGAATCTTAATGGTTTGGTTCATACTGATGATCGTTTGGCATTGAAAGATGCCACTCGTCAAATGCAATTAGAAAATGTAGTTGGTGACAAAGTTTTTGGTACCTTTGCTGAGAACCTAAGTTTCCTACTTGAATGTTTAAAATCAGGTGATAAGAAACATTCGAAACCAGTTATTTTTATATTGGATGAGTTTGATCTGTTTTGTGAACATCACAACCAAACTTTGTTATATAATCTGTTTGATATTGCTCAGTCTGCACAAGTAAGTCTCTAATGCAATGTAGCATTATCATTTCTTTTATGTATTTTCATAAAATTAGTTTATCCCTTCTTAGGCACCGATATGTGTGATAGGAATGACTTGTAGATTGGATGTTATAGAGCTTTTAGAAAAGAGGGTAAAATCAAGATTTTCTCATAGACAGATATTTTTATTTCCTGGTGATACATCATCCTCAGAGCAACCAACATCTGGCTTTGATAGTCGTTTAGAGCTATTTCAACACCTTCTCAGTCTTCCTGATGATGAAAATGTAAATAGGATAGAACAGCAATACGATGATTGTACAATAGATCCACAGTTTGGATCAATGTGGAATGAGTATATAAAAAGTTTAGTTAATAATGCTACTATGGTGAACTTGTTAAAGAGATTGTATCAGATAGATATAAGTGAGAGAGGCTTTAGAAATTTTTTGGCAGTTGTGGTTTCCACATTGTCAGAAAAACATCAGAGATTAGAAGTGAATGATTTTGTAGAAGCAAGTAAAATGTTTTCTCAGGATGACAAAGTGCTAATGCTCGAGGGATTGTCTGTTATAGAGATGTGTTTAGTAAGTGTATTTGTTTCTGTTTCTGGTTCTGTTGAAACAGAACATATTTTCATTGTATTGTCATTTTATAGATAATAGCAATGAAACACGAAACAGAGATTTATGATGGGGAGCCATTTAATTTTGAAGCAATTTATAACAGATACATTAAATTTGTTAATCAGAATTCTTTTATGCAGAGCGTTCAGAAGCCCGTTATTATGAAAGCTTTTGAACACATTAAGGTAAGAATTGTAAATAGGATTGTTCTTTTGTTATGAAGTTTGAATAATCAGTCATGCATACAATTTTCTTAGAATTTAGAATTCTTACTGCCAGTGGGTGGCATGAATTCCAAAGTTGAAAAAGAGTATCAGTATTATAAATTTGTACTCACACCAGAACAGATTATGGAAGCTGTGAAAAATTATCCTGGATTGCCAACAGAAGTTTCTCAATGGGCTTTATCTAGCGTGTAATGACGATGATTATCAAAGTTGTAGATACTAACAAATTTTGCGTTCGTAATGCATCAGTCTTCTATAATTTTAGAATATCCATTTTGCTACAACTAATTATTAGAGGAATAGAATGTTTATTTACATGCGATATATATATTTTTTTTTTCGAGCGTAAATGTGTGTTCATTTCAAGAGTATATGCTTCTACATATACTAAGATTATACGTATAAGCAAATTTCGTAGTTAAAAAATGATGAAGTATTTCTTTAAAAACTGCATTTAGGTATGACAGTTTTACAAAGAATCGTTGTTTGCATTTACTACTACACGTGACAGTTGAATTTGTAAATAGATTTTTGATGTTTGAGAACATTGATTAAGGTAGATGAAATTGTTATTTTGTGAATATCCGTTACTACAGTCTTCGATTCCTGCCTATAATAGCATAGCAAAACGTCCGATATTACGTCCTTAATAAGTAATAAAGACAACAAATAACTTTTCATAACAATATTTTATTTAAAATTAACTATGATAGAAGTAAGCTCTGTATATGTGCCATGCTACTTATCGAGCCATTCAAGGTATAGATATATTACGTATATATGTACTGTATCTGTGATTTTTCAACAGGATTATTTCCTTATACATTAGCGTGCATAATTTTCATATATGTAACTCTGTATAAGATTTTGATTATTTATTACAGAATGTGTGTATAGTGTACGTCTCACAGTAACGTGTGAAAACTGAAAACGAGTTAGAACGTGTATGTATGTGAATACATTTATACGTTTCTAATAAATTAACATTCGATAAATTGTTAAAAAGCATTGACAAATATTAATCCATCCAAGCGAAATTTGGCTTATTGCTTCCAGTTAATACTATGTCGGTAATAGTATTTGTTTGAGGAATCTTCGATAAATTTTTTCCGAGAGAAAATCGTTTTTTCTGTTTTAAACGATTTTTACGATTGTATCTTTCGATATACGAATCGTGACCTGTCGTAAATAGATTTGTATAATTAATTGAGAAATATTTATTAATTGCATATCTTACCAGGATTGATTCCTACAGGAGGCACGTTATTTAATTCATGTTCTTGTGAAAATGGACGAATAGCAGACATAGCTCTGCTTACTCCAATCTAGAAATACAGATAACGAATCTCGTAATATGTGAAATTTTCGAATTATGATTATAGAAGAATTTCAATAAAGACCTGTATATGTCTTATTCGATGCTCTACTAAATCTGCACCTAGAAGTTCTTCGTGAACGCTCATTCTAATTGGTATAATTTTGTTTATGAACTGAAACAGTGAAATGATAACTGAACCATAAGTTTCAATTTGGAGAATTTCTTTGAATGATAGTTCATACAACTTACCCATAACAAAGCTAGAGATACAAGAAAACTCCAAAGTGCTAAACATATAACAGTTAGACATTGTATTCCTAATAAGTACCAACCTCCTCCTATGGAAAGAAATATTTAGCATAAAATGTATTTGATTGAAAACAAGAATCCATTATTGCAAACCTTTGAACAACCCTTTTCTTCCTTTGGTAGTATTAAGAGGATATGGGTTGTCAGCAAATAGACCGATAGCAATGATACCCCAAACTCCACTTGCACCTATATTGGAAGACAAACGATTGAAAAGCCAAAATAGAAAGAAAAATGAAGGCTAAATTAAAATTAAAACCGTGTGTTGCACTAGCTCCAACAGGATCGTCGATATGTATTTTATCTAATAGTGGCATTATGAAGCACGTGATAAAAGCACCGATCATTCCAACAAATATAGCTTCCCAGGCTCTATAAAGGAAACAACCGCCTAACTGACATTGTAGAAACAGCAGTAACAATTTTCTTCTAATATTGATAAATGATAGTCTTAATAAAACACACCTGTAACTGCAACCAGTGCACCAAGAATACCATTTATCTGGCTCAAAATATCAATTCCATTTGGATTATATAAACTGAAACCTAATCCAATTAAACCACCTCCCATGCTAGCTAGCATAGTAGAAATCGCTGCCCTAGCTGCATATTGCCATCGTTGTCCGCTGACACCGTATGTACTGCCACTATTGAAAGCTAACCAGCCCCACCTTGTATCATTATTTCTTGTTTTATAATCATTCATAATTGCAAGTCTCTGATTGATTAATTGCCGATTATCTTCTACTTTACCAAAGTACAAATAAGCCCATAATGGCATTGACCGGACATCCAAGAGGCAATGGATCAATTCCTTTGTCGTATCTGCCCAGTCTTGGTCCTAACATAATGGCACATGCAAGTGCTAGAACAGAGTAGTATCAAGAGTGGGAAGATTTTGATAAAATGTTCACACTATTTTACCAGAAATGCCTCCAACAAGATGAACTGCTCCTGAACCAGCAATATCAACAGCACCTAAATTTTTTAAGAACCCATGATCACCCCATATCCATCCAGCTGGTACGCAATATACAATGGTGTTTAAGAAAGAAAATAAGCAATACGCTTTAAAATTGCATCTGTAAGCACAGTGTTCAAGTAAAATAAATTAAATTATCTCATCATTTTTCATCATAATTACCGTTCGGCCATAGCACCGCTAACGATTGTTGTTGAAGTAGTTGCAAAACTTAATTGAAACAAAAATGCAGCACACTTTGGACCCATAAGTTCGTCATTTATGGAAGGATCTATCAGAAATTCACCCATACCGATAACAGGATTGTTTAATCTTTCTGATCCGAAACTCATGGCAAAACCAAATGCCCAATAAGTCAGTCCACCAAGTACTATATCTACTACATTTTTCATCATAATGTTAACTTCATTTTTTAAAGAAACGCATCCAGATTCCAACATACCAAAACCTAAAACATTAAACGTTTAGAATTCTATAACAATCGCGATGCCATTTCAGAATTTTACCCGTTTGCATAGTAAAGATTATAAAAGAATTTGTCACAATCCAGTTGGTGTCTTCTTGATTAAGATTGTATGCAGAAGTAACGTACGTTTCGTTAATTGAACTATTTGTAATGTTTGTTCCATTACTTTCTAATTCCATTTTATTTGAAGACTTCTTTCGCTAAAGCATTAGCATCAACTAGAAAGTATCTTCTACTTGTAGTTAGGAACAGCAGTGTCCCTGTGGAAAACATGTTAAAAATGGATGAACCAAGAGCAAAACACGTTAACTATGAATAAAGTGCATAGTTTCAATTGCTTTCTTTAAACGCGAAGACATCGTGTTTCGTAGAGGATATCGTAGAAGCGAGTAATTTTGAATAGGAAAATAATTTTCATACAATTTGTTTTTATAATTTTTTTATTGGCCCACATCCAGCCGTTACAAAAAATTTTCACCTCACCACATATTCAGCAAATTCTTTCCATTTCTTTATGACTGAATAACATCAAATCATGTGAATATAATAGAATACTAGCCTAAATAAAAGTAAACGATATCACATGAAACGTCTACGTAGAATCACGAATTTATCGCAAGATAATTCTATTAATGTACGTAAATATATTTTTTTAGCAATAGTAAAGTTAGTTGTCGTTTTGTAATATAAAGAATATTTTTGTTGAAACAGTTTTTCAAATTTATAAATATCAGGCTAGACATGATACAAGATCACATTACATAGCTCTGATTAATCCTTCTTACGTCCTATTACCCTAGGCTTCCTCGATCGGCGGTGAGTGATGGAATCAAAGGCAAAAAAAAAGAGAGAGAAAAAAAGAAAAAAAAAAAATACAACGTTCGCATAGTTGGCAGACGAACATGTCCAATTTATCTTAAGGAAGCAAACTTAGTTTAGTGTGCGGTGCTAGGATTTAATGTTTCACTCAAAAGATTGAAAGATATAATTTTGTTAATACTTCCAAAAGCATCTAAAAGGACTACGTTGTAGATGGCAAATTTTTGTTGTCCAATTTTTTATTTTAATGTCTTCTGTTTTGTGATTTAGTGTCCATATACATTCTCGTCACTGTATGCCATATACAGAAAGAAGTCTTCCTCGTGGTGTTCCTATTAAATTTATTATGATATTAAATAGAAATGTTATAAATTTCAAAGAATCATTAAATCATCGATAATTACCGCGTAGAGGGAACCCATAGTGGCGCTTGTCGGGGGAATGATGTTGTTAACAAAGAAGAATAAAGCATCTTCGGGACGAAGATGAATTCGTTTACGGATTAGAAAGTAAAATTGACCTACAGTCAAATCAGATGGTACTAGGTACTTTTGCTTGTCCAAATCGCTAATTTTAGCTTTTGGTGCTTTCTCAACAATGACCTATAAAACAAAAACAAATATTTCATTGAATGATGTTAGTTAATTAAGACTATAACGCAGTTACAGGTTAAGTGAAATATAGATTTTTAATCATTCTGTCAAATTCTTCTTCCTTGTTATCTAAGCTATAGATTGTTTATATCTTGGCTCATTGTCAAGATCAGAAAACAAGCTTCAAATCCATGTTTGATATTATATGCATTTGATACTTATCCAAATCTCTAAAGTAACAACAGCTGATCTATATTTTCAAATGTTTCATCCCACATAATAAAAGAAACTTAAATAATAAGAAAAAATCTCGTATGTTTAAATTTCCCGTGCATTTAATAGAAAGAAAAGGTATTTCCTGTTTCCTGTTACGTTTTGTCGATTGTGAATGACCAACTATGGAGGAAAGCAAGATCGATAGATTTAATGAAAAAGCGAAACAAACGAATACGAATATTTCATTGAAATTGTCATCAGCGTGTAAATTAATAGAATAATCTCAATATATGAACATATGCGGCGTAGATAGTGTCGACCTTGTTCAATTCCAGTGCAGGAAATTCTGCGAATATGATCGAGTCACAAACGATATATCAAACTCGTCCGCCTGTACCAGTTAAATGTTTTTCCTCATAACGAATCAATTATTTTTTCAAAATAGCTCATTCGGTTTGAAAGAAAGGAGAAGAAATTTCATCGTCAATTGACAGAATGATTTCTCGAATGAGAACTACTCACGGGAACCCTGTCGGGATATTTTCGTCGAATTTTTTCGCCCTCAGCCTTCCTCTTTTCAAAAGGGTGTTCCTCCTTGTAACGAAACTTCATTTTTTCTTTCTCGTAATTGCACGAACAGTGCAATTTAATGAGATCGTGTTCCGCTACTGATCTGGGTGGATGTTTTGTCTATCGATTTCACACGGATTTTGCTGATTCCGAACTGGAAAGACGGCGACACAATACCTCTTCTATACTTCTGTCACAACAATCACCGTGCGTCAGATCGTCTGCGCACTACGGACGTTTTTCCACTCTACGCTATCACCAAATAGTCCCTCGAGATTTTCTCTGAAATTCGAAGAAAATTAAACAGAGAGATCGAACGATATCTGAAAATAATTTTTGTTCGTTTGAATGTGCTTTCAAGAGTTATCAGTATGTCTCTTTCCGTTGGAAGAAGAATGGTTTTACTGACGTATGTGATAGTTAAGACAGGACTGTCTCTATACTATTCCGTACCTTGCATACACGTTACATATATTACTTAACATTATGTTAGAGTTGCAAGAGAAACTTGGTGAGATTTTTAAACTAAATTTAATATTTTTACATGTAGATATATTGCCTATGAAAAAAAAGAATTTCTTGTGTAATTAAATCATTTATTGCAACATAATGGGTATGATTTTTTTCCTTTTTTTTTTAATTTTGTAATTTTAGTTCATGATTAGATATTATTTTATTGGTTTGATAAGCTACTAATTGAAGTAGATGCAATGAAACTGATTAAATAATGACAATTAGAGTCCTCGAGGTGGGGCTCTAAAGGAACCTTTAATTGATACGATTTTCTGAATGATAATGAATGACTTCTGTTTTTCATTTCATTGTGTAAGGTGGCGCATTCTTTTATATTCTAAAGTTCGCGGGAGAATTACGATGCATATTTAATAATGAACAGCTTCCTTTCTTTTCCTTATCGCGATAGCTGTGTTTACCTTTCGCGTTGATTTCTTATTAACTGAAATATATTTTAATAAGATTAATAAAAAGAATAGCGAAATTAAAAAGATATAGCCATATTATTTTCATTATTTATTAATAGAAATATGTACAGATGTTTCTGTAATTGTGTATAGAAGTTTATTCTGCGTCTTCTTCGTCGTCGTCTTCTTGGCTGTTAATCTGGAAGTACCTTAATTCGTAGGTGTCTTTGTCTTTTGAAACGACACGCAACCAATCACGCAATTTATTTTTCTTCAGATACTTCTTTGTCAAATACTTAAGGTACCTAGATGAACATGTTATAAAATTAGTGCAAATATCGGTAATCTTGTTGGAAATAATGTCAGTTCCGAACAGTTGCTATATAAGAAGAGTTTTTCTTTTGGAAACGTGGATAATAATTTGAAATACACGACAACACCCACCGCTTAGAGAAGTCGATATCGCTATTGACGGACAATTTCATCTTATCGCGTTCCAGTGTAACACTGTTACCAAAGTTATTGGTTTTGCCTGAAACTTTGATCCTTTCGTGCAAGTATTTTTCCTGTAAAAATAAAACATCGTTCATATAGTATCGGTCACCATGTTTACGCTAGGTTATGATGGCTTCCAAGTATAATATGTAAAGTATAAATAAACGATATCTTCAATTCAACTATATACAACATTGAATTGTGAATTGAAATTATAAAGATTAAAGGAAACTCACAAAATTGGCTACGTCCATAATGTTGTCCTCTGCAGGATGTGTACAGTCAATGGTAAACTTAAGGGATACCTTTTTCTTTTGGCCTTTACCCCGAAGGGCTTGTTTTTTGATGGCCGGTCCTTTAGTCTTTTTCGCGATAGTCTGAAAAACATGTGATTTTTCATTTTAAAGTTGTTTTAATTAAACAATGCCTTAGTTGAGCAAGACACATGTGCTAGCCACTGAGACGACGTGACCCGTCAAGTAGTTTACATCCAACTAAATCTGTGTAATCGTTTTGAAAACACTAATATAATTATATCACAAATGAAGGCAGTAATACATCGAGTTATATTTTCATCGAATTTTCAGTAGATCTCTATGCATCCCTAAATTATTTTCATTTATTTTGCGAATAAGAAACTCACCGGAGCCATGTTTACAAATGGTCGACAAATGGAAGAGCCTACCACTAGGAGGCAGTACGATCGTAAATGTTCTCAGGGACGTACCTATATAGATCAAGTGGAGCCCTTCGTTAAAAAAAAAATTGTTCACCTGTAATTTTTCCGGTTCCGTATCAGATATAGTCTTGGCGGTAATCTTAATCGTGGTTTTACGATTGCAATATTCGTAATACATAATCTATTTGATGAAAAATAAAAGAATAGGATAATAGTAATAGAGCATATCTTTTATTGTTGTTGTTGTTGTCATAATTGTGTTTATTTAAGACTAATATACAGTAACATCTAAAACTAGATGAACATAGATTTCTCGATCAGTAAATCGAATGACGTTCAACTGAATCAATTATCGCGATTATTAATCGTATCTCTATACTTTGTAATAATATGTTAACTGCCTATGTGGTGAAGCCTTTTTTTTTTTTTTTTACGTATAATTATTCTCGCCATACTTACAAACCTCTTAAATAATCATTCTTCTATTATTCGGTTGGTGGATACAATAATAATAATAAGCTTTCTTGGAGAAAAAGGTGGGGATCAAGATTCAAGGATGATTACGTTTTAATTGCATTTTGAGCAAGGAAGGTATGTCTCGAGAGATCGATTTTGCAGCTTGAAAACTAACGATAAGTATCTATTATTTGCAAACCGAATCTTATTTTCATCGATTTCTCGTCGATAAAGCTCGACCGCAAACCCTTACGAATTTGTTCGCTTAAATTTATTATCTCTCCTCATTTAACAACGCGATGATTATTGGATTTTATTCTAACAACAACAAGGTAGATGTTTCTCAATCTTTCGTGTCTCTGTTTTCAGAATTTACCGATTAAGATTTTCTTAGAAATCTATTAGAGCACATAAAGATGGTACGTAATTACAAATGTGAATTATTTCATCTATGATATTCATAGTTTTCACACAGAAACTGAATGGATAGTTTATTAATTAGGCCAGCAAAAAAGAAAAAGTATTAAGGATTCTTCGATTATCCTTAATTATTAAAAGAACTTTTATATTCGTTCTTTCTTTGATGTTTTATTTTTTTTTTTTTTTTTTTTTGAACTAAGAATTTACCGATAGTACATATTAAAGAGTTATTTGGTGATTACTAAGTACAGTGAGCATTTTCTTCGGTGCGATTCCACACGTAAAAATAATAGAAAACCTTTGTCACGATTGTATCCTCGAACGTTTCTTTTCTTTTTTTTCAATTGTAGTTTATCGTTTCTGACTGTATGTATAAATAATTTGATAGTCAACCATTGAACTTATCGTACAATATTTAACTTTACATCTGAATAACTACCCTTTACGAAGAAAAGGAAGTACATATTAGAGAAAGAACGAACGAGGGTGTTTCTAACAAGTTTTTGTTATATCCCTTCCCAACGTGGCTAACAGTTTCAAGGTGGTGATGTTCACATTAATAAAGAACAGTGAAAGCTATAATTATACAATATCTATAAGCTATAAATTCGAATCCATAAAAACAGAGTTTGCAAAAATCATCTTCCTCGATTCTCGATTTTATTCACGACAAATTGCTAATCTTCCCGCGTGAATAATGAAGAATAATAAAATTTAATGTTAACAATCTCTCTTTCTCTCTCTCTCTCTCTCTCTCTCTCTCGTTCTCTTATACTCTTTCTCTCTCTCTCTCTCGCTCTCGCTTTCTTTCTTGTTCGTATTTACTACATATTTATAAGTCACGTTATTTATATGTATTTTATGTATTATGTATATATGTATAGTTCATTCTTACATTGACAATTCGTAATAATTTATGTACATGTTACACGTATATACGTAAGATACACATGTTTATCCACCAATTCAGTGGACGAGTAGTTCTCCACGGTTTCTTTCGTTTCCCTCGTATATACCCGATCTTTCTGTTTCTCTTTATTCAGCTATGATTAATTACGAAGGAATACGTGTGGAGGAAATTCGATTAGCCGAGAACGATGATACACGCAAGAATTGTACCCCTATCTAGATAGATTGCTATCTCTGTCAGGAAATAAACGTTCTGGAGGGTCGATCAACTTTCTTTTCTATTCGGCACTCTAAAGCCTAAGTTACATTTGTAGAGTTAAACGTATGTTACATTGGTAGAATATGGGGTAGAGTATAGCAGCGTTAGGAGGTTGATAAATTATACTATAACACTATCGTTGGTATACCGAATACTCCATTATTTATTCTACCAATGTGACACAGATGTTAACGTTTGCCATTTCGTTCCTAAAAGCTACGCGAAACTCAACGTTTGTAGCCGTATATTTTAACACATTAACTGCTTTCACAGGAACTAGTATTCGCCTCGTTTTCACATTTAGGCATATTCGAGACTTGATTGATTGAGATCGTGGAAGGAAAAAATGGGCGCTCGTTCGATCATGGTAGAACAGCTTGCGGTTCGATTTCCACTGGTTTTTCTTCAATCGGGGCAGTTAACGCGTTAGCTGTTCGTTCCTCGATTAAAACGTTTATTTCATCGTTAACCGGTTCGATGTTCTCTTTCTATCTTAGGATCGTAATCAGAAGAAACCTATTGATCGAAGGGTTTTTTTTTTTTTCGCACCCTTTTCGCTTGAAAGCATTGATATTTTTTGATGGATCGGTTGACGACTCGACAAGTTGTGCTCGAGTTTGTTCAGTGTTTATTGTATCGTTTTTAATATCTGTTGGATAACTAAAGTGTTTGTCGATCGACTTAATGAATTCCAATCGAAAAGGGTTTAATTAGATTTCAGTTTACTTTTTTCCTTTGATTTTCACGCCAACAAATATCGCGTTGCTCGCTTAAGATTAGCTTGGAAAAAATTCTTATTGCGGTACGGTGCAGAGGTGTTTATCCTGTTTACATTACGCTGTGAATGCCATTCAAATTGCCGACTAACGCGGCACCAGCAGCGGTATTTGATCCACCGCTAGCAGGTGCTGCTGGTGCTGGAGGAGCAGCAGGTGGTACCTGGCCTGGAACTCCTGGTGGTGGGTAAGCATAAGCTGGCGGGGGTGGTGGTGCTGATTCTGGCATGAATTTCGCTGGAATTGGAAATCAGAAGGATTAGTTCGGATCAAAATATCATTGCTGTCTTAATCAGAGTGTTTAAACAGAGGATTCAACATTTACGACATATCAATTAGATTAAATTAGATTATTAAACTGATAATTAACTATACTTTTATAATGATTTGGTTTAACGACTCCTGAACCCTGTTTTAAATACTCTTATATCGTTTAAATGTTTAAACAGTTACAAAATTATTGTAACAGAGAAGAGTAGTTTGCGTGTAAGAACGAACCAAGATTAACAAAGACACCTAGTCCCCTTCTGTACCTCATCACTTACTTATTATCATTATCATTAGGTACAGACGAAGATAGAGTACACTTAAAGGAAAATATAGTGAAAGAACATTTATACAGCTAGAGTTCATTGTTTTAATCCTTCTTAAACCTATCATAGTATGTATTAGAAAAATTGAGTCACGTTAGAGATTCCTAAGTTAATTTTTCAAATCATACAGTTGTGTGGAGGAGAGACTGTGTGAGTGATAAATTTCGGAATTTTTCAATTCGAAAGCAAACTTAAAATTACAAACAGCATCATTCCTTTGTGAGTTTCGAGAGAAATAAAAAATAAGATGGTTCGGTATTTAATTGGAACAAAATAATAGTTATGTATCTGTCTGCTTATTGGCTAATCGGTTAGATAAATGTATTGCCCTATAATTATAATCAGAGCACAACCTGATTATGATTGAACGTGACGAAAATGACACAGGTTATCTCTTGAAACGAAACGTACATAATTAATCATTAGGAAGAGGAGGTATAGAGAAAGAAACAAATAAAATGGAAAAGAAAAAGAAACAGAAAAAAAGGAAGAACATTTTAATATTCTTACCTCCTAGTGGAGTTAAAGTTATAATAGGTTCTAAAATGGTCCTCTTCTCCATGGATGTGAAGAAATATTTTTTCTTTAGTGATCAACAAGCTCGATCGAGCTTTTAATGTTCTTTATTTTTCTGGCCACGACCGTGATCGAGGTGAATGTTTCTTCGCTGATTAGTATCTGTTTCGAATTGATTAGAAAAATAAAAAAAAATAAAAAGAATAAAAATAAAAATAAAAATAAAAGAAGACGAAGCGAAAAAACTGAAACCTAAACACGATCGTATCCAAAATATTGATGCATATAAAGTTTCCACCTTATTTTCTTTCCTTGCTCTCCACAGCTTGTCTTGTCTTTTTTTTCTGATTACGCACTGTAACTTTTTATTCGATACTGTACAATGTTGAAAGCAGCATAATTATGGTCATAAACGTCGTTAATAATTAACAGGTCGACGGTCAAGGTAATCGCATGACGGTACACCTATGCGTTTAATAAGTTCATAAATATAGTTTTTGATCGTTTTTAAACGCTTATACGATTTCTAAGGGAAATCGCACTTGAAACTTTTTCTCTTCCTCTCTGAACAACTTTCCTGATCCCTTTCTTCAAATAAGATCACATTCAATGGAGGAATTTTAACAATGATGTTTTCATTGAAATTGTTCTGTCAAGCAACTGAAATGATTGATTATTGATGGGAAATTGAACGATGACGCGAAGAAAGGGACTTAAATTCCAGTTATTCGAACACGATTACAGGTGGAAACAAGAGCAAACAAATAAAAATCAAAATGGAACCTCAAGCTGTTTGAAAAATCACGGTATTGAATATCCTTCCCTTGATTTTTTTTCTTTATGTCGAGCAGGCGATGAGAGACTTTGAAGATATCGTTTCCTCTGTGGAATGCGATCTTTCATTTTTTTAAATATAATAATTTTATGTTCCTATCAAAGTAAAATACCACATTGAAGAAACATCGGTAAAATTCAGGATCAGATCCTTTGATAGATTTTGTTTCATTTTGAAAGGATAAGCGATTGCAATAGCCGATCTATAAATGAATAATTTCGTATGCAACGATCTGATAGATTCCACGGATTCCACGGTGGTCATCAGCTTGCTCGGTTCTCGTCGTTAATGTTGTATCTTCGCTATTATTATCGTTATTGTTGTTATTATTATCGTAATTATTCTTATTATTCTTATTACTGTTATTATTATTATTATTATTATTATTATTATTATTAATATTATTTAACATGTATACATAACATCTGTAGATAATTCTTCAAGCCTTAAAACGAACCTATATAAGCGCCTCGAGCAAGTCGAAGCAACATGTCTTTCTTTTATCTTTCATTCAACGCGTTATTATTTTATTTCATTCTCCTTTTATCTTGGTATTCTCTCACGACAGATTTATTTTCTCCGTTTCTTAGCACAGGTTGCTCGGAAACGTTTGTTGCCGTCTTCGACGAAGGCAGTCTGCTTCTACTAATTTTTATTCATATATATTTTTAGCATTTTTTTTCTTTTTTAAACTTCTTTTTCCCCCAATTTAATGAAAGGATATAGAGATATATATGAACGAATAAAGAATGCTCGTAATTCTTTCTCTCTCACACTCACTCTTTCTTTCTTTCGTTCATTCATTATCACGCTCACTAATTTTGCGTTAATATTTGTTTAATTGTCGGCGTTTGGTCATAATCGAACGAACGTGAAGGAGAAATGATATTATTTACAGCACGAGATGTACACACACGTTACGAACCGAGCGTGCGATCCGATATCTCTTATTAGATTTTTCTTATTTTCAATCCTTGACAAGCGTAAAGTTTCTACCGATTTCTCGTCAATCTTTAAACAAAGAGAAAAGCAGCGAGGAAAGAGTGAAGGAAAATTGAAAATTTCATCGTTTCAGAATATTTTCTTCGTCTCGTTGAAAATCTTTTCAAGCATACTTTTAGCTTTGCTTCTGGATCACACGCTCTCCCTCGTAACTTCATACACGTTTTATTTATAAAGTAAACGTCGATATACATTTATACACATATATATTTATTTATATTCGGCACTTCTTTACGAAGGAAAGGGGGGACACAATGAACATTCCCTATGGTATATGTACTTTCTGCCTTCGTCGATGAGGATCCTCTCATGTTTTATCTGACACCCTGTATCGCGAGATATTTTACTGTGTTTTTTTTTCTTCTTCTTCGATTTTTTTTTTCCTTTCTAAACTCTCTTCAATCTTTTGTACAACACTGGCCATCGTTTGTCGCGTGGGTTGATTTGGATAAATGAACGAAGGAAGGCAAGGATCGATTTTCAATGTTACTGATCAAAAATATTCGATGTAAAGATCGCATCGTTGAATTAAGAGAATTATACGTTGATTTTGTTTCATTTGGTAGGAATTTTTCAAAGCCAACCTTCGTTCATTCGTCGATGTTCGAATTCGAATAAAAGTTGCAAGAGGAACCGTGACTAAAGTTCTTTTTTTATTTTTTTCTTTCTCTTCGATAAAACGTAGCACTCATTCCTGCTTTCGATCTTCTTTCTTTCTTTCTTCTCTCCTTTTTTTCATTGAATCTTCGAAGATCAAAGAATCTCCTCAGGGTTGTTTCTCAAGAATTCGGCCTATTTTTTTATTCGCCCTTCTTCGTTTTTCTTTTCATCATTATGATACTTTGTTGTTGTTGTTTCTGTACGTAGATTTTATTCGATCGTTTTCTCTAGCTGCTTTTACACATTTAAATTCCCGTTGTTTTCCTTCCTGTTTTTATTTTTTTATTTTGTTGTTGTCGCTGTTGTTGCTGATGATGCTGTTGCTGGCTTAACTTTACTCACGTGTTCAGTTTTGCGAGTCACTGCCGCTGGTGGCGCTCGCTGAAAAGAACAACAGGCGATTGTTTTTTCTTTTTTTTTTTTCATCCCTGCCTCTATCCAAACGATCACTTTTTAACAATTTTCACCTCCGATGTTTATCGTTTATCGTTCGTTTGTATTTCTAGATCTTTTGTTTCTGATACAGTCTGCATGCATAATTTCAGACTATTATCGTCGCGGACAAAGATCAAAGCTTTATGATGAAATCGTCAAATCGTGTTAAATTCGATGTTCATTTGTATTTTGAATGAAGCTAGAATTTAGCAGCTGATACTTTATATCTTTGTCCACGAGGCTACAGATTTTTAACTAAATTAATTCTACACAGAAATCCATATTTTGTTTCAAGCATATCGCATGCAATTTACGATTACATTTAACACTCGCTATTTCTCAAAACACGTCAGACTATAACACTGATCGTTCGATAGAAACGTGCTATCTTGAATATTTTACTCTGTAAACTTTGTTCAGAGTATAAAAAAGTTTCTTTTGTTCCTTCTTTTTCTTTGCAACGATCACTGTAACTTGCTGCTAGCCTGTTCGTCATATGTTAACACGTTTTCTTTAGCGAAGAAGCCATGCTTGATCACAGAATATCTATTCATCTACGTCTATCGGAACGTAAAAACATAAAAACGTCAGCATGCTTTGTAAATTGTTGCAAGCAACAGCATTGAAGATCGTCCCAGAAATTCGTTGAAAGTCGTTGAAAATAATAATCTCTTGAGACATATACGCATTTATAATGCATATATTGTTATGTAGCTTGTATATTCTGAAACGGTGTTCGAGTTTAAGAGAACGAACGAAACCGATACCGATACCTATACCGATATAACGAAAGAAGAGAAAAAAGAAAATTTCATGCTGAAACGAATATGCAGAAATTTTGAATTCGTGCTACGCACAGAAATTGATTAAATTGCTCTCTTCTACGCGCAGAAAAATGACGAATAATTAAAATAAAATGAAAGGAAAAATTCTTAGTATTTTAGTTTTCAATAAGAAATCGAAGAAAAGGGTTATAAAATGAAATGATACCGATAAAGTGCAACAATAAAAGTTGTAGCTTACCGTACCGAAGAGAAGACAGTGAGGGTTAAACAAAAACTTTTTTTTTTTTTTTTTTAGAAACTTCTTTCTATTTTTGTTGTTACTGTTGTAGATGTCATTGTTGTTCGTAGTTGTTGATGTTGTTAATTTTGTCGTTGTTGTGTTGTCCATTCGTGTGTTTTTAATTTTGGTCTCTGTTCACTGTTGTTTGTTTTCGAAGAAATTCTTTTCACGCGAACGATTCTCGTTTTCTTGCCACTGATCTCGTATATTGACCAGCGAAAAAAATTGAAAATCACTGGCTGGGACTAACTTCGGGGGAGGAAAAAGACAAGGCAATACCACCAAAAGTACAGACAGACACATAACAATAATTACGAGGCACGGGTTTGGTTGTGAACGATTGTGTAGTTTTACGAAAATATCTTCTAAACGAGTTCCTTAAGTCGAAAGTTGGAAAAAAATGTCGCGTGTTCTTCTTCGAAAATCTTTCGCTCGTCGTTTCTGCGATAACCATATTTACATTTCACTTGGTTTATTTTGTTAAGACGCGGTTTCTGTTGCAACATAGTCAAAATGATTAAAATTATGGAGGCTTCGAGATGGCTTTCAGACGGAAAGACAGAAATTTTTCTTCTGGCAAAGCCTCGGTTGTTCATGTTTGTGGTGTCGCTGTCTAGATCGTGTTATTTTGGAGCAGATATCTGGGTTGAACGAGGCTGTGATCGGAAATTCATGAAACACCGCGTCTTCTCGCACGTGAAAGTTGAATTGCCGTAGTAATAACGTCGTTGTTTCATGAATAAACGAGCTTCGAAGGATGGCAACGGTTGTTGGGAACAAAAAAAAAAAAACACAGTGACAGATACACCAGCAAGTACCTATTACAGGCAGACAATACGTATATAACACCGATGGTAAGCGTTAATTTCATAAGGATCTTATGTGAAATAGTCATATATTAGGTAATTAAAAAAAATTATTGATATACTTGACCGTTCTGTGAAATAAAATTTTCAAAGATTCTTATGAAATCGCGACCTCTTGCAAAGGGGAACACTTGAAAGAATTGAAGGAACTTTGAAAGGTGGGCAAACGTAAAAGTTTGATAAGGAAACAGAACAACGAGAACAGAGATAATACGTATCGGTATACACAGGTATTCGTAATACACGTCCTACGTGAAAAGGTAAAGGGATAAAAGAAAAGGAAATAAAAATATATATATAATATATATGTATATAGAAACAGAGAGAAAGAAAGATAGAAAGGCAACAGTAATAACGCAATGTCGCAGATTTGTTGCTTTCTACCTTCAAACTCACTCACACACAAATCTCTTCCACCAGCAGCGCATCTACATGAAGTTCGCTAGACGAAAAAGAGAAACACATAGAATTCACACATGTTAGATGATGAACGGTGGAGATATTAGTAACACGTTAGAACCTGTGATTCTTATTCTTAATTTAAATTTCATGAAAACACCTTTTTCTTTGGGGAAAAAATGATAACTTTACCGTTCGCGTAATTATTACGAGTATTTGGGCTTTATATTTCTTTCGGTATCTCGTCATAGCAACGATTAAAAAGTTAGGATTTAAGCGAAACATGGTGACAACTTCTGTCGACAAGACTTTATTCGTTCGAGAAATCCCTGATGATTATTTCGTAAGGAATTTCTCGAATAACCGTGCAAGCTTATTGGCGACACTTCGTTCGAGACATTGTCGTCATTCCTTTTTTTTTTTTTTCTTTCCTTTTCGGTTGCGTCGTGCAAACACAATATCATTTCGATCACGGAGACCCATACAGTCTCAGCATAAAAATATAGATCGACAGAGACAAATAGTCAGTGGAACGATCGATTCGGTTTTGTAATTATTAATTGACAATTCTGTTTGATATTATAAAAAAATATCTCGTATAACTAAGATTTCTTTCGAATTCCGAATCAGTCGTTCGAAATCGTGACAAGGTACATTGACCAGATGACACAGAACACTTAAACAATTACAATGGCAGTGTCATTAGCTTCGATTAGTGCGTGTATACGTTCAGTTACTTACCAACGATAATGGCCAGTACGATCAGTCCGATGACACCCATGATGATCATCATCTGTAAAGAGAAAATTAACAAAACGATGTAGAGACGAATCGATCGAGTATCGATAATGATATCCGACGAAGAATATGTTACCTTTAGATTTTGTAGCCAGAACTTCCTCTTTAACTTTCCTGCTTGTTGTTCGAACTGTGATGCTCCTTGCTGAAGCGCATCTGTAACAAGATATAGAATAAATATTGAAATTGAAATTGAAATCGGACTCGTAAGGATTGAAGGAAGTAGAAAATGGTAGCGACGCGACGGTCGGACTGGGCGTAGTGAAAAAGATCGAGGATGGTCAGCCGTGGTAGCGCGGCATTGCATCCCATCGATTCGAGAGCGTCTCAGTAATCGATATCAACGTGCAGTCGGACGCGCAGGGTCGAACTACTTTAATGCCGCGTACAGAATGAATGGAGAGGATATACTTCTACTTCTAACAAACGTAGACAGTTGCTCGACCTTCGGTGTTTAATCTCCAACTCTAAACCGACGCAGGATTCTTAGCATGTAAATCTCTCGCGTGTCCTCGCTCGTTGTCGCTTATTTTTTATTCATCGTTTTTATGATTATGGAAAGTTACGCGTGTAAACGGCGTTATTTATTTATATGGGCTCGCTAGTATTGGCTTTCTTTTTCTTTCGAGGAAAGAAACTGTACTTATCCTTAGGGAAGTGTTATCGACCAACCTGCTCGATCGTCGAGTTCTGAAAGCTTCTGATCACGCTCCAGAACCTTTTCGACGTTCGTTTTCATAATGTCGACGACCTCGTCGACCTGCGCCTGCGTCGCTTGCAGTCGTTTTTGCGAAGCGATCTGCTGCGGCGTCCTGGGACCTCCGACGATTCCATCGGTACCTGCACCTGCACCTGCACCCGCAGCAGCATCCGGTGCTAGACCGCCCTCGGTCGCCCTACGAACAATATTCGTATTAGAGAAATCAACAAATCCTCGAACGTGGAAGCTGAACGCGCGTTGGATGATTAAAGCTTAAAGATAAGTTTTCGTGAGATTTGCATAACCGGCTATTCGAATGGGAATTCAACCTGAGGGAAGAGTAATTTAATCCTTTCAGTTTTTCTTTCCCAAACTGGCTATTCCAGCCTTTTATTAACGATAACGATAAGAGCCAGCTGACGATCTACTCAACTCGCTCGTTGAATTTCATTTTTTCCATGGAAATGAACAAATTACTTCCACGCGAATGTAAAAATTACTACCAAAATGGAAATTATTTATTGTCTACTGTCTGTGGAAAGTAGGCAGGTACGCGATGAATAGGAAAATTTGTGTAAATCGTACGGTTGAAATGAAATTCAAGGAACGTTAATTGAATAGCTTGCTACAATTCTGAATTTACTATCGCTGTAAGGTAGCTATCGTTAAAGTATACGGTTCAGTGGAATCGTGAAACGCGACATTTCTACCATTTTTTCAAAGGTTCTACGTAAAAGTTACGACCTCGTCGAATGCTCTATGGTGGATGCTGCAAGTTCTCCATCAAAGGTTAAAAGTAATGCGAAAGGGTAAAGTTCGTGACACGATTCTACCCATTAGTCAATGGTTATCGTTTTCTTAAGATTTTCAAATTTCCCACATATTAGAGTGCATTTCGCTTTATCAAAACTATAATTTACACGAATGAATGCAGAAAAGATATAAAATATAGATTAAAGAAAGAATTGGAAAGGTTAAGTCTGATCCAACTTCCTCGAAGATATTTCATACGTAAATGCGGCTGACCTTTCGCGCAGGGTAAGACCTTTCCAGGAACAACAGGGATGTTAGTTTAATTATCGCGATAGTCTTGCGTTGGCGTTACCTCGTATTCGAATTTATGTTTTAACACCCTGCTCAGTTTTCAATGCTTTCTGTTAAATCATCCGTATTGTGTTTCCAATAAACTCTTTGTTTCTTTCAAAACTAACAAATTACTGTATTTAAACTTTGGAATTTATTAATCGTAGTTGGAGGTGAAGGCCATAATACCACCCCTTCCTCTAGCGTTGACAAGAAAATTAAATTTGTTTCTCGAGAATTTTTAAAGTTGCTAAATAATATTAAGTATCTGCTACCAGGCTGCTAATAAACGCTTCAGACCAATCAGATAGCTGCGCTTGTCTAATCAGTCGCGCTCCGCCAATCACAGAGCTTGTTACTTTAGCCCCAGGTAAATGGGCCAGTTGCATCTGATAAAGCCACTTGCTTCGCGCTGAGGCCAGTCAGTTTGTTCTTGGGCTTCGAAGAAGCAGGAGTGTTTTTTTTTTTTTTTTTTTTTTTTACGATTCGTTTTACAAATTCACATGACATTACAATGACATTAGCGATTAAATAATTTTGCAGGATGTATCAAACGAATCTATGATCTTCTCAACGTATTAATAGTTAGTTATACTGAGCAAATAAATATAAAATTTCACAAATGTTGAAAAGAGGTTTTGGAATTCCACGTCAATTTGACTCTTGTTCGTAGTGTTAATTTATTTCGACGTTCTATTTAACGTTGGTCTTCTTCCCTTTTTGATCATTCGAATTTCTGTCGATAAAAAGGGTGCACGTTCCCGGTGGAATTGGAATGAAAGCAGCTAGAATGTTGCCGGTTGGTTGGTAGTCGATCAATGTACGTTTCGATTCGGAGTGCGTGCTCGAGGCGATGAATCAGGCTTTCCGAACATGTCGAGCACCGATGGCAGGCAGATTAAAAAGCGATCGAAGAAGTTGCGGGTTTTATTTTTGGCAACCGATCGAACGACCGAGTGGCAACAGCCGCCGATCGATCCGCTATTCCAATATCCCTATCACAGCAAATAAATAGAATTTACGTCCTTTCTATTTTCTCGAATGACTCAAATACTTTCTAAACTACCTACAGTCTACAGGGGTATCTATTCATCGAGGACACGATATTGTATAAAAGCATCCATTAATAATGTTTGAGAATTTTTGCAACGTTAAACACTGTTTGGGGACAAAAGAGAAAAGCGTTCACCTGGTTTGAGCTTTTACGCGGTCAAGCGGCTTTTATATAATCGTATTAATGTATCGATCGAACTTGATTTACTATTATCGTTATTGAATTATTTTACACTAAAAATTCTCATAAAGACAATTTCTGTACCTTTCAAGTTAAACTGTTTCAAGAAAATTTTACGTATTTTCGTATAAGGACGTGAAGCTTTTTTTGAAAATATTCGCGTCTCTGTTCTAATTTTAGAGCTGTCGTAGATAGCACAAGGTTGACGAAAGATACTGTTAAATCGATTATTCTACCATGGAATTTTATAACTAACAGCAGAAAAACGACCCGTTTTACCGGGGGCTTCCAGAGTGTAACCCGTATGACGTCAAACTTATCTTTTCAGATTCGAATTCACACAGTTCATGGAGAGTTGAATTTCAATCGCCTACGCGCCTCATTTCTCTGTCTATTTTTAGACAATTTTCAACTATTATTAGCAGCAAATTAACATTAAGTACATTTTAATTAATTAACAACTAAAAAGGTGTGATTTTGAAAAGAATCAAAAATAAAAGTGTGTTTGCTATTTTTCGTTGAAAAGCATCTGTAGTTAAGTCTGTTGTTCAAGTGGTACTCTACGACATGTCTGACTCTGTCAGGGACAATCTACTTAGAGTCAAGCATTTTCGTGTAACGGCGAAAAAGCGTATCTTTTTGTTTCACAGTCAAAACTCGTAGAATATTGCTGCAAATATGCTCATCATTGATTATCTAAATATAGAAACTGCCAGTTGAACGTATAACCCGGTGTGTGTTCGCGATTGATTGTTACCGGTACGTGTCTGATTCTAATTAGAGCTCACGATTCCACCGGTCGAAATGTTACTTCTTAATAAAAATTCCATAATTCATAAAAGGGGTTATAAGGGGGTTAAGGGGTTATAAAACTAGAAACTTTTAAAATTTTACCCGTGGCACAAATTATCCCCCAGAATCATCCCCGTGACGCAAATTATAGTTGAAATCCGACAAATCTGAACCGAATTTGCAGCCCTATTGTGTTTTAAATGTTAAATACAAGTATGCATTTATTTGTCAAAACTAGTGAAAAAATGCTGAAGCAAGAAGTTAAGTAAAAGTTTCAAACGATCAGTAGCTTTAAGGTAATCGCGTGAAAGTGAAAAGAAAAAAATGAATAGAAACGATCAGCTAAATCGTTCAGCTTATAGAGTTGGATGGTAAAGGAGAAGCATCCTGAGGACTCGGAATTCAATGACCGCAATTTCACCGTTGAAATCGGTGTTATCGGTCTGCTTTAAGCTTTGCTGCACTTTATCGGAAATTCTGGCATGCTGCGGATAGGCCGTGCAACGAAATCGATTGGTGACAAAGGCTTAGGAAATTGCGTCTTAACATTCGTCTTAGAAAATTTCATTCTTAAAACGAATCGATACCCTACAGACACGGTGGGCTCAATTGTTATATAAACTGCTTTATTTGCAACCATGTTATACATGTATGTTGGTTAATGGCGATTAAAGAGGATTGAAATTGTACACTTTTACGGTGACAATCCGTGTTATCTTCTACGTTGAAAGTTTTCGATTTAATCCTGTTACGAGTCCCGGTTTCTTCCCCATCGATCTAGCCTTTTTTCAATTCTTTTATAGATGTTGCTTCTCGTTACGATTTCTTTTGCCTTTTGTTATTTTTCCTTGCTTTCGTTATGATAGAATTCGTTATAAAAATTGCAACACTTAAATTAAAAAAGAAAAAAATCTTTACTATATTCACATAATTGCAACGTATCTTAGTATATCGTTAAAAAGAAAAGAAAAATTTTTACATTCAAAATGTAGGATGATTTCGTGAGTAATTGGGTTCAGTTTAACCAGCAGGTTCTAGAAGAACTCGTAGCGATTAGAATTAGAATTCCACCTTCCCGTCTGTTAAAAGCGTTATAGATCCGCGAGGGCAATTCGATATAGATTCGTCCGCATAGAATCACCAGTTCACACGGCTGTTCGATTTCACTCCGAAGAAAAATCACTCTTTCCCTGGCCAACAAACACAATCGGTAGATTTTCGTAGTTTTACTCACATGTTCTTTGTCGATCGCTGTTGGTTTCCTGAACTAGAGCTATCCGCTGACCTGCCAACCCCGTCAGATAACCGCGTACTTTTCACGAGCGACTGTCACCGACTAGACGGTTGTGGTATTGATAAAATTTCCAGCGGCACCGTCGCGATATCGCCGCCGTTCCAGCGATATCTCGACAACACTCGAACCTTTCAAATCGTCCCTCTCGGTCTTTTAATATTTCTAATTCATTCGATAATGTTTCCTTTTTCGAACAACGGGTAATTAGAAGAACGTAGAGTCTCGTTAAATTCACTAATACACGGAGTTCAAGGACTCGGATAGTAATAGAAATTAAATTTTGCCACCTTTCGTAGGACGTCGAGAATCGATGTATCGAACATAGAGGTTCGACCTACGAATTCGAGTAGCGCGTTCTACGCATGCGTGGGAATTTTCAGTCAATAAGCGGCAGTCAGCCGCAACCCTCATGCGCAAACACACCCTGAAATCCCGTCAGGGATGTTTCTTTGATTTCTCAGTGCCCCGCCTCTAATTCTCATGAAAATAGGCCAACGACCGACTTGATTTGTTGTATTGTTTCGAAATTGTGATCTTTCGATTAATTGGTTATGATACCGGCATTCGGGAAATGGCGGACAAATGGATAGCTCATGGTCGTGTTTGTCACTATCGGGAAGTACGAGTTTGACGGAGATTTTAGATTCTTTTTTCGTGTCAAAGTATAGTTTGGTGATGTATATTTATACGGTCCTGGCGACGCGATGAGAATACGCGCACGAGCATCCGCAAAATGTTTTATTTATGTCCTTGTGATTTTTGTCGCGAGGCGAGGGTGTCGTCTGAATTTTTCTCCCCGAAAATGTTGCTAAAAGTCGAGGAACGGAAACGCGAGATGGATCGTCCGTATGGTGAGTGTTTCAAATGAACGATTCATAAGATTTCTAAAAATTCGATTGACAATGTCAAGATTTAATGAAAAAGTATGTTGATTCTTATTAGACAACGCATAGTGGCAATTATTAATCAGAAGCGAGCTGTATGACAATTGAATACGCATTCTATTAGTGCTTTTAATTGATTAATACACGCAATTATAAAGTAATTGTAATTAGTTTATTGTAAAGAAATGTTTTCAAATGTATATATACCGCAGTTCACCAGAGTCCATAACTGCGACGGGCATGTTGGAAGATGGTGGGGGAACGCAGCGAGCTCTCCGCTAATCGCTTTCCACTTCGTTTGGAAGTATCGCCAATCAGGGCGAAGATGCGCACTGGAGAAGCGCAAAGAACGAAAACTGGTCTTTTCGCAGTTATGGAGTCTGGTGAACTGCGGTATACATTTATAATTTATATAATTTCATTGAGATGGCAGCACGCGTGTTATTTGAGGAATTTGAGTTTGAGCTTTGCGTCACTACTGTATATTTCAAATTTCTGTTTACAATAAATGTTAGAAATAGATAATGACATTTTCCAATACCATACGATGAAGAAAAGATTAGATTAAGTAGATTACTCATGCAGGCGATGTACTTAAAAAAATCTTTCTAATAAACATGACGTCATGGCTATCGCCATCTTTATCGTGTGTCATGTACTGTTGTCGTCGTAAAGTGTACTCGTCATCGGAATAAAGTTGCAGTTATCTGTCATTATTTATTCATAAATTTTATTTCTTCTTTCGATTTTCTACTTTTACTTAGGAGTAAGTGCTACAGTTTCTTTTTGACGCTTAAAACAAAAAATATATGTAAATGTTCACTTCTGAATATTCATTTCCTTTTAAGAGTAAACAGAACAACATATTTCGGTGTACAGTTTTGTATTTCTTAATATGTTAATGTTAGTTTTACGTTAGTATCTTATCGTTTAAGCGTTATGAAAGAGTGCTATAACATTTTACAAAATGTCTATCGAATATTCCGGTTTATTCAATTGCTTGTTGAATTTTGAGGTTATGGGTGTGTACAATAATGGATGGTTGCATACACTTGCAACTTGTTGACAATTTTTCTGTATACTTCCTTACCGTATAATGTTAATTAACAAATATATTATTTTTCACGGATTTTTTATTAGATAATTTGTATGATTACAGAAATATGGACGGCAGTGGTAATTCCAGAGATGGAGAGGCGGCTGTTCAAAGAAATTCACAGCAAGCAGGTTCTACAAAAAAGCTGCAACAGACCCAAGCAACCGTGGATGAGGTTGTGGGTATCATGAAAGTAAATGTAGAGAAAGTATTGGAAAGAGATCAGAAATTATCAGAATTGGAGAATCGTGCAGATGCACTGAAACAGGGAGCCACTCAATTCGAACAGCAGGCAGGCAAATTGAAGAGAAAGTATTGGTGGAAAAATCTCAAAATGATGATCATCATTGGCATCATCTGTGTTGTTATCTTGATTATCATCATCGGTGAGTGCTAGTCTTAAGAATGATACATATTTAGTAGATTTGCATTTATATCCTTACACAGGTAATTTTTAATGTTTACACTAGCTTCGGTCGTACCAGGATCGTCGGATTCAGACAGTCCTAATTAAAAAACATTGTACCAAAAATGGTACAGTGTTCAGGGGTTGTTAATTTATGTCCTAGAACAAAAGTTAACTATGGTAAAGTAAGTGCTGGGCATACAAAGTTAGAAATAACGCGATTATTAATTATTAATGATCTACGGGGTACATTTAAAAGAGTTATCGTCCATAAAACGCACAAAAAAGTGTTATACGAAACTATATTTTTGAGACTTAAACTTTTTCATACAAAACAAAAAAAAAAAACGCACAACTATTAGACTAACTTCAGTATTAATACGGGTGGCCTTTTGTAAACCATAAATGGACAATACATTTCATAATGTTATCTTGTTGGAATACTTATTGTACATTTATTAATGATATACATAATATATAATATAACGTTTATACTTTTTCTCCATCGGTCTTTGGATGTTTGAAATCTCCATATTGCCTCGATCCGATCCTCTCCAATACACCCTACGACGCGTCAATGTCCAACAATTTGACGCATCGTATTTCCGTTATGTACATACGGATATAAGAGGTCGATCAAACGGTAAGAATACTTTATGGAGTCGGTGTGTACGTTTGATTCTAAAGCCCATCGCGATTACTTGCCTAGAATGTTCACTCATAAATATTCATCGACAGTCTCTTGCGAATACCGTCATGTTTCTTAGAGCAAAGTCGGATCAGGTCTGTCGAATTCGGTGAACAGTCCGCATTCATTCACCAACCTGGTCGAACTTTCTATTTTTTTTTAAAATTATGGACAAAAATAACAACTCGTGTTTGCGATTCTAATTCGAACCTTCGATCGTGTAACTCGGCCAGACAAAACGTCACGGCTAGAGATATGTAATTAATACGTGATCGATGGCCAATTAACAACGCGAGACTTATGTCGAGCGATACCGGAAGATGTTGCGTTAACACGTTGATTAGGATCATCAGTGATCGACGCGTTACATGTAGTGTAGCTTAAATTTGAAAACTAGCCATTTATTTTCTTGATAATTAAAGTTTCAGTTCGAAACGAAAAGGCAACGTGCTAGTTGATGGCCACGATCGAAGGACAATTTAACTGAAGGATCGACTGAAACGATCGTCTTTCTTTTTCACTCTATACAAAAGCTATCTTTCTTCTTTTATCAGAAGTGTGATGTGCTCTTTAATGAAATTCTTTAGTGGAAAGAAAGCTAACCAAGAGTATTTACATTAGGAATATGAAACGTTAGAAATTGTTTATCCTTAATAGCGCGCGACAATCATTTTCTAATTTTTACATTTTAATCCCATAATCAATGAAACCCCAGAAATTAATCCAGGGTCTTGGTTGCGCGATGCTCGTTAAACAATCTCAGTTAACTGGAATTACATAATTACACGTATCTGCAAACAACGCGGAGATAGTGCACGGAACGTTAAGTGTATTTTACAAATCGATATGACAGTAGAATTATCTTAAAATCAATAGAGATAAACAATTATCTAAAACCAGATATTTATCGTCTGTTTAATTGTCTTTTTTTTTAACGCTCGCGTCGATTATCGTTGAATTATATTGACAAAGTCTTCGGCACTTAAAAGAAAAGAAAAAGAGAAAAAAATCCATGTGTCGCGTGCGGTTGACAAAGAAGGATACCGATTTTCCTGTAAACCGTGGCAAGCAGAAATCTCGGCCGCTTCATTCATACACCTATCAGTCGGCTGACGACCGTCCGAGCGGACAGTCGCTCTTGAAGCGAGTCTCGTGTCCCGTACGACCCTCCGAGACCCTTCGAATTCGAATCGTTTTCCTTCATCAGTGTTTTAAATGAAACTTTACTTTTTAACAATTTTTCGTCATCCGAGCAAGTATTCGTAAAAAAATTCAGCTAGTTCTCGTGTGCGCGTCGAACGAGTGAAAGTTTCGGAATAAAATCCATCGTCCGCGAAGTTTCTCGTGTTCTTCTATCAACGACCAGTTAATTTCATTATTATAAACGTATCTTTTATTTACACGTTGAAATTGAATCGATCGTGCTACGTAAAAAGGATTGAGATTCGTCAGGGAAGTTTTTGTTTCTGAAACATAGATCTATCTCGCGATGAAAAACATTGAAAATTTCAGAGTACACGAAGCTGCTATTACGATGTAAATACGTTGTTTTTGTTTTCGGTATTTGGTAGCTAGCTAACGCGTGTCTCACAATCAGAGTGGTTCATTAGGTACATATAGACCGCGTGCTCGAAAGGACGTTTAAGCTGTTCAGACGGGAACAACTTTTGTTTTCTTCTTCTTCTGCTTCTTCTACTTCTTCTTCGAGTCTCTTGTAACGTTCCTTGGGATTTAACGATCGAAGATCGTACGTTTTCGCGTCTGTGCAACGAAACCGATAGTATTCTGGTCGATGCTTATTGTAAATTCCTTATCACCGTTTCACGTAATATCGTCGTTGTCGTTTCGGTATCTCGTTGTTTTCGGGATATTCGCGAATGTGGCCGAGTGATCGGTGAAAAATAAAAGAAAAAAAAGGAAAGATCGTTCTGGGTGACGATAAATGCGTCGAAAGCGGGGATCGTGGTCGATAAATGTAAGTGGCAGGAGAGGAAGAGGAAGAAAGATTCGTCTTGTTTAAGAAACCTATGTAAGTGAAGTGCCGATCTAACTTGACCTAACCTCCTTCCTTTCTCTCTCTCTGTCTCTTCCCATTTTTTATCTTGTTGGCTCCTATTGTCTCTGCTCGTTCTTTGATCGAACGAGTCCCGTGAATTTTCGAAAATCGTCCCCGTACTCGAGATCCAACATGGCATCGTCCGACAACGAGGGAGGACAAGACTATGGTCTGGGATACCAGAATACTTTGGTGAGTGCTTTATCTTTTCTCACTTTCGATTCGATCCTGTAACAGGATCAAGCCGATAGTTTGTTTAGTTTTTAAGTTTCTTAATTAGTACATATCGAAGAGAACACGATGCGATACTTTGCGAAAGAAGATAAAGAGGATAATTTCAGTGCCTGATTACTGTTATTAGACAGTAAATTAGAATAACACACTTTGAAGAGAATACAAAATGACAGGTTGCAAGAAGATAAGAAGGATAATTGTAGATCCTAAGCTTATCGCTAGGCTTCCATTTCGTATTTTTTATTTTTTGCTTTCATTAATTACTGTTATTACTATGCATTAGAATAAAATGACGTAGACGAAGAGATATTACCAGGAAAGGATAAAATTAGCGATAGCTTGTTGAATTAAAGTGACGAGACTTGAAACGATTGACGCGTTAAAGGCAGCGGTAGGCAAGGGTTGCAAACCTATTTTCATGTTTATTCTTGGCCACGACGCCGAAGCTAGTCGCGAATAGTTCGCTTTAGAGTTTAGAGTGCAATTTATACCGTTTGCAACGAGCGGACCACGTGCTCCGCCTCCACTTTCACGCCTTCATTTTCATAATATTCGCACGCTTTCCTCCATTCATCCTACGGTTGATTATATCAATCGATCGTCTACCCTACCTTCGATGAATCTTTGCTAATTTATCGTGTCGTAATTAGGCCAGTTGTACCAGATTACACTAATCGAAATAAGTAAAAAAAAAAACGTTTGATAAACACGAGTCGAAAAATCATTCAGACCTACTCGAGACACGCGTGTTATCGATACGATTCCTTCGCTTCTCTTCCATCGAGTTTAAAAACGAAATTGCAAACAGGTATGTATACAAGTGGTTTTCCATCAAGAAATTATCAGAGGATTCGCTATGAGATTTATAGAACGTTCTATTATCTGTACATCGTTTATCCTGCAAATAGTTGTAAATTATTAAGCTACTTCGCTATCTCGAATAGTACTTGCAGGAGTAAGAAAGGGTAATGTCGAGCTGTTAGCGAGAGCCTGTCCCGTTTAGATCGCCGTTCAATTCGCGAATTTATTCGAGTTTACAGTTAAACAGCTTGGTAAGAGTTTCTTTGGTGACCTAATATTTCTTATCAGGATTTTCTGCGTAGTAGAGAAGCTGTTATAGTTGATTCGTGTTTACGAGTTACGATGATATGTACAAATTACGTTGTAGGCCGAGGAGCGAATGAAATGAATAAAAATAATATTAATATCGCAGCCGATTCTGATTCTCGATCTTATTAATAATATTAATCGAGCGCGATAGTGCTTCGTATCAGTAAAATCACAGCCGATTAGAATCTATGGCGCGAATGTACTAAAGTATACCTATCCGACATACAGTCGAACGAAACAGTTTAGATATAATTGCGAAATAATTTAATTTGAGGAAGACCAGACAGGTGATTTGAAAATTCGTCTGAGAAAAGCGAGAAAAGACGTTTGTTGGCTGACTAACGCGTTCTTTCCTGCCACCCTCGCGTGAAGGCTCCGATTTTGCAATGGTGAAACGTTCCACGTGTCTGCCAACTGGTCGTGGATTCTTCAGACGCTGTTTATATCAAACATGAAGACAATACGTCCTCGAGCAGACGCGTCACTTTCGAAACAGTCTATGCAAAATTACGGGGCAAATTGCCATTTCTAGCGACTCGCGATATCTTGCACCGTCGTCCCCTCTTCCTATTAGTCGTCTTCTTTATTCGCGAGGACGTGTCGTGAAAAACAATTTTATGAGTCATAATATCTTTGACTTTCTTACTACAAATTTTAAGCATTAGGTAAGTTTTTTACCTAAACCAAGTGAAAAATCTCTAACTCGGCTATTTGTTTTGCCTGTGCCTGACACTATCTGCTTAGCCTCTTATCGCTAATTTCTCTTTCATCTTCTAGCAGATCGTAAACTTAATCAATTTCCTTCTAATAATTACCAGTTTATTAGAGTATTAGCAGATTAAAGTTGTTGATACTTTTAATTACTAAACCAGGATACTTGTTTCATTGGGTAGAATTTATGCAAGAAAAACAGTATACCGATAATGTGTCTTTGATAATTCGTCTTCGAGTTTAAAAGTTCACAAACAGTTCGATTATTTCATGAAAAATATAAGGTCGATCGAACGAATTCTGTGTAGTTGGTCGATCGTTGTATCGCGATCCTTTGAAAGGCTAGATAAAAAGGACCTTACCTGTAACAGTTATTGACGCACACAGAGGAGAAACAAAAACCGGTAAATTACATCCTCTCGTTCAGGAACCCCGTGTCTTTTTCTTATTTGCCGTCTTCTATCGACGTACGCACACCATAGCGAAAAGCCTTTTTACCAGAGATTCCATCAGAGGAATCGATTTTCCTTCAAATCATTCGATTACTGTCATTTTATTTAAACCATTAGTTTTATTAGAATTAGAAATTCTTTTCTGGCAAAAGATTTGCGTTCAGTATCAATCGTTTGATCGTTTGTTTTGAAATCAAACAACGATCGATGATGTCATCTCATTAACGTCGATTAACTCGTTCTCCGCGTTTCGAAGGTTCTCGCAGTGATTTTCTTTTTCTTTTTTTTTTTTTATCATATGTCTGTACGTTCAGGTGATTCTTTTTTCTAACACCTTAGAAACAACGCAATATTCTTTTCGTTTCCGTCTTTCCACGACCGTCTCGTGCTCGTTAAGCAACGTAACGCGATCGAATATTTATGATGTAATCGCGAGCAGCGCTTTTCCGATCGTCATCGACACTTCGATTCGTTAGCAACGCTAGACGAAAGGTTATGCAAGTTTTGCATAATTTTTGCAGCTTATCGTACCTTGGTCAGTGAACAGAAGGAAAAAACCGAAGAACCTAACCACGATATTTATCATTATTCCATTCGTTCTAACGTGAATTGTTTTTATCGTAAAAATTTTTTTTCAATTTCTCATTCCCGCCACAAAGATGCTTTGTACCAAATGAAATGAAAAAGTTCTTTACCATTATGTAGTTTGTAGCTTTCTTTCTGAGATATAAGCGATCCAAAATTAGATGCCTGACTTCCGGGGTGCTCTACTTGGCGTCAAGGGCGTGCCGGAAGTGGAGTACCCAATTTTAAATCGTCTGTACCTTGAAAATTAACCTCCAGATTACAAAATGATAAAGGATTTTTCCCTTTCTTTTGCTACGAAGAATCGACAGTTTTTGCAGTGTGAATCATTTTTGAAATATTTTCTATGTATGTATGTATGTAGGTTAAAAGGATTAAGCTCAAGGAAGCAATGGTTTTCATTGACGCGATGTAATCGCACGAATACATATGTAATATGCAAACAAAATTCGCGCTTTCAATTAACAAACGATCTAAACTAGTTATCGCAATCGATTAGTCGATTTCTAATACGATCGGAACGCGAGATAACGCGTATAAGCATTAATCCTCCTTCTTGATTCGTTAATTCGTTTATGCTCGCTTCTCGAATTGTGTTTGATCTGTTGTAAATCAATCTTTTTTTTTTTTTTTATCCTGTCAAACATTTGTGACGTGGACCGCGGATTGTAAAACATCGATAGAGTTACGGCTAACAAGATCTTGCGTACCACCAAAACAAACATCACATTAATTCATTATTGTCAACAGCAATTCGTCAACCGATGATGAAAATTGATTTACTTCGTTTTCGTTTGAAAGCAACCAGATGTTTGAAGAAAATTGTAATTAATTAATTTATATTATTATTTATTATTATACGGGCGAATTAGTACTATGAATATGTGATTATGATATGGTTATGTTCGGTAAATGCAGAATGTTAAGCTTAGTGCTGAAATAATCTGCAGATTTTCGTCTTGATGCCAGTGATAGAGTCACTGAAGATGTCAATCGATAATTGGAATGAAATGATACTGAAGCATGATCTGCAGATAGGATCAGCGTGCCGAAATTTTGAAAAGTATCGAGGTATTAGGTTATTTTGGATCGATTACGGTCTCGAAAATAGATGATGCGGATTTCTGTAGGAAAATTAATCTGCATTCTAAAAGTAACGTTCCTTTCTTCGAATTACACAATTTGTTTGATTACACAGTTATCTAGTCAAGGTCTGTTTAACACTTCCTCAGCAATGATTTTTTTTTTTTTTTTTTTTTTTTTTTTCAAAAAACCAATGGAGTAACGAGCTTGCATAAACGAAAGTTTACAAATATAATTATCGATACGATTAGTTTGACCGTTGTGCGACAACGCATCCTTGAAAATCTACGATCAGAGACGAGATTGATAACGTTACTTTGATGATTCTGTGCTGGTTCTGTGTGTTGCCCAGCGAGAAAGGAACTGGTACGATTAGCTGTTTTTGCTCGCCAGAATTCCTAAAGCAACGAGCATATTTTTCGATCGGTACGTAAAGTACAATCAGGGTTATCGTTTTAAAAGATATTCGCCAGGCGGAGAAATGAGATTTCTATATTTTAAATCGATAGGACACATTTAACTTCACTTTTGGTAGAATTATCGAACAAATGATTAATTACCAAATTTTTATCGATATTAACCCAATTATTATCAATAAAATAGAAGAAATTTGTTATTGTTACGCGCGTACGACTGTAAGTTTATATACGACGACCTCGCGTATATAATCGGAACACAAATATTGACAATTAACTATAACGACGCGCAGGTGATACTCGGTCGCGATGAATTTATGCGTTTACCAAACCATTTTTCTCTATTTCTTATCAATTTTAATCATCGGACAGTGGGAACAGTGTCGATATAAATTCTCAAATATTTTCAGATAATCTTTCAGTTAAAAAAAAAAAAAATTTGTTCTTTCGATTCAGCTGAACTAGCAGGTAGCTCGTTTTTCAGGAAGCGAAGCGAAACGGTAGCTTACAGTGGTCACTCAACACCGAGGTGTCGCTTCGTTTTCTATAGGCACGCGATCGTTCGATTCCTTTTAACTTTTTCGCCTCGACGTCGAATAGGTAGGAAGGAAGGAAAGAAATCGCATCTTTCAGTTTACGTTGGATTACGCAAACGGTAGTACGATATCGGTACGGGCCGAATATTCGACACGGGGCATGATTTAGACGTGGATTGTATTGCGTAACGCTAGATACAGCTAAGTTAGCAATGCACACGGAAACGCAGGGTCGATTAATGATTTTTTCTGCGGCTGGATCAGCCGGTTTGCCTTGCAACCTCTCCCGTAACGAGGATCTTGCATTTTATTTCACCTGTTAGTCGTACATCTGTGAAATTATTCGTTTTACGACCCTGCGACACGTGCCAACCAAACACCGTGTTCTTTCAACACGTTCCAAACGGGGTTTGTATTGAGAAACCGAAAGCAGGAATGTATCATTAGCGGTTCTGGCGCGTAAATCGCTCATCTTTTTCTACTTTAACTTCCCATCGAGATTAATTAAAGTATTACTTTATTTTGCACATTTTTTATACCATAGGGCACACTAGGTGTCAGTGTAGCGTTGATTAGATAGCGTGAGACTAACAGGCACAGTCTTAGACGTTTCGACGAACAATATTTAATTAGGAAAAACTTTTTCAAATTGTGTACATGCTTTGTAATGTCTGTGATTACGTTAAGAAGATACTTGTTGGTTTTATCGATGCAAAAATAGAAATACGTCCTCCTTTCCTCTAACCTAGAAAACAATCGTAAAACGAAACAAACGGCATTCATACGCGTTTAAATATGCAAAAAAATATGAAACGAATGCACGTATCGCAGGAAAACTTGGAAGTAAACAGTAATAAAGTACATGTTACGGCAAAAGAAAGTATCGAACATTTCCTATTCCAGCAAATTTATTCCAACATTTTATATTAATTTTTACTTTATTCTATTGATCGACAATTAATTTCCTCGTGAAATCCGTAGCTTGGTTCGTTTCCTCGTGAAAGTGTACTTTCAAATATGATATCAAAACCAGTTAATGTTTAGACCTTGAACCAAGCCTCTTCTATGCGATAAGACTTCAAAGATGTATCGACAAAAAAAAGTTCATAAAAAGCGACATACATTCCAGATATTTATAGCGATACATTTAACATAAAATTCGACCAACTGCGATGATGCATAAATTTTGAAGAAAATTAATTCGTGATGTAACTGTGATCTATATGTATAACAATACATAGAAACGAGACGTTAGCGTTATCTCGAATAATTTAAAGTTCCCGCTTGATCGACGTCAGCCAGTCTAGCCAATATATTTTTTGCAGTGTCAGGTGACGTAAGTAGCGATCGCGAAGCTGGTGCAACAACACGTTCTATTCGTATCACGAAAATAGTCGCGTGATCTATAGATCAGCTGGTGGTCGAGTTAATTAGTCGAACAGTTATCCCGAAAGTTAATTATTCAGATAGGAAAGGATTGAATCAAAAGCGTTGAATCGGTGAATAAACCTGTCGTCGACTGCTTCGACTCATCGATAGAAGTTACGAGGTAACTGCGAGAGAACGCAGCCTAGTTTCCGCCAGCTGGGAACGCGGGAAATTCAAATCCGATCGCGCGCTCCGTATCGCGGATGAAAATCAAACAGTGTTAGTAAAAAGAATTTCGAAACTGAAACTATTAAGTAGTAACATATGAAATTTTCTACGATTCAACGATAAAGAAAGTTAAGATTCCTGGTCTGTATAACAGAAAGATAAAATTGAAAGGACGATGTCGAAGATGTACAGAAGTTTTCTGACCACCTTTCAAAGCAGAGCGAAGCTTTTGAAAAATATGCTGAAATTCAGCTCGATAAATACGAAAAGGATGGCTTCCGCGCAAAGTAGCGATCAGATAGTCATACCTAAAGAGGATGTAGTCAGATTTATTAACGAATGTATGTGCAAAGTTGGAACGACACCAGAATCTGGAGAAATCGTTGGCCATCATTTAATGACCGCTGATTACAGTGGCCATTTTAGCCATGGAATGAACAGGGTGCCAATGTACATAAAGGATATTCAAAATAAGATCACCGATCCTGTTGCTAAGCCGCAGATCATTACTGATTTTCAGGTACGATTCGATCGAAAATCACACGAGACTGTGCGTCAACTGTGTATTGGCAATATTATTTTATCGATCTCGAGAGAGAAGGTAATTCCTGCAGTTTCGCCTTGTAGAGACAGAGCAACCTAGTCAGTTCTAATCAGTCATTCACCGAGTTGATTGATTATAATAATATTCTATAATAAAACGTGGTCGCACAGTTATCGCACAGTTATCGCACACTCGTTGTCGTTGAAAATGCATTAAAGACGAGTGAACGACACTTGAAAATCCAGCTTCGACCGGTTTACTTGATCGTCGTTGGTGGTGGAAATTTTATCATTTCCTTTGCTTAAAGCACGACGAAGAAAGTATATCAGACAGCCTCTGTTATTTTAACTTCAATCAGTTTCATTCTTCTCGACGAGTTATATATTTAATTTCCTTTTCCGCGTTAATCCGAAGACGCTGTAAAAAGTATACATATTTCGTTTCGAGGTAAAAGAAAATGATCCGTTTGAAAAAACAGACAGATAATTCGCTGCTTTCGAAACGGGCCAGCTTCTTATCTCCGGTTACCTAACTTTGTTTCGATAAACAGAACAAATCTCGCTTGTTAACGAAGCAATTCTTTTCAATTATTCTGCAAGCTCCACCCAGGATGTCGTCAAGTAAACCAAAGATGGGTCGTTCAGTTTCACCGTGAAATTCGACGAGTATCGATGAATATTCTTGCAGGCGATAGCTTTGGTCAGCGGGAACAACGGTCTGGGCCAGGTGATCGGTAAATTCTGTATGGAATTGGCGATCGAAAAATCGAAGAAGTTTGGTATCGGCATGGTGGCGGCTCGTCAATCGAATCATTACGGAATCTGCGGTTACTACACGGCGATGGCGATCAAACAGAACCTGATAGGTAGTGACGGATGGGAGCGTTGAATCATTTGGAATTTTATTTGCCTGTTCCAGCTTTTAAAAAATCATGAATATTTTAAAAACATCGGGTTTCAAATAAAATTCAAAGTGATTCGAAAAATTTTCTGATGTTCGAGACGCTTGATAACCCATCGCTGCCAATAGGCTTTAGCTGCACCAACACCAGCCCTCTGATGGCTCCAACTCGCAGTAAACAATCGGCATTGGGCACGAATCCTATAAGTTTGGGAATGTCCGCATTGAACAACGATAGATTCAATCTGGACATGGCCACCACAGCCGTGGCTTTGGGTAAAATCGAGCTCGCGGTGAGAAAAAACGAACCCATACCCGCGGGTTGGGCGCTCGATGTTCATGGAAAGGTGACAACAGATCCCGAGAAAGCTTACGAAGCTACCGTTCTGATGCCTCTCGGAGGTGAAGAACGTAATTCAGGTTACAAAGGTTACGGATTGGCTTTGATGGTCGAAGTGCTTTGCGGTATTTTATCCGGAAGTCACTTTGGACCTAACATCAGAAAGTGGAAAGGTAGCCAAAAGATCGCTAATCTCGGACAGTGTTTCATGGCTATCAATCCGGATGCTTTTTGTTCTGGGTCACAAGAAAGATTATCGAAGTTGTTGAAACAATTGAGAGAGCTACCTATTGTCGGAGACAAGCCTGTTATGGTAGCTGGAGATCCAGAGAAACACTCCATGGAACGCGTGGATAAAGAAGGTGGCATTACTTATCATCCTAATCAGTTAAAAGCTGCCAAAGAGTTGGCGAACCAACTAGGAGTCGCACCTATGAAAATTATTCCTAAGAAAATGACTCGTTGATTAAGGATTAAGGATTTAAGACAGTTTTCTAAATGTTTTCTAAATGTTTTAGTTTGTTTCATAGTTGTATTTTAGATAGATAATGTGAAGAATTAATTAAGTTCAGAGATATCTTGAATTGGAATGGGTGAAATTTTCTTTCTTCAAGATTTAAGTACACGAGACTGAATTTTATTCATCGTCCATTTATTTTACACAATTGTAAATTTGTCACAACCATAATCTTTAAACGTTACCATTTTTATATCGCTGTACAAGAAGAAGTCTATTTTATATAAATCTTAAAAAATAATATATGCATGTATTTTATTGCAAGCTCCGTATCCTCTGATTCGATGTATCGATCACAGGATCGGTTAATCACTTTACAAGAAACATCATTTTTCATCGATGTTTCATTCAGTTGATCGTGTGACGAATCAGAGGATGGGCTAAATGACACTTTCAGATTTTCGAGTAATGTTTACAGAAGGATAAGCATCGCGTGTTGTCAGTTTAATAGAAACGATGATGTAACAATACTGTGGTCTGATCGTTGGTCGATGATGATGATGATGAGGAGGACGACGATGATTGACTACGGCTATGTCCTTGGACTTGCTCGTGGGATCTCGATTGCACCCATTACCGATCGGGACTCGCGATTATCGACAAGCGAATCTCTGTTGGATAACTAACAACACTGATTTGCATAATCAGGATACACATCAGAGACAAGACACGTGTATCGATCGATGGATGTTCAGAAGAATTATTTGCTCGATCGATGTTAACCCTATGAACGATAATTAAAAGCGAAAGAAACTTTACCTGGGAATTACGTGTATCGATTGCAATTCCATGTTCTACGATCAAGGAAATTCAACTCCGTCATTTCATCTGTGCGCAGTCATTAGAATTCTTATGATCTTTCGTTACCATAGTAGTAGACACCTGGTCGTGTAATTACTCGACGAGAACGTGTACGATTACACGTAAAGATTAACTTTATTAATTTTTAATTGGAAATTGAGTTGGATGTTGGATGACTAACCGTGTTTATTAAGTCTCATCGGTGTTTACACTCTCGACGAATGTGTTTATTTTTCGCAAGATTTTCGATAACAATTTTTTGCAAAAACTCTTTCACCCTTTACGTGCATATTTACAATTAGTTGAGACAGATCTTTAAATAAACGTCGCAATAAATATTTTCATGACACAAAAACGTCGTCGGTGTATCAGGGGTAGTCAACCAATGATGATTCTTTCTGCTCGATGTTCTCTCGAGTGGTAAACAGGGTTATCGAAGAGATTCGCAGACTCCGTGTCTTTTTTCACTTATCGTTAATTTTTCGTTTATAAACGAGAACGTTACGAATGTAACTGATTCGTTGTTGATAAGATTAACAAAGTCCTTAGTGGTTTTGTTATCGTGTATAAAAAGCGTGTCATTTAATCGCATTGCGTCAATATTCGATACTGTTTGTAAACTTATAGACGAGAGATGCGTAGGAGTAATGAGAAAATTTTCTTATTTTCTAAGCCAACGAAGGATAACACGATTAGAAAAAAAAGCAATTTCTTTGACGAAAGGATAATTGGTTAAATTCGTATGCTAGTCCATCGATAGTTCGCACAGATCGCTTTACTTATGCTCGACGCGTGTCAAGTTGAATCGTGGAATCGAAATTTTATCAACGTGTTCGTATCAAGTATACTTTCTACGTATTTTGCTGTCGTTGCACGTGTCGCAGAAAAAATCGAGATTCTAGTCAATATAGATTCTCATCTCGTATGATCTAATTATCATTTTTTTTTTTTTTTTTTTTCGTAAACGTCTACAACGAAGCAATGAATCGAAGCGTGTTTTGATTATTAAAATCATTAAAAACATTAAGAATATGACGAATGTACTTACAAGGAGTTCAAAAGTTATCGATACGCTTTGTTTTGTTGCTATATTATCGAACAGGCCTCAAATGCGTGCTCGGGCTATCTTATTTTTCTCACGATAACCACATGCGAATGCACGAAGGTTTTTATTAAACATGAACAATCGTGTACAAGAAAAAAAGAACATCGCTCCAATAGTCGTCGAAAGAATGAAGAATAAATTTGATAGAAGAAGTCGTAAATCGACTGTCGATGACTCAGAATGGTGATTCTTTTTTCAGTAGGAAACGTGGTTACATTTGTCGGCACGGATCGTCTCTAGAATCGTTAATTACACGTTATCTCATTAGATCTGACGATGAGTTTGTTGCGAGATACCGATCGTGCTGTCCGGTATCCACTTTGTCCTAGACCCGATTATACATGTACGTATTACTCGTTTCACTCGGGTACAAGAATTATTACTGTTAAAAATCCTAAAAATTTTCATTGAAATTAGTTACTTCGAACAATAGAGGATCGGAACGAAGAAAATTATCGCGAATAAAATGATAGATGGTAAACAAGAGTGATTCGAAGAATATAAGGGCCAGCTAAATAGGAAGGAAGGTCCAATGATTGGACAAACGATCTTGTCGAAAATGCAATCGTATGCACTGTTGACGCATCGCGAGAATGGTAACTCGTTCCTCGGCCATGTGACTGACATTAACTAATTCAGTGCTCTAATATACCGGCATGGGGTCGTGAACCCATGGGATATCCGTGGTGATAGTTGTTCAACATTCTTCTCTTGCTAATTTCATATAAATCTATTTCCAATTCGTATCTCTTTGACAGTGTCCAATTTTTTTGTCAAACAATTATACGCCTATAGAACCTTTGTCTACCGTAATGAACCACGTTTGTTTCCTTCAGGCTCGGAAATGGTTGTTTCAAAGACAGTTAGACAATTAAGAGGTCGAACCATTCTCAGAAAGAATGTACGTCGGTTGTCTAGTCTAACGAAACGATCTTCTTTTTCTGCACTGTTTGCGTAAATTACGCTTTGTAATACTTAATCGGTGTCGTTCCATATTCATCAGACGACTAATTACACTTAAATTGTACTCGTCTATTAATTAAACAAGTACACGCATCATACGATTGTTATGAAACAGATTCATTCATTATTGCCTTTAGTTACGAACGTGGTATTGTTGTTCAACGATAGGTGACACGAGTACAACGCAAAAAAGATGTTTAAAATTTCCATTTAAACGTTGATTTATTTTTGTTGAATGATATCATTGCTGGTATACACGTGATCGATGTGTGCTCTGATTAGTTGTTAATGGTATTATTTTGTACGTTCGTTCAGTTTAGTGGACACAAATAATTATGATCGTACAATTTTATTAAAAATTATTCGATGCAAAGAGCTTGCAAATACATCGAATTATTCCGTTTCCAAGAGTTACGAATTTGAATACTCTCAATCGGTAGGTCTGTACACTTTTCGCGTTTCATTAAATACTTTAAACTAACAAGAAGTTTGCGTTTGACTTGACGTGATAATTCATCTTCCATATTCCTGCTTGAAATATTGAAATGGTAACCGACTTGCTAATAAGCGTTGCTCAGTTTTCCTTCGTTTCTAAAAATAAATTCTCGTGTAATTTGCTGGATTTTTTAATTGTCAAGAATCCACGAAAAAGCAACTAATTTTCTCTTAAAGCACAATGTTCGTGTCGTACATGGTTTTGTGAATGTACGTTAGAGATTTCAACTTTACTGTTGACCTAATTTCATGGAAGAAAACACGAGATTGCTGGCTGTTTCTGTTTGTCCAAGAATATCAAGATCTTTATAAATATCTCTGTTTCATTGGAAGTTCAATAATTGCCAATTGCTGTTGACGCACTCCTTCGTTTAGACAAATTTACCGAGTCGGCAATGCTTTCCGGTCCATTATCTGCTATCTCTTTGCTCATCCGGATAAACACACGAATTTATGGCCTGAGTACGTTGATAATTAAGCGAGCTTCTTCCAAGTGATAAATACGAACAATTTGCTTGGCCATTCGGTTAATCGTTCACCTGTATCCACTGAAAATCTTTGCCAGATCAAATCGTCACTTTTACTCGACAAGGTAGGTGCTTATCCTCTACGAGTATCTAGAAGCTAGATATTCGCTAGAATCTTATTCTCTTCTCCTCGTTGGTGTATTTCGATCATTTTGCAAATATAATATGTCGTTTGGATCGTTTCTACTGAAAAAGAAAAAAATAAATAAAAAAAAAAAATAATTGGAACCGGAAATATCCTGCAGAAAATAAGCGAGGAGAGAGTCATCGATCGGAGGCTCGGTGCCGGCATCGGGTAAGACAGCCATTCATCAAATTACGTGGTAATTTTGATCAATGATAACTGGTGACTTTGAAGGCAGCTTCCTACGAGCCCTCGTTGAGGGAAGTGGCCAATTGCCGTGTACGGCTACCGTACAGTCGCTACTACAAATCTCACCGATAAGACTTTTCAATTTCTCGTTCTTTTCTTCTATTTCAAATCCATCCTCACTGTCTGTTCGAAATTCTTTATAGCAATTAAGGAGCAATTAATTATATAATTATATAAATTAATTGCTTTGGTATTTTCATATAAAAAAAAAGATTCAATCCATAGTGTTATACTTTGATACGGATTTTCTTCACGAGATCAATCAAATTAATTACAATTGTGTCAAAGAATGTGTCGAATAATTGTTCAAATTGATTTCAAATGATTTCACGACGATAATTGAGACGAATTTATTGAAAGTTATGTTGAACATTGTCGGGAAAAAATGTCGATGATGAGTGTCCTCCCGACGATACCGCAGAGGTGAGAAGAGAGACAGTTTTCCCTCCCCCCTGATATCGCGGGGGGAAAATCGCGAGCGGTATGGCGACGACGACGACGACGACGACGACGACAATGATGTCGACAACAGTCGGAGCGAGGCTAATGAGTCCGTAAATTGGACCAGCTAGGTCCTCCCATCTGAGCTCCATACGGTGCTCTTCTCTCTTCTCATTGTCAGTGTGACTCATTGACTTGGTGTGCGACGGTGTATCAGCCTACCATTCAATTGCTTTAAACGTTCGCTTTTTCCCCAATTTTTCCTTCGTTTCGTCCGTGTAGTGTCAGTGTCAGTGTCGCGACGATTCTACGAAAGAGTTTCCAGTGATTCGGCTTTCAAATTGTGTTTCTCTCGTTGAAAAATGCTATCCAGAATATCTCTCGAATATTTGATTCTTGTTTTCTTCATTTTTCTCGCGAAGATCTTCAAAAACGACGCGACTGTCTCTTGGTCTGTATGTCTTCGATCAGTGATCGGTGAATCTTCTTAAGAAAAAAAAGAGCAGGGTTCTCGTTTGTTTTGTGAAAGACTGGAAGATATTAAGGATGATTTTCACACGATTACGTAATCTTTCGAACTCAGGGGACTCGAGGCTCGGAGCTGCACTTTGAGCGAGCTGAGAATTTATTGCACCGATAGGATTTATCGGTCGTGTCGAAGAGGAATCACGCGGTGTATTCTCTCAGATAGCCGTAAAGTTTCGAAGGAGCATCCGAACATGGCGAATCAGACGACGAAGAAGGAGCTCCTGGAGGAGACTCTGCATTATCATCCAGAGGGTAGCGAGGAGGAAGTAGACAAGGAATGGGAGGAATTCACCAGGTTGATGGCGAAATTGAGGGAAAATCGGCGAAACAGGCCGCACAGGTATCCGATAGTTTTTCATTCTAAGGAATCTTAAAGGGTGTCTCCTCGTGCCGTTCGTACAAACTTGTGAAAGTGATGTTTCTTTGTGAGAAAGTAAGTGAAAAGTATGAAAGGGTGCTTCTTCGTACGAAGATTTCTTTTTCGAGAAAATCCATTGTGAATACTACTCACGTTTCCTACGTTTGATATACCTGTTCAATTGTTCGTTGTAAAGTGTTGGTATTTCTTTTATTGGATAATGGTGGTTACTTAACACCAGAACGACCAAACTCGTCACAACGATGTACTTAATTGTGCTATCTTCGCTTCGTCGTAGTTAAAAAATTGTCGAAAATGCGTTCATTTTATCAGCTAACTGGAAACGCGAGAGAACGAGTAGAAAAATATTATGAAATTTTCTCGAAAATGAAACTTCGTACGAAAAAAGTTTACCATACATTTTCGACTTACTTTTCCATGCAAAATAACATCGTCCTAAAGTTCTAAAAGTCACGATTCCGTGTACAGCGGTTACAAGAAAGAAAAACATATTCGTTCGTGTATCTTCCCTCCGTATTTGTTTCTCTAATTGACAATGAAATCTTTTGTTTTTATCAGACCCTCGCAAGCTTTCTATCCGTGTCCTCCGCCAAACGCGGACGAGGAGCAGCAGGAATTCGATCCCTTCGATTACATTAACACGATTGTAAGCGATTTTTCTGAACGATCGTTTAGTGCATCGTGATGCTAGTTTCTTATGCATGAATCGAGAAGAAACATGAAATTTTCTGCCAAGTATCTAGAAACGCTGTCTTCTTGCACATTCGTTTTCCTCTTCGCAATGATAAATTGCATTTTTCTTTGAATCTGATTTTTGATTAGTTGCCAAACGGGCAGACGAGAGGCTAGATTTGAAATAAACGTACCGCGAGAACAGCTTACAATAATGGGTCACGATTTCTCTCGTCGAATATTAGAAAAACGATCTTTCGTCGATCGTTCCTTGCCCAAAAAGTTTCAGCCTGACTAGCGTCTTCTCGATCATACAAATTTGTTGCACATCTCGAAACAGGTTTCACAAATGTCAATGAAATGTCAGATATATAAGAGTATAAATCGACCTTGACACGAAATCTGCATCACGAGATTGCAATGATCAGTTTACACACCTCGCAAATGTACTTCCACGAAATTAGAAACGTAAAGACGAGCGACTTTGAGTCGCTTCTCTTATTACCTCGAAAAACTATCTACCTGCAACGTACAGAACGTTCGTTGAAAAATCGAAGCAACCAAACGTTCTTTTTCCTTCTCGCAAGAAAACGCACGAAAGCAGAATGCAAAAAAAATGCATTGCGTAAATTCTGAGGCTGAAAACTTGCATGCATCCCAAGCGATTTATTATGCTTCTCGCGAGTACAAGTTACGAGCGTCGTACACGTTCAATTTCTGTTTCAATAAACCACGACGAATCGAACGAATCTTTCTTTCCATCACTCGTGGGAACAAATTATTCCCCGTTTATGTGTTAAATATTCACCCATAATACATATTACTGTTCATTATTATTTCCTACTATTTCTTAGTACACAGTACCTACCTTTGATAGAAATTAATTGTACGCCAAGTCGTACTGCTTACTACTTGTCGCGCTTCTACCATTCGTAACTGTTACCTACTTGCTACGCGTTGTTTCATGGTACACCCGTTTGATCATTACGGTTCAAATGAAAATTCCTTCGGCGTTCAATTGGTCACGCAAAAACCATCATAGATTCGCGTAAACGCTGTACAATTTTACAAACGGAAAAGAGTACGCCGACTATTGCTGCTACACGCCTTTCTAAGCAACGCCTTTATCTACATGAATGAGCGCTTAAGGACTCGTTACGTTTATACGACACGCGTGACCAGAATGTAAATCTTTTCTCGCAACTCACGTGACAACTTTGATTCCACACACACAGATGCATATCGTAACCATCTTCACGCATACGATTCACCTTGTACCGTGTATATGTTTATTTTTGGTATGCATCGTTTACAAGTTTACATTCATTTTACGTAATTTTATGAAAAACTTTCTTTTATTCTTACGTCTTATTCGGCTCCTTGGTTAAATAATAGAATTTTTAGTTTTTTCCTTTCTGTTGAAATTAGGCCATTAATTGATTAAATCACTGAAATCGGGTTAGAGGCTGATTGCCCAGTAGAACGTGACCCTCGTTGACGTCAAATTTGTTGCACACTAGTTCAGATGTTCCCTATATTTCACTTGGTTTCCTTCGGATTTATAAGTAACATTGTAAATTTCGAGTAAACAAGTTTTGATAAACAAGGACACGGTAATTACTAATAGTAGTAATGAGCAACACGTGAAACAATAGATAGACGCGTCGCAAAGTAGAATTCATACAGAAAAGTTACTAGTTATTTCCGGTTCTTTTTCACGATTCCAAAAGCTTTTCAAACGTTTAACAAACAGAGGAAGTAGATATCGTTGGGAAAATTGCGAAAGAGCTAACATTTTGGTCACGAGGGTAGATGAAATGAAATTCAACGAAACGCGCAATGTTCGATCGCAACGTTGTTGGCTGAATTAACTGTTCGTGTCGAGGACATTTAATGAGCAATGAACAATAGAGTAGACCCCGTCGTTGACCGATGTTAGCTGGCGGACGCTAAAAATAAGGATTTTGACGGTTGCCAAAATTCAAGGAATATCGTCCGCTCAAGTTCGCAATCGAAAAGCTTCTCGAGAGCTTTCAGTTGTCGCTCGTCCGTAAATTTGACGGCATTGCACGCTCCGTAAACATTTGCATAATTAAACGTCTCCTGAAACGTATCGAACCGATTGTATCGATTATCGAAAAAGGCGTATCTATTCGTAAGGGTGTTGCGTGTTTCGTGAATAAATCTTTCTCGTTTATTTTAACGAGTGATTGATCAAACTTGAAAAGTGGCGAAGATCGAAACAATTCGAGGCATTTCTCGGGGCGAACGTGGATGTTCGACAATATTAATCGATTGATTTGTTGACTTTTAGTGTAACAAGTGTACGTTGGCACTGGCCGAGGCAAACAATAGAAACGCAATGAACGATTCGCAATAAGTCGTGGCCAAAAATACCGAGTTTCAAAGTTTGCCAAGAGACAAACGGGAGGAATGTAGGGGAAAACAAGACGGCAATAATTAGTTGATTTTCGGCTGTTGGTGAATTAAATTCCTCTGAAAGTGGATAAAAAGAATGCTTAATCAATTATCAGTGATTCGTAAAGGTTTTCTGTATATATTTCAGAAATGCCTTGTCCCTCGTTAAAAGATCTTTGATCCAGTTTTCATGCCGGCTGTCGTTCTGAACAGAGCTTATTTCGTCTGTAACGATGATTATATTGTAAGTGGAATTCTTTAAGTGCTACATTGTACCTTGTTTCGTATAATTAATTTAAAAGAAACTTAACATTATTCTTTTTATGAGAGTATTTGATCGTCGAATCTTCATCGATTTAATTACTTATCCTTCGGTATCATCATTAAATATCAACCCATAATACACATCGTGATCACTAATCAAAGTTATCGAACTTTGAAAGCGTAATCTTGTTTTCTTCGGATTCCATATGAAATTGTTCAAACAAGAGCTAGTCTCGATACCCTGTTCATTCGGTTGAAACGTTTCGTTTTGTGCTCGTCAATTATCTTTTTCGCAATTTAAAAGATTTCTTTTTTTTTTCTTAATTTTACGACAAGTAGTAAGTCACACCGATTAATCGTACACCGTATAATTTGAAATAAGGACAGTTTGCATATATCATTGAGAAATTTCACGCAATATTTTCTTATCTTTAGACGGATAACGATTTTTGTGACGTTATCTCTCGTACACGCGTAATTATAATCGCTTATGAATGCTGATTTACGTAAAGTAATTGTTAGACTAGTGCCTCTAAAATTGCTTAATAAGCTTCGTCTCGCCTGAGCTTCTTTCAATTCCTTTGCTTTTCCTCGTGAAAAGCAACGAGCTTGCACCTGAAAATTTTAACTGTAAGCAAAGATGTAGAATCGGTTCACTTTCGAGATATAAAGAATTTCGAATGATCGGTTTAATCGCAGAATCCTGCGCAAAGATCGTGGGTATCAATCGTTTGGTACGTATTAAACATTTCTGCAAATCTTGCATCGTGTTCTCTAAAGATATTTTTTCAATTGTACGATACAAATTTTCTGTACAAAGTGTCGTCCATCGTGTACAAATTATTGGAAGGATACGAGTTGTTGACGATAAGAATGTAAAATGAATGAAACGATGATGATTTAGATGTATGGTCGCTACACGAAGGACCTGGGTGAGTACGCAAAAGAAGAGGCACGAAAACTCAAGTACCACGAAAAGGCTCGACGAAAATATGATAAAACCAGAGAGGAGGATTTACGGAAGTCGAGAAGAGGACCATTGTGCCGGAAGCTGGTGGCATTACTGGCGTTCGCCTGGAAACACACTGGAGCTAGATTAGGCGAAGATTGGGTCTTCTTGGCACTTCTCGGTGTTATCATGGCGCTTATCAGTTACGCCATGGATCGTGGGATTTCTATGTGCAATAACGGTCAGTTTCACGTGCACAGTGTTCCTTGTTTCCAAATCAAGGCTGTAATTTTGATTAAATTAATTTAAAAACAATTTTCTCTGTCGAAACAGTTCGTTAATTTTTCTTTTCAGTTAATTGCAAGGTCTCGGTTAGAAATTTTTAAACAGTAATTAGTTTACAATGTCCTTCGTCTCTCGAATAAACTTAGCGAATCGAGGCCTCGTTGTCTAGAAAATTAGTTTAAATGTAACTTGAAGCCAATGAGAAATTGTCGATTTTCCAAGTAATTATTTTTCGGGTGCTCGTTAACCGTGTCCTTGTTCCACCAGCCAGGATATGGCTTTATCAGGACCTGACGCATCATCCGGCACTTCAGTATCTCGCCTGGGTGTCCTTGCCAGTTTGTCTGATCCTCTTCAGCGCTGGTTTCGTCCATATTGTTGCACCTCAGAGCATAGGATCCGGGATTCCAGAGATGAAGACCATCCTACGTGGAGTCGCGTTGAAGGAGTACCTAACTTTTCGTACTCTAGTCGCCAAGGTTAGACAGAAAACATAATCTCGTTGCATTCGTTGCTTCAGTGAACTGTATCTACGTAATTGCGGATATCCTGGTTGCTGTTTTTTCCAGCTTTTGTTTCTCTTGTCACGCGATTGCTCGTTTATTATTAATCAATCCTTTGATCCTACGATATTGCACGCGTTCACACGACGAATCCTCTTCGCAACCACTAAAAAAAAACCACTTCATTCCATCGTCATAATTTTCCAAAACATTGCTAATTTTGAGTTGTGGCTTTATCTGGAATATTACAGCATGTTTTTGCATGTTTTTTGCATGTTTTCGAAGCTCGGTGTAGCCTACCTACCTATCCTAATTTCTAACAGGTGATAGGTTTGACCGCCACCCTGGGCTCCGGCTTGCCCCTGGGCAAAGAGGGTCCTTTCGTGCATATCGCCAGTATCGTAGCGACCCTTCTCTCGAAATTGGTCACCAGCTTTCAAGGGATCTACGAGAATGAGAGCAGAAACTGCGAGATGCTCGCGGCAGCTTGCGCGGTCGGTGTGGCCGCGTGTTTCGCGGCTCCCATCGGAGGTGTTCTCTTCAGCATCGAGGTCACCACCGTCTATTTCGCCGTACGAAATTATTGGCGAGGTTTCTTCGCCGCTGTATGCGGCGCCACGATGTTTCGATTGCTGGCGATCTGGTTTCAAAGGGAAGAAACCATCACCGCGATGTTCGCTACGAATTTCACCATGGATTTTCCCTTCGATCCTCAAGAACTGTTCGTATTTGCTTTGATCGGCGTTGGCAGCGGTCTATGTGGTGCTTTTTACGTCTGGTTACACAGACAGTATGTCATCTTCATGAGGAAGAACAAGAGTATGAACAGCTTTCTGCAGAAAAAGTGAGTGATCTATGCAGCCGGTATTAACATGGAAATTAGAGGAGATTGTAACATGTTAATACCGATCACCTCCTAGATATATTTATTACATCTTCTCCCGAATCATGGTTTGTGATCGTATCGAATAATTCCAGTCGTTTTCTCTACCCTGGAATCGTTTCTCTCTTGGTGTCGTCCATATCCTTTCCGTTGGGACTAGGCCAATTCATGGCTGGTGATTTGAACACCCATGACCAAGTGTACGGTTTGTTTACCAACTTCACCTGGACCAAAGAAGAACTAGGCGTCGAAGAGATGAACATAGTAAAACACTGGTCCACGGGGTACACCGACGTGTTCATTGGTCTGCTTGGCTTCGGTACCTTCACGGTAAGAATTCGAGAAGAAAATTGTCGAGCAAAATATGGTCCACGGTCGAACAAAGAATTTTGATTTCAGTTCATCTTTTCTATCATAAGCTCGACGGTTCCCGTGCCTTCGGGAATCTTCATCCCCGTGTTTAAAATCGGCGCTGCGCTAGGCAGAGCCGTGGGAGAGGCTATGGCTCTATGGTTCCCCACCGGCGTTCGTTATGGCGGTATCATAACTCCTATCGTACCAGGTAATTTTCACCCGAGTCAGGGCTGAAATTCGCATCGTATATCGTTGCAATGGAATGAAATTTTTGTAGGAGGTTACGCTACCGTCGGTGCAGCTGCATTTTCCGGTGCAGTGACTCACACCATCTCCGTCAGCGTTATCGTATTCGAGATGACCGGTCAGATAACGCACATCGTGCCAATTATGATCGCTGTGCTGATCAGTAACGCTATCGCCGCTCTTCTTCAACCCAGCATATACGATAGCATCATTCTGATCAAGAAACTACCATACCTGCCGGATCTACTGCCATCCAGTTCAGGTAAATCTCGTATTCCGAAGATCTCCTTTCAAATCTCGTTTAACTACATTTCTCGTTTCCTTGAACAAGCTTCTCGAAAGGATTTATGATTAAAGAGGTAATTCTCGTTAGAAACCCTGTAGATGTTTAACGAAATTCACATCCGAGTTGCATTTTCGAGAACGAATCGTAATTTTCATAGGAATGTACAACGTTTACGTGGAAGACTTCATGGTACGCGACGTGAAGTACATCTGGCATGGAATTACGTATCAGAAATTGAAGGAAATTCTAAAGGAAAACCGCAAACTACGTGGTTTTCCTCTGGTTGACAATCCAGATTCGATGATTCTCCTCGGGTCCATTCAAAGGCTGGAATTAATCAAATTGATCGAGAAACATATTGGCCGCGAGCGAAGGTTACAGGTAGTTAACTTAGTTTTAAGGATTTTCCTATCCTACTTTGTCTACGTTCCAAGTAGGATTAGTAGGTTTTCCATGGTGTCGTTAGGTGGCTCAAAAATGGCACAAAGAAGCCGAGGAAAGAGCTCGAGAAGAGATGGAACGTCAATTGAGGGATCAAGAGAGAACAAGGAGACCATCGCGGTTCGAGGTGATTCCAGCACCGGATATCTTGAAAATGCAAAGACAAAGCGCGAACGATCTAACGATGTCTCCGAATAATGGGACGGCTTCTGACCACGTGAGTCACACCCTGTTGACGTCAATGAACGCACACGTAATTGTGTCTATTTGCTCAATTAACTGCGTTATCCTGCTTCACCGCCACGCTGATTATCCTCCCTCTACTCTCGTTATCTTTTAGCACACTTACCATTCTCCGGTATTTGGCTCGCAACCGAAGAAGTCAATCCTGAAGAAAACCAACTCTTTCACGTTGAAAGGATTCAGTCCGTTGGTTAGTCCAGCTGTTACTCCGTACACAACCGTCACCGGCGCGGAGAGCAGGTAAAACTTGTGACTGGAAAGAATCGAATTTGTAAAACGTAAAAATAAGACTGTATCCCACATTCTGAGAGATGAGAAATTGACTATTGACCAGGAATGCGAGCACAGAGTAGCCTTTTCTTGCCTCTGTGCCGTTTTTCCAATCATCTTCTCGTCTATGCATTACTATCATCGCGTATGTTGGTTCTGCAACGAGGAAAACTGGTTTTCCCTCGATCTCCATAGCACCGTTACGATTCTAGGATACGTTTGGCCTTCGAAGCGATCTTCCGCAAGTCTGCCACCTTACAGGACGTAGATCCTGATCCGGAATTAGGTTCCGGAACTGGTACCAGGCGCGATAGTCAAGAGGTAGCGCCCCATACACCCATGTTAGCACCCAGTCCAGCCACATCGAAGAAAGTACAATTGGTAATGACAGATGGTTTACATCGTTGCATCGTAATGAAAAGACGATGAAAACCGTTTCGTAACGTTTCTTCGTTTCGACAGCCCCGGGAAAGAGTGATAGACATGTCAGCGGAGGATCAGAAACGATGGGAAGAAAGCGAAATGGCGTTGGAAGTTGATTTCTCTAGGTGTCACATCGATCCAGCACCCTTTCAACTGGTCGAAAGGACGTCTCTGTTGAAGGTGCACAGTCTGTTCAGTATGGTCGGCGTGAATCACGCCTATGTAACAGCCATTGGAAGGCTAGTCGGGGTTGTCGGGCTGAAAGAGGTTCGTTCAAAATACAGATACCTCTGTCCTCTCTGTTTTTAATTTACAATAGAAGTGGGTTCTAGGCTCTAAGTTTATTTCGCGACATTTTTCCATCTGTTCACAGCTAAGGAAAGCGATAGAAGACGCGAACGCTGGAATTTTGCCTATGCACACGGAATCACACATCGGTGTCTCGACGTCCAGCATCGCGAAAAGCGAGACGGACACGGAGAGCAAGAACGCTAGCACGATGAACTCTATAGCTTCCGTCGATTGTGAGAAAGTTGAGAAAGTCTGAATATTGAAAGGAAAGAAAGAGAGAGAGAGATAGAGGGGGGGGGAGGGGGGAGAAAGATAAGCTAGAAAGATAAGTAAAAACAAAAATGTGATAGTCGTGTTGTGAGACGCGCGACGCGGCCTGTGAACGATGCGATAGACAGACGAGTTTCTTTTAACTAAAATTATTCCCTTTCTTCCTTCCACGATCGTGATTCTATTAACGAAACCACGAGCAACAAGTCGATCGTAAACGCTTACATAACTAATGATCGATTTTAAACTTTTCTCGTACTTAAAATCTCGGGACAAGATTATCGCCAACACTTTGAAGGTTTCAGAAACGTATACGGTATATAGATTAAAAATTGTTATAGAATCTACATTGTCGATCAGTGAGTGACGAGCAATAATCTTTCGGTTTTTATCTATCAAATATGCTCGTCATCGTTGTAGATGATTCGACAGGTTGCTCTTGATCATTTGTCGGAAGGAAGCTCTCGGTACCGAAGATTTACATCAGGGTTTAATCAAGTTGTTCTTTACCAATTTAGCTGGTCTTTTATCTAATTCACTGTATTCCTTGTAACATAATAGAATTATTATAGAGAGTTACCAGGTACGAATGTACGAGTATCGAATGATTGTTTTAACAGATGTTTGATTTCGTGATATCAGTGCTCAAACAAGATTATCCATGAAGAGCATGGACTCGTATCCTACGTAGAACGTCGAAGCTTCTCGTTAATAATATATATGGTGCTCCGAAATAACTTTTCAACGAGTTCGCTTCGTGTTCGTAAAGGAATATGCTGTGAATCGTGCGACTGTTGTAGACAATCCAATCATAAATCGTGATCGATAATGTATTATATTATAGGACAAGGCGATATAGTCAGCGACCTTGACAAGCGTGATTTATTCTAATGTAATTAATTTAAGGAAGAATCGCGGATGATGTTGATTCACGTTGAATAGTCTTTTGTAGTGTGTAAAATTCATCTGACCATGGTTGTGCCAACCTATTTATTCTAATCGTTAATTGTCGTTAATTGGGCGTGAAAGTTAATGATGTTATTAATGAGAGAGAGAGAGAGAGTGAGAGGAGATAGGAATACATTAAATGGAATTTTGATATATCTCTCATGGTAGAAATTGAACGAGAGGACATATCATATTCTGATAGACAACTATTTTAATTTCGAGATAGCATCATTGAGAATGATGTCTTAATTAATCATTCTAACGTTATTGTAGGACCAGAAGCGGATAATACCGTTCTGTTCGACGGTGGATCGGTTATCTGCGAGTATACTAGTTTAAGTAAAAGTTCATAGGGCATTTTACATTCCATCCGACGTTATAGTTTCACGATGCATCCCATTTTACTGTAAATTAATTCTGTGTTTATCACGCTTTATCCATGCTCTAGCGTGACCAATTATCACCAAGTACACAGTTGTACAATCGGGAGACGACATTAAATAATTTATTATATTATTTACAATATTGTGCAGTCGATATTATTTTCTTCTCAACATCGATACAGAAGGTACGCGTGCAGACTCTACGAAACTGCAGCTCAGTTTATTTCTCCAAGGTAAACCAGCCGTGTAAGCATTTTGGCACCGGACCAGGAGTGTCGAAGGTGGCTCTTGCAATTTCCGTAAGAGTCACGCTGTCTAGAATCAGCAGACCGACCCGTGTCTCTATATCCGACCACACGATTCCACTTAACACCACACCGTCGTCTTCTCTCTGAAATATTCCGAAAAAAAAAAAAAAAAAAAAAAAAAAAAAAAAAATGTTTTTTGGTCACTGGAAATGGCCGAAAAAGGGTTGACTCTAGAGCGAATGTCTTCATTTTACTCACTTTGCCATTAGGATCAGGTACAAAAATCGGCTCACTCGGATAGACGTTCTTTTCGCACCACGTTTTTCTCGTTTTTTCCAAAATATCCACCTTGATGATCTATGAACCAAGATTGTACCATTATAAATGAGTAATTGAAGATTTATATGAATATGACGTATACCGAAAGTATCATCACCGTTCCAGGATTTTCCAAATCTACGTCACTGGAAATTGCATAGAAATATCTATACTCCCTTCCAAAATAAGAATCGTAATTAAGCCTCGGTGTTTCACAGCCCAAATCGCAGAGAAGTTCCGGTTTTACGATGATATTACCATCCGGAAGCCTATGAGCAGCCGCTTTTCGTCGAAAAATATTTTTCTCATTGTTTTTCCTTTCTTCCTTAACATCCACAGAATTTTCTTTCTTTGTATTCGATTCGTCGATAAACTTCGAAGGATTCTTAATATCGGTGATATCTAGAAAAGACTCCAAACCCTGATTTACCGTTTTTACAGTGATTAAATTGTACTCTAGTGGCACGTCGGGTGGTGGACGTTTCATTGGTAACACGAATCGCAATGGTCTACCTCTAAACATCTTAGCATAATCAGGATTTTTATGTAAATTCTGCAAACGTAACGGGAAGAATTATTATAGAATTATTAGAAGAATATTATCAATGTTCGTCACCTTCATCGCGTCCACGAATAAACAATCCAACATTTTTGCATCGCGATAGCAACAAATATCCAACACTATATAATCACGATCACGAGTTTCGAATTGATTTATAATGTGAAGGTAGAAAAATGCCTCTGCGATGAATGTCCTTTCCAGTAATCCAGTTTCCTTTGAAATCACGTGTATGCGAGTCTGTGAAACAAACGAGAAGAAAATCAATTTTCTTTTTTCTGCTTCTCTTATTGTTGCAAACCTCCTATTATAAAGTAAAGATAATCATTTTCTCGTACGTTCTCGTTCTCGTGCCATTTAAGAGCAGCGCGCATTGGCTCTTGCTTCATTTTACAAGATAACACAGTGGTCAAAGAGACTGCCAGAGGTTGTTCAACGATTATAAAATAATTCTCGGTGATTCCAAAGGTATGCATATAAGAAGGATTCAGTAACCATCTAGATGGAATACTGGCGACGATGGTGGCTTGATCGAACATGGATAATTCTTGCTCTTCTCCTGAATCATCTGTTAAAAGTGATCAACGAAAACCTTTCGTTAGAAATGTTGTATAATTGAAAAGCTTTAAGATGCTAACCAATGATGATTCGACTAGGTTGAAAGCACACGATATTGTACATAGGGCCCCGAGTTGTTACGCTTAAACCTAGATTGTAAATCGTGCCATCGTTCATTACGTGAGGATGAGAAGTGTGATTTACAATTCGAACGTAATCAGATACGTTCACCTATAAAGAGAAAGAAAATTCTATTGATCTGTTTTCTCAATATTTTACTAAATTGACACCGTGTTAATTAACGTTAACACTTCTCATACCTTGCCTTTAGTTTCTAAAGTTTCCGGATCAATACGATGTATCACCGCCGTTTCAGCAAACGTGTAATACTCGTCACCAAATGGATAAACTGATATCATTGAATTATCAGAATCCTCTTCAGGTTTGAATACCGCTGCAATTCTGAACAACCCTACGTTTTTATTTTTCCCGAATATTAATATTTCAATTGATCTTTAATTCTATCGGTACCTTTGAAAAATGCTTTGGCAAGGATCTGGTATCGCTTTCGTACCAAATTCAGTGACAACTATCCTCTTTGCAGCATTGTTCTTCTTATAGACATCCGTTTGAACAAATCTACACTGGTACGTTGCTTTCCCATTGGCAATGGCGAATCTATCGAGAAATATCATTTTAAAATCAATTGAATTTATTTATTTATTTTTTTTCAACTTCGTTGAACGTATCTTCAATATTTTGTTAATCTCTGTTGCAGACTCACCGGTGCAGCAAAGCAGAGCTGTCGAACAGGTGGTTGAAATTGAATTCCCCGACCTTCAAACTACCTGGTCCGTTCCTCAACAACGTACCCTTCAACCAACAAGGTATATTCCCTGTCACCTTCCCAGGTATTGGTTCTATCACTTCCTTTTCGCACGATCTCATCCACACGGACGAATCACAGTTTGGAAAATAATTCGTCTTTTCCTCTTTTGATTCATTTTCACTGCTTTTCAATGTACCTTCCACGTCACTTAACTGTGACAAGGAAATTTATTTGATAAGATTTGAGGAGAGATTGAAATTTATACGAAAACTTACGCGAAACGATGTCCTCGACAATTTCAATCGTTTTCCATGCAACAGATCATCGAGTTCGTTTAAATTCACCGAAGATAGGTCGTACCCTGATTTCGATGTATTATAATTTACCGATTTCATAATGATTTTTATCAAAACTACTAAAGGAACTCGATGAAAAATTAAGCACCAATTATATCTTCACCACCGCGAATTTTTTTATTTTTCAATTACGTTCGAAAGAAAGGTATAGATCGTCTAACTTTACGCCTCATCCTCTACGTTTTCGTTAGCCGATTCCAATACCAACGGATCCAGAATCGACGATAGAATCTGGTAAACTCGTTTGTGGGTGAAATCCATCGTTCTTCCAGGGGCTTCGAGGAACGAATGACATTGTTCCGGTAATCTGCTGACCTTAAAATGTATTTTCATCCGTGATCCAATTAATGACACCGGTTGCTCGAAGCCCCTCGAACAGTCACGTGTATTTCACCCCTTCTTATCAAATTTTCCATCCCTCACATGTGACCAATTGGCACGTGACATTGTTCCTACGAGATCCAATATCAATTTTCACACCTATTACCTACAAAAACGATTACCTATCTTAAAATATTTTTCAACATTTTTTCGATTCATTAGATACATGTAAAACAATCGTTTGTTAATTTTGTAGCTGTAAATTGTCGTTCTCTAAGTTATCGATGTTTAAAAGGGAAATTGATAAAATCAGGTTCAGAGATTCTCTGTAAGAGGGCGATAAGGTCGTTATTAAAGGTGTTGAGCTTTTTTTTTAAATTAGTACAGTGTCGAGCATGGTAGTCTTCTCTAGAGAGGAAGGGGAAAAGGAGGTCCCCTTTTTTCTTTATGTGATAAGAGTGTTAGCAATGAGGACGATTTTATGTCAAGGAGCTTACGAACGCAGCGAAATATTTATGAACCGGGAGTCGAAAGAACAAGAATAAACTTTCCTTTCGATCCTTGTACAGATATCATTTCTGCTTACGCAGGGAATACCTGATTATTCTAATTACTTAATTAAACGATCGAGAAAATCATCGTTTTATTTTTCTGATAATTAAATTTTATACGATTTCAATGATAATTTGATTGCACCTTGGTGACCTTCGATCGCGCGTGTGATATATTAAAGCAGAAATATAATCTGCTGGCAAGGGCAAACGTTCTTTAAATTGACGTTCGAGAATTAACAGATAAGATAGACACATTTGCCTCTATTACCGGAAACAACGTGGCGATGCTGATGTCCGTAACACCTGACTTCCCTAGATCGGTCAAACCCTTACGAAGATCCGACATGCTGCGAAAAATGGGCACTCGATATATTTTCTTCGTTTAACTTCGCGTAGAGGCTGGCCAATTGACCGAATTCGCGACCACTTTGCCCGTTTTGGCCAGTTGCCCAAAATTATTCGCGGCATGTGTCGCTATTCCACGAAATACCAACCAGAATTTAAAGACTCCTTTTCAAGGCAATCATAAAAACATTTTATTTCTTATGGTATATATTAAAAGGACCATTTTTTTTTTTCTCTTCGGGTATCCTCTATCTCTTTTAATTCTTTCAATCGGTGTTCTCTTACACAGATCAAGTGCGATTCAACAAATTTATTCCACGACCATATGGTCAACAACTCATGTCGGTTTTCTGCCGTTTGAAATTTGCATTTCAATATGTACACATGTATCCGTGTAGGTTTACCTCTAAACTTAGCTGCTTTTAAACAAGACTGTCGTCTACATTACAGTAAATAACTGCAGGTTCTCTTTTCATACTGTGATTTCGTAAATCTAAAATCTCGAAAGTTTCTTTGCAAGAACGATTGATCTCGATGATATATTCTTGGATACTCGATCGACGGGATAAGGAACAGCCTTGATTTCCATATTTATTCAGTCTTTAACCGAGTGTCATTTAGTTTACATCGACGTTACGCGTAACTGGAAGTTATCTTTCATTCGCTAATTGAACGAACGAGAGAATTGAGAATTGACACAAAGACGTTATTAAAAAAATGTCTGAGTAAACGAGAAGAGAAGAGGTTGAAGGTAATCGTACCGAGGACAAGATAAAACGAGCGATATCGTGATAATAATCGGGACATGTTTTTTAACACGATCACATGAATCAAACACCTCGCCTTCTTATATTTTACATTATAGAAATGCATCTTTCTGACGAATTCGTCTGATCACCCTGCCTCCTTTAATCGAGATAATTATTTTCAATTGATTTTAGGAAAATCATACGGTTATGCGTTTCGCGATGATAGGAAGCTGGAGTTACGGAAATAAACTGTCGTTAAAATTCATTGGTCTGTTTATTCGAAGATGTGTGCAAAGTAAATACAGGGTATGGGAGAAGAACGTGTTGTTTTCTACGTGGTTGCGTACACGTTGGATAGCAGGTCGAACGTTCCGCGTGACACATCGCCCGTTGCTCGCATAAGTTCGCGCCCATACGTGCACTTCTTGGTGAAACGGTGCATACATGCTTGCACCACGTGCCTGTCACGTGCTCCGGCCGAGAGGCTCGCGTCACGTGAACGGTCCGAGAGTGGTTCTTGCTAACAAAGCCAACAAAATCAAAGTTACCGCCTCGATGCACCAGAGGCTGGTGGTGGGCGCGCGAGCGAAGAAAATGCAACCTTCTCGAACTTTCGTCTCCTCGACGCGGTGCAATTTCGATATAAACGTTCCATCGGCCGCGCATATCCTGTATATCGAAAGAGCACGAGCTTGCGTACTTTCTACTTTAAGGTATTGATTCATTCTTGGACTGCATAGAGCTAGCCTTTGAATTTCATTTCTTAGTGGGTCGCGTTAAAAGTTTGTAGAGGATAGGTTCGATAGGTTTTTTTCGATTTCTTCCGAAGTTGGAGTAAAAAATGAGTATTTTCCGAATTGAACTTTGTTCAAGAAGTAATTCCAATTGCTTCTTGCGATGTATCGAACGAAGCGTTTGTTTCAAGTCTGAATAAACATGAGCGGTGTTAGTTCACGTTGCAGAGCGTAAAATACTCGGGTCTGTGAAAGCAAAGTGGGAACTTGGCGATTCGTTATCAAGTTTACATACGTACCAGATAATAGTGACCCAAATACTTTTTCAAAATTTGCTGATTGTATCTTGCAACCTAATAGTTCGTCTCTTTTTGTCTTCTATCACGCCAGAATGATTGTTCGTTCATATCCCAGACGCCCACTATCATTTATTTACATTTTCTTACCTACGGAATGTTGGTATTTGGTGTTGCATCCTAGGTACCAACTATGAAACAATGATTTCATGATTTCAAGTTAACTCGTATCCGGTAGTGTTAACTCCAGGTATCTGTCGATCAATCGGTCAGGTGGACCAAGTTCCACCCAACGAGGTACTCGAAGACTACAAATATGTAGAAGTAGACTAAGTTCTAGCTAGCAAGAGACCCGATAACCTGACCCACTCTGTTTCTGCAGTCATGAAAAGTCTGTGTTAGTGGAAGAAAGGAACACTGGGTTCATTGATTTCAATTCGAAGACGAAGAAGAGATGAGAAAAAGCGGAAATATCGAGGGAAGGAAAAAGAAAAAAGACGTTGCTCGCTAATCAAGCGAGTAATGCATTTTAAACATCGCGTCGTGGTTTAAGCGGATCGCAAAGCGTGTAGGTCAAGGCTGAGATAATGGTAAACACAGACATTCAAAGCGCGAACAGTTTCATTCGTTCTGCCGCTTATCCACCTGATTTTCAGAATATCCACTGATTTTCTTGTCCAAGTATCCGATCGCTATTCAATTGAATCCTTAAAGATTGTTGCATATTCATGACTTCTCTTTGTTGTCGTTTCAACGACAAACCGTCCTTCGTGTTCGAACTGGAAGGGATGATGATCTTCGATTATTTTAACGTACGATTTCTTTAAGTGTTTCGAAAAATGTATCTCTCAAGACTGCAAAATACTCGGTCATTGAGTGAGAAAATAAAGCTGCTGTTTTCAGTAACAAACAAAGACCGCCTGCCATCTGTCAACGTGTTAAAAATGATGAATTTTTAGTTCCTTTATTTTTATCTTATTTTTTGTTTACCGAAAACACGGATTTGCGATTACGTATCAATCTAATTTAAAGACAATTCGAATCTCGACGAGATGCTTGCAAACAAACGGTCGGCGTTAATTAAGGAATGTTACCTAACTTAAACCATTTACGAGCCATCAACGTCTATTTTAAGCCCGTACTTTGAAATTCTTTGTTATACTCGTTCCCTGTTTACGTCTACCGATATGACAAACGATTAAGAGCAATTATCTTGCAAAAGAATGTTCGTTCAATTTAATATCAATATTTTTTACACGTTGGTTGCTACGGGAGTCATCGATGACCAATGTCTCAAACGTAACGTAATCGAATTGTAGTTATAAAAAGAGAAGGGAAAATAAATTTTGAGTAAAGTTAGTATTATTGATATTAGCGATAAGAGGTGGCAAATTGAACGATTAAATTTGAATATAACACGCGTCCATTTCCACTGTGGCGATCAACGTGTTATTAGCTGTAATATTCTGTGCCATACCAAGTCTAATTACCGTTTTGGAAATGGATATACAATGTACAACGTAGTAAGACACTTTGCAATAATAACTGTTATTATAAGAATCCTATCAATTTTGCTATGTAAATTTCTTGGTGCATTATTAACATTCTTCAACATTTTCTTTCCGTTTACTTTCGTTAATTGTTCGAGAGTATCTGTTTGAATTACAATTGATGGGTTAATTACGCGAGTGGTATTGATTGAATACCGCTGCCATGTAAATCATTTTATAGGTTCATTTTCGACAAACTAAAGCACAAAGTGGTGGTATCAAGATTAATTAAAATTCTCGTGAAATAAAGTGTGACTTTTCACGCATATTATATTTCCTCGTTAAACGCCAATGGAAAAAAAGAAACAACAATGGTCATCAAGGATGTACGTGGTGTCGTCATGTGACATCCTAATCTACTCTCATGACGCGTATAACATTTGTATGTAGGCAGATCATGTGACGAGACATTTTCGTATGATTCACTGTCTCTTGTTTATTGAAAAGCTTGCCTGTGTTCTCATTAATCCTTTCGTTACATATGCATATATGAAAAGTCAGCTGTTAATGGCAACAGAGGAGAACGATCGCGAAAGATTGACAAATTCAAAACGTTTCGTTGAGAAGGTGTTATCAGAGATAAGGCAGAAGGAAAGAGTACTCATCTTCCAGATTTTTCATTGTTTCTTGCGAGTATTGTAAGATCATTTGAAACATTATTAGTCACTCGATGGTGCCCAAGTGAGACATCCGGTGATATGTACCACAACTAACTAGCCAGCGATATCGATATCCTCTGCTCGCTGATAATCGTATTTATACCGGGCTTCTTTTTCACTTATCAAAAACACGCCCATTCTTCGGAAAACTTACAAAAAATTGAATCTAATACTACTCTTTAAGATCTATAAGATCTATAGATTTGAAAAACTGTTGATTGTAAAAATAAAAATAAAAATAGATAGAACAAAACGAAGTAAGAGAAAAGTAGAATTCTCGGGATAGTTCTGTTGTTGGTTCATATAACTTCTAATTGAGAGCAAAGTTCATGTTCCACGAAAAGTATAGAAGTTAATTAATTAACTGCTCTTTTACGTGTCTTTCAATTCTGTTCTATTCTCTCCATTTCAACGTTATTATCTCTCTAATAATCGTTCAGCCAACTGTATCTCTCCGTTTACTGCAAAGAATCGGTTTCTTAACAATGCAGGATACGGTAAACCTAATATGTGTGTGTACATACATCTGTATGTAGATCACTATCCTAATGATCTGCAGTCATCGCGGTACGTTTAAAACATCTGGCTATTAATTACTATTATAGCAAGCGTTTCCTGGAACAATCAGTTAAATGGTTGTTAAATACAATTTTCTGTAATTTTCAATTTCAATTGTTCTCTCAATCGATGCTCGATGAATAGATGGAATTTTTTCATTCGAAAGCAAATTCCTCGGTCATAGTATTTTTTAATTGAATTCTTGTCCAAGCGTACAGTGGTACAAACTCGTCCGATCAATATTTGACAATGAATCTAAATTACGTCATTTGGTCGAGATAAACAGTGTTTGTTCCATGAATCGTATCTTTTTAAAAGAGACGCGTGACTGTATTGTCAGGTCACGAGAGATTCTTTTTCACTGTTATCGAATCTCGTGACTGATTCGACACTATTCAGAAGGTGAAATAATTCCCGCCTATATCGCTCTAATTTGGTTGAACAATTAAAAGCATTATGTATCCATTCATAAAAAGAGCCATGCCCGAATATTCAAATAAATAAATAAATAATTTGTCCCGTGTCGTAGTAGTTTAAAAAATGTTGGACCAATTTCGATAAGACTAATATCTTCTAACAGATGAAAATTTTAATTAACAATGCTTTGGAATAATCGTGTAATAAAATCACCTCGCGAACACGATTTGAGATTGTTGAAAATTTCGTAAGAAGCTAATAGGTTTTAAACATAAAATGTTGACATAATCCTATTCTGTTTGTTGTTTAAAAGTCATTGGGTAACTACAGTCGCTAGTCAGCTCGGCGACCTCTTTCATTCGATTACTCAATAATCATTATTGGATTAGACGGTGATCGATCCGTCAGCACGCGTACTCTACGTGAAGTCTTAATTCTAGATCATGATAAGTGTATCAGAGATCGATAAACTTTTTTCTTCCATGCACCACCATGATCATCATCGTCATCAGATGGAAACTCTACTATCATTGTTCATATGTGCAAGCGATAGATTAGAGGGATCATTGAAAAAATCTACTATTACAATTTCTTTTTATTTCTCAATGATAGAGAAGCCGTCTTCTTTTTTATGGTTTCTTCTTACATATACCTTTAAGATTATTAGATTAATTTTATCAAAGTTTCTGGCCAATTTTTATGTTCTACCAGAAGAAACATTTACGATTTTACAATTGCATAAACGTTTGGCTAGCATCGCGAGAATGTTTCATTCTTCAATTTCTACTAGCACAAATATAAATTCTTAAAACGCTTCCTGTTTGTTCAACTATCATCGTCGAGTGAGAATAACTGGTGGCACTGTTTTCAATCTTCTATTACTCACACCGACGTAGCAATGAAAACGAGTTAATAATAAGTTCACAGACACGCCTGTCGAGTGAAAACTCAAAGTCCACGCAACACGCACGAGAAGAGGTCCAAATCGATTAATTAAAAGGAACGATCTCGATTTCGACTCCGTCCTTCGTGACGCGCGCGATTCGTAATTCTGACGGGATCATAAATCGAACGGTAATCGATCAGCGTTACGTCGAGTTTATGCCGTTCGAATGCTTTTCCACTTGTTGGGAAACCTGTTTAACCAGTGTCCCCGTTAATGCATGTAACAACACGTTTCTAATATCGTTGCTTTTACCTTTGCTTACATTTGCTTTTACCTTTTTAATGCTGGAAAGCTTGCTTACTTTACAGTAAGTTCAATTTTGCAACCGAGAGCAAAATCCAAGTTAAAGTGTACGTCCTGAAACGTCTCTGTTACTCATTAATATTTTCTTAAAAAAGAAAAATAACGTCACAAGTTACGCGTACTTACTTGAAATAATCTATCGTAACTCAGTGCAGCGATAAAGAGCAGTGAATCATTCGATGAATTAATTTTCTTTAATCTAAGGCTCATCCATGCAAATAAGTCAACGTATTTCCATATCCGCGGCTATCGGTTCGCGTATCATTCGTTAAAAACACCATTTTTTGTATCTTTTTGTTCGAAAAACAGAAAGTAAGAAACGTATCGGCGACGATTGATATGTTTCTTCCTTTTCTTCTCTCTTTTTTGTTTCAATTATGCAAATAAGTTAGAAGGACAAAGACATCGCGCATCATTGCAAAATGCAAAACGTTGCACAATTCTCGGTAATCCGACCACGATGTCTGAATATTAATTCGTCACGTGATCTCATATTTTTCGCTTGCAGTTCGAGGTGTCGCAATAAGAATAAGATAAGGAAATTCATTATCCCACATCCGTGGATTATCCCACTCTTGTGTCTTCCGTGTCTCTTTCGCACACGATGCCGATAAACGCGAATCGAGTGAAAAATAACGACGAATCCGACATTTTTTCGGTAAATTGTCGTCACTGATACGAGTCCAATTTCACTCTCTTTCTTCTCGTCGTCGTAACGTATTGTACAAAGTATAAAGTGTTCTCGAAACGTTGTCAATTATTTCTTCGTCTACGACCACGGTGATTCATCTATCACGCTTCGAATTTTCATTTGAAGCCGAGTACAAAACGATTTCGAACATATTAAGATCGTGAAAAGAATTTGCTTTGAACAATTCGCGTATACGTAGACGGTGAGTGAGCGATTTTCTTTGATTGAAAAATGGACAACGTAATTCGCGAATACCAGGATATTTTCAATTTGCCAGGTACTTTATATTCTTAGCGTAAATTAGATTATATTTAATCTGTTGATTTAACGATGAAAATTTCGATTATTTAATATATTTTTCTTGTGTAATCTAGGTCGAACAATAACGCGTTATTTATCGGTTACATCGTCGCCGATAAGAGCGTATAGATAATAATTATCGGAAGAAAGTTGATCGAAAGGTATTAAAGTTTCGACTTTCTATAGTGTTCCAACGAATAATAATCGTGAAAACCGTGAAACCAGAATCTTCGATATAGGTTTAAGAAGGATCGAACCCTTTCGCAGAGTGACAGACGTGCGCGCAGGCAAGAGTAGCAAAAAGATAATAGTGACTGCTTGAAAATAAGCAAAATTAAATAAAACAAGACGGACAAGACGTAAGAAGCACATGACTGCAGTTTGATATGAAGAAACTCGTGACAGTGAAACCGATAAACCACCGAGAATAATTTAATCGACCGCAACAACCCGCAAAAGTGTTCAGTCCTTTGCCGACATGTCCAGGAACCAGAATTACCGGACGTTTACCGACGAGTAAGTACCACCTAAACATATTTTCACCTGGATCACGTTTTTCCTGCATTTCCGAAAGGATAAAGTGTCATCTAAACGTTAAGAATTTAACCATTCTTCCTTCCTATTCCTTAAATAGGAAAAATCAAACTATCGATGTGCAAATTTGTCCTCGGCAAAATGTAACAAACAACGTCATAAATGCATAACCTTTTTGTTTAATTTAATAGCATCGAGCATTTTTTGTTTGCAATGTAAAATGGTAAATTTGTGATTAGCCATTAGCAGTCGTTCTTCTGTGAAACAAGTATCTAAGTCTGCACTCTCTTATCTCGAATTATTTGCGGCAATAAACATTACGCGTTTAGAAATACCATTGAAAAGCAGTTGATTACGGTTTGCAATCTACAAAAAAGATACAGATAATGTAAAAGAGAGCTATGTGTCATCGGAAAAGAATTAAAATCTACAGGAAAATGTGACTGTTTGCCGTGCAAATGCCGATAGAGACGATTGTTTGGCTAGCTGATCTGAAATTTGACCAGATTTTATTGTTCATTTTCTTGTGTACACTTTTCGTCATCGCCAGTAAACGATTACCTGTTTTTACTCTATTTTTAACGTCTCTTTTTTAGTTTGCAGTTTTATGATCGATTTATACGAACGATCAAATTTTCATAACGTGCGTATATTTTATTTTCGTAAATATCCTTGTTATTCTTTTAAACGTAATCGATATTTGTTCCCCGATATAATTGGCGATCGATTAGTATTTCAAGATAAAAATCCATTTAATTGCATCGCGCTTCAGTAAACTTTCTCGTTCCTTCTGGGACTTTCTTTATTTTTATTTTTATTTTTATTTTTTTAATTATACTTTAAAGATAATGTGTAAAATTTATTTTTTCATTCTTAGCCTTTTGTTGTTTATAAATTGTTAATGATATTTCAAAATGTATTTAAAATGGCAATTTTTCACTTATCTGTTATCTCATTTTGCACATTCAGCATTATACACAGGGATACAACTCTCATCAATATCGTAATTCACGAACGACAATCGTGACAAATTCAGTCACGAGTTGTAGAACCGCCGACCGAGATACGGCACTATTTTTCTCAGATAAACAAATGATCAAATCCTCGTGACTGTTCTTATCGATTCGGATGTAGATTGCGCTGGTACAACCTATATTTTCGTTTGAAAAAAAAAAAAGAAACCAGGTACACAGTGGCTATTTCTACTTGTACATAATAAAAAAATATTTTTTCCTCAACTGACAGAAATATTGACATCATTTCATTTTCGTACTTGGTTAACGCGTTAACACGTTGCTTTAAATAGAACAAAATTCAATTCATAAAATATTCATACTGTTATTAACAAATATGGTATCAGAAAACAGGCGCTAAAATAACCATATCCTTCTGAAATGTAAATTTTAATATTTTTCAATATTTGTCTTCTTTATGAAATGGGATTGATTTAATTTGAACTCTTTTAATAATTTTTCGCAAATGCGCAAACGTTTGAAAAATGCATGCGCAAGCGTACAAAATTCGCGCGTCGTTCTACTGCGCAAGTCAACGGCGCACCGCTATTGCTTATATAAAGCCCAGCCGGCGTGTGTCACGAGTATATTCGTTTCGCGCGCGTCGTAAAGGAAGGATTGTAAACAAACTTTTCTTCCTCTGCAATTTTCGTACAAGTATCATAATCCGTTGTAACTCTACTTCGCGTGGCGCATAATTTTGGCGAAGTAAATCTCCTGTTTACAAAAAAAGAAGGACTAAACCGCGAAGAAGAGAAGGAAAAAGCAGATCACGTCGGTGAACGTAGGTACTACATGAATTGTCCATGGAAAAAGATACCCTTGGGATTTTACGAGATAGGACGTATAATTGGTGTTTCAAAAATTTGTTGAAGAAAAAGAAAGTTCCTCCTAAAAACGGTACGAAATTACGTTCAGTTTCGTTTGAAGCAACCGATCGAGAAAGAAACTGAAACACACGAAGGATAAATAGACAAGACGAAGACAAAGAGAAAATAAAGAAAGAAACAAGGAAAAGAAAGCGGGAGAAAAGGCGATAATATGCAAATTTCTTTATAGTTATTATATAGCATTGTGATATAGCGGACTGTGATATAACTTGTACATAATTTTATTTTTGTTCGAAAGACTTCTCTCAAAGAGAAACGACATTGGAAGATCAATATGCCGAACACTGTGCCAGAGTGAGTACATACATATTATAAACGCTTTCTGTGCCTTGTTTGTTTCCCGTCTTTTGCACGCACGATGCCCTCGTTGTATAGTCGCACGTGGCCTAAGAAAAATCCACTCATTTCTGCGAAACAGATAATTAAATAAAATACTTCATCCCAACCAGACTTTCTTCTTCTTCCCGCGTGATCTGCGTCTTTGTTATCTAATAAAATTTACCATCCTTTTGTCGTAATTAAAACTAGAATTTAGTTCTTATCGGTTTTCTCTGTTTCATTTATGTTAACTTCAGCCATCACTGTATCAAAAGTCAATTAAATTAATGACTTTTATAGAAACGATAAAAAAGCATAACAAGTTACTTTTTATAATTAACTGACAATCGATGAAGCTTCACAGTTTCTCATCCATAGTGAATCGTAATGTTACATAAATTGATTTTCGTACACAATAATTAATTAAATCATGAAAAATTTTTAACGATTGTTTTGTCTTCAATTATAATGTTAAAATCTTCGTACTCGAGACAATGAAGCCTCTCTTTTCCATCACTTGATGTAATTAGTGTATTAATATCCATTGTCAAGTAGTGTCATTGATGAATGGTCAGACGACAATGAAATCTCACCGCACCAGTAAGTGGTCGAACACAATTTCTTCTATGATTTACCATTTTTCGAAAAATCTACCGATCCTAACAATTATGTTAGAAGGTCAGCTTCAGGAATAAATATTGATCGTTGATCTGAAGGGGGTACAATCGATGGAGTAATCATTTCGTAATCATTGTCAGAAGCTTCTTCGACTCGTTCGAACAGAAATATTGCTCGATTCTTTTTCTTCCTACATTATCAATTCTAATTACCTACCGTAACGTTCAAGATATTTTCCTCTGTTTCTGTCATAGCAAACGATATAACTTCATTTCCATCGATGAACATAAGTATATATATCGTAAATGAAAAACGATCAACGTTTAATTGCTACGTTTCTTTCTACTGTGCGAGTTTTCGTGCAACAACGTTTATGTTTTCCATTGTCAAACATGCGTGATGTAATTAGGACTATTAATACACCACGATCAGGGACGATTGTGTTCGGGGAGAGCATGTACTATATGTACACTTGAACCCTTTCGTGTAACGCGTAGACAAAAATAATTCGATCGATCCGTGCCAAAATTCGCGAATCTCTTTTGCTCGAGCGCGTTAAGAAAAAAAAAAAGAAAAAAAAAAATAAGACAACAGTGATTAAAAGAAACAAGGTAAAATGTTTTCAGTTTTTAACGATACGCGACACTTGTAAAAAATTGAAGGATTTAAACGTTTTATCAACTGATTTCAAAATCTGTTAAACGTATTTTATTCTATTCCACACGCTTAATCATTTGAAATGTTGACACGATACGATCGATGCAAATCTCTACATACATATACACCTATTATACAGATTTACCTTATCGGTTCTTAGCCACGTGTTTAATACTCGTTACAATTTTAAATGAAAACAACTAACGAAGTAATTGTGCACGTGTCCATACATCACACCTGTATATAAATATATGTAGTCTTGGATGTTCCTCTCTTGTCAGTTGTTTTCCGAAGGAAAGATTTGCATCCGAAAGCAATCTCTCTTCAGTGATATTTATCATTCTCTGGATTAACGTTATCACGTTAATTATACCGTGCTCATTGTCAATATAGGTATAATGAACATTCTCTAATAATATCGAATATTATGAACGATGTTTAACTTGTTAAGGAAATATTCTTCACCAAAACGATTATTCATACTCTCGTATAAGGACAGTTTTATTATTAATTTCTTAATGTAAGATTACATTTATCGGAGTACTTTTAGAAATTTTTATTTATTTATAAAATGCGTGGCGAAATTTGTAAAGAAAATTTATAAATTCATTTTGAATACCGATGAAAATTTAGGTCAAACTTTATTTTAGTGGCATTAAATCAGTGCCAAATTTTCAAGTTATCTCAAACTCTCTTTCATTTCTCGTACTTTGTATTAAATGTTTATTGGCGTAAAACGAAAAACAACATTAAAAAAGCACGAATTATTAATTAACGTATTTATAACAATAAATGTTTTGCCTTTCTAACAGATTACGTTTTGCAGTAAATATTGACATGCAGTCTCAGATGTTCTTTATCTATACATGTAGATTGGGTAAAAATATCTCCTGATAGATAAGCAACACAGGATATAAAGCAGTATGCGTTTAGAGTTATCTAATACGTGGAAAAATGTAGTGCAATATTTATCAATTTTATTAATCAAAATGAACTAAAATTTTTGTCATTTTTAACGTCCATATTTATGATCGTAAACTAATATAATAAAAAAAATCTTATGTTTCATATTTTACTGAAATGTCCTTAAGAATCATGTACTAATATAGAATTAAATTATTTGTTTCAGAAAAGATGGAGAAATACAAAACTCCGAAAAATCATCTTTGGTGGATCCAAGTGTACTTCCAAAGATCCAATCATCCACCAAATTAGAAGATGAAAAGTCTGCATTGGAATCAAACAATGTACACAGTGATCCAGAAAATAGTCAAAATGTTAATGTCAATGGAAGCGTGGTCAGACAAGTCCTTGCAGCACTAGTAGCACAGCTTGGAACTATTAATACAGGCATGACCTTTGGTTTCTCTGCCGTTGCTCTCCCACAACTTCAAGAACCAAATAGTACCATTCCAATTGTGGAAGGATCTTCAGAGGAATCATGGATTGGTAAAAAATTTGTCAATTAAATAAACGAATAGTAAAATACCACGTATATGTATACATATAAGAGTAACAAATTATAATTCTCTTACAGCTAGTATGACTTCTATTGGCACTCCGATTGGATGTTTAGTGTCTGGATACATGATGGATGTACTTGGAAGAAAACGATCTCTCATTATTACGGAAATTCCTGCATTACTTGGCTGGATATTAATTGCATTTGCAACCAATATTCATATGATATATGCTGGAAGATTCTTTGTAGGACTTGGATCAGGCATGGTAGGTGCTCCAGCGCGCGTCTATACTGGCGAAGTAACTCAGCCTCATCTTAGGGGAATGTTGACCGCTTTTGCGAGCGTCGGTGTTAGCACCGGTGTTTTGATTGAATACGCATTAGGAAGTGTACTTACGTGGAACGTCTGTGCAGCAATTAGCGGAATTTTACCTCTTGCTGCTTTGTTATTAATGTTTCTTTTTCCTGAAACGCCGTCTTATCTCGTATCGCGGAGTAGACCTGAGAAAGCACGAAAAGCGTTGAAACAGTTTCGCGGTAGTACGTGTAACATTAATCAAGAAATGGAAACGCTTATCAATTTTTCCAATAAAAATAATATCAAGCGGTTAACAGGATTTCGGGAAATAGTAAGCGCCCTTTTAAAACCGAATGCTCTTAAACCATTCACGCTATTATTTTTATATTTTTTGATATACCAGTGGTCAGGTACGAATGTCATAACTTTTTATGCTGTTGAGATTTTCAAAGATTCAGGTGCATCGTTAAATAAGTACTTAGCTGCAGTAATTCTCGGTGTAGTAAGATTATTATCCACGATCGTTGCTTGCATTTTATGTAGAAGATGCGGAAGAAGACCTCTCACGATGGTCTCTTCCGTTGGTTGCGGAATTTCTATGGTAGGATTAGGTGGATACATGTGGTTGAAAGATTATTGGACTACAAATAATCTTCCACTTGTTGCTAGTTGGTTTCCTATTTTATGTATATTTTTGTATACCATCACTTGCACTCTTGGTTTCCTCGTCATTCCTTGGATAATGATAGGCGAGGTATATCCAGTACAAGTCCGCGGTATTATAGGTGGTTTAACTACAATGACAGCTCATGCGTTCATCTTTACAGTAGTTAAAACGTATCCATTTTTGGCTAGTACACTTACTCGGCATGGTACTTTCATTCTTTACGGTTGTATATCGTTATTAGGTACAATATACTTTTACTTATGCCTTCCCGAAACTAAGGGTAAGTCGCTTCAAGAAATAGAGGACTACTTTTCTGGCAGGAATAACAATTTAAGTACTGGCAGTATAGGTAGTATTAAACCAAAAGTGTTAGAAGTGAAAAAAGGTCAGATATTACCCTCGTAAACCAAGTTGTCTAGGTACCGAGGAAATCGCAAAACCTGTCTTCCATTAAACAGAAACAAAGATTAAGTTACTGTGTTGTTATCATTGACTGTAACGAGTACACATATTTTTATTAGAGAATAATGTTTAGGTGAAAGTACTGTTCTGACGATGAGTTCTTCGTCTTGTAACAAGACAGTAGAATTAGTGATTTGATTGAAAAACTTTGAAAATTATTGAAATCATATTAAGACTTTGCTATCCATATTATTTCGTCGTTTTATATAGGATCTTTTTAATTCACAATGATACGTATTTATTGACTATATTCTGTAATTTAAATCGTGCATCTCCTGAACAAAGAGGTAACGTTTTTTTGTTTTTTTTTTATGAAAGTACAAGCTATTGAGAAGCATCAAATATACTCATGAAAATGTTAAATATTTTTATAAATACCCACGAAATAATGTGCCTTGGAAATTTTACAATTCACGTACAAGCAACCAAAGGTGCTATTTATTGTTACCATAGTATTATAATACTTTTATGTATGTAATTATAAATATAATGTAATTAAGAACTATATAAGTAACGTTTGTAAAAAACATGGCCTGACAATTTATATGAATTTCAACAATGCAAACTATGTTTTATAAATTTAAATTAAACATTTTTAATATATTTGTTCTCTACAGTTTAATATTGTAGCATTCTTCCCATGATCATTATAATTCTCGTCAAAAGGGAGTAGCCAGTTAAATTTTTAATTATTTTATTGCTGCACAAGTTTATACAACTTTAAATCTGCATAGTAAAAGATCTTGAAATATTTTATCTACTACATATTTTCAATCGAGCGTCAAGCGAGGTTTATTTCGTCTCCTTTCCTTCCTTTTTCTGTCTTTTTCTAAAAATTCCTTTATCATAGCTTCTGGTAATATTTCACCCCTATACATTTTTGGTATTCTTTCTCTGTTTATAAATGCGAATTTGTCGTCAATATATTTCTGGACATCAAATGCTTCTGCTTCTTTAATTTTTGCGATTAATTTGGCTTGAAAAACCTTCTCTTTTTCTACATTTCGCCTAGTTCTTATCTTTTGCCATATAAATTTCATTTTTCTACGCAATTTCCTTCTCTTGTGTTTCTTCATTTTTTTCCTTCTGATTACTATCAGACGTACTGCTAATTTTTCTGTAACATTTTCCATCGAAGGGAGCTCAAAAGATTTATCCACAAACGGTAGATCATGTAATATAGGTTTCTTTACTGTAGGTTCTTCTATCGATGGAATAATTTTAGATAGAGGTATTTCATTTATATATTTGTTGACAGCATTATTCGGATTTCCGAAATCTATATTAAGTGTTCTTGGTATAAATTTAACATGTACTTCAGGATACGCTATGCACGTTTTGTTTTTACCGAAAGATGTAGAAGATAAAATATTATTTTGTATTTTTGATGTATGGGAAGAATGACATCTTGCAATGATATTACCTAAAATAATAGTATATTAATACAAGCAAAGCTTACAAAACTAGAATTATAAAAATCAATTAGGTTATATTTTTAACACAGATAATTTAATTATCATAAATTGTACATACTTTGTGTATTTACAATTATTTGTCGAAATATTGTGCATATTCTGTTAACAGCCATTATAACAATCTTCCTTTTACATATTTCTTTTTATACAATATCTTAAAACACCAGTTCAAAACGGAATGAAATATCCGTGCACGAGATATCGATTCATAACCTATACCATAACCTACATAACTGATTAACACAGTTAACGCTAAGAAACAGTAACGAATTAAGGGATGAATAATTAAATTAAACAAGCTTTACAAGATTTACTGATTTATTTAAACAAAATGTGTATCTCAATGAGAGGTTACATGTGAGAAATTTATGCATAATATTAACATAAGCTTTAAGGATATTTTAGTCCATTCGTGTTTTGACATTCCTTGTAGTAACTTTGTCTTTTTCTCTGAAATTGAAAGTTAATGATTACATAGTCCTATACTAAAGACAGTAAACAGAAAAGAATACAGCAACTTACATTACATATACAATAGCACCCCAACCAGATATTGCATCTCTATCACATGCATTTACTAAAGCTTGACTTATAGTCTCAAAAAGATCGTCTGGTTCCATATCTGGTTCATAAAGTGATTCACACATTCCATAAAGTTGCTCGCTACAAGTTCCACCAACCACAAAATCGTGGGATGGACTTATGCAGCCTATCAAGTCCATGTTACAGATAAATGGTTCAAAAGTAACAGGACTTAATCCAGCAATAATTGGCTCTACAAAATATGGTCCAAATCTCCTCTCATATAATAAATTTGATACCATAGATGCAAATGTTTTAGGGTGAATCTTTCTATTTTCTTTCAGTTCATATAGGTTTAGTCGAAATCTTAATTTTTCCATTACTGTTTGAGTATCAGTTGCAAGACCAGGCAGACTCACATACAAGTGTGGTCCCATTTCAAAGATTTTTTGAAAGTCACATGTTATGGTCTGTGCTTGTATACCAAATCTACGATCAGCAGCTATTGCCACACAATTTTTCCCCTGCATTGCTATAATAGCTCCACCATTGTAAGCTAGAATACTCTGAAAAAACAATGATTGATTTTCATACAACTGAATTTATTTTTGAATAACAACAAATTAATGTTGTTGATATGGTATTCGATTAGTAAAATTATATAAATACACTTTAACTTGAAATACATTAATTCAAAATTTATATTTATTTAGTAACAACCATTTATTTAGCGAGATAACTGAAACAGTTTTTGGTAACTGGTAAAACGTGCAATGTCATCAATATATTTGACAGTAACATAACCTTTTCAAAGTTCTGTATTGTTTCAAAATTTTTTCGTTGATCAAAACTGAACAGTAATTTAAATTTGAAGCATCAGAAATATATGCTAAAAGAGTATTATTTAATACATAACGAATTACCATTTTTTAAGGATTTTTATTGAACTTTACCACCACTTGAATCCTACCACTAAAGTTTAAATGCACTTTTTAACGCAAGTTGCGCGTCACGAAACATGAAACATATAGTTCTCTTTCGTGTTTCGTGATGAAACATAAATGCAATTTACAAAATGCATTGCAATATATGTTAATTTATTTATTTTTTACGATTTCTTGTAAAATATTAAATTTACGTGTGTATTTACTTTTAATTTTAATTGCTATTGCAAAGTATTGCGTGTATGAAACGTGTAAGAATTATTTTGAATCCTTACAGATCTGTTGACATTATTGATATTCGTTATGTTAATGTCTTTAACGAGATAAAAAAAAAGAAAATTATAATTATAAATGGAATTGTACAAATTATCTAACGATTTAAGTTTACGTAAAAAATTGTGTGATGTATTCTTTGCTAGAGTAGGGTCTCTATAGAGTCTATATTCTATTATCCCCTCCAAGAAGTTGGAAAGTCAAGAGCAAAGGGGAAAAAACATGGCTCTGCAATGTTATTGAGAAATTCAAAGCAGTTTGGTGTTACGCATTTAATTCTTTGACTATTTTAGAGAAGAAAGTTTATATTTTTTGTGGATTTGACTTTCTTTTTAAGTAAAGAATTTGTATAAGTGATTCGTGAAGTGAAAACGGAAGAAAGTAAAGAAACGAAAGGGTGAAAGAGCAAGAGAAAGAGAGAGAAAGAAAATGTATTCGATCAAGACGAGTCATTGTAAATGTCATGTATTTTGCAACAGGGAATGATTTACGAAATACTGAAAAGAAGTGACTTTAAAAAATTGATATTGATAAAAATTAAGATCAGTCTGCAATAGTATCTGTAAGAATACAGACTACTCTTTCTACGAGTTTTTGGTTAGTGGTTACGATCATGACCATCTGGATGGTACCAGTCAGCTGTAACTCGTAACACGCGTTTACACGTGCAGTTTGTAATTCGTTTGATGATCATTGAGACATCTCATTCAAATCTAACCGTAATTCTTCATAAACCGCAATTTACATGAAAAATGATCATTCCTGGTTCACGTTTGACGATGATATACGAACGGTTTATATCTTTTGATTTAAACGTACTACAAGCGCTATTCCAAATGCTGCCTGATCACTTCGATCTATTTGCGCTAGAAAAGTATTCCAAGAAATAATTTCCTGCACGTATACGTTGCGTTTGAATAAAAAAGAAATTTTGGACGGCCATGAAATGAAAATACGCTCGCGATGTATTTTACTTTTATGTTATTTTTAAACCACTGATGTAGAAAACAGTGCAGTGGTTGGTCAAAGCCTTGTAATCTCCGTCTTTGTCTATAGTTGAAAGATTATTCTTGGAATATATTTTAGGTGCTTGGCTTTAACATAATTAAATCTCTTAATTTTTAATATGCCTTTAGCAATCGTTCAAGTACTTTCTCACTTTCCTTGGTTATTGTAAAAGGGTGTACAACTTAAAATATTATATTTTTGTTTTATAGGTTTACAAGTTAAATAATTATATTGTAGAATTTGTATATTTGATTCCTTGGTATTGCAAGTCGGTAGTATTTCGTTGAATGTGTATAAGGATGTCACTAAAGTCTAAGCCAGTTGATTTTATTGAAACATGGAACGCATTGCGAGAGACTGTAGAGGGTGTAATAACATTGTCCTATGTTCCACGTGCAATGTGGAACGATAGATTCAGGTACTTTGTCAAATATTGTTGATATTTAAAATATTGAAAGCGTATAAAGTTCATTTTAAGCATAAGCTTTCTTTCATTTCAGTGATGTATATTCATTGTGCGTGGCATATCCAGAACCATTTGCGGATCAGTTGTATAATGAGACAAAAAGGTTTCTAGAAAATCATGTCTTCCAATTGTTAATAAAAGTTCGCGCCCAAGGTGAATCTGGTTTGCTACAGGCATATCATCAAGCCTGGACGAAATACTCGCAAGGCATCAATTATGTGGATCGCTTGTACTTATATTTAAACCAACAACACATTAAGAAACAGAAGGTTTCCGAGGCAGAACTTATTTACGGCACGTCTTCCGCTATGACTGCTGATTGCCAAGAACAAATGGAAATAGGAGAGCTTGGTTTAGATATTTGGAAAAAAAGAATGATTACACCGTTGAGAAAACAGCTCGTCTCTCTGCTGTTAGAAAACATTCACGCAGATAGAACTGGTACAGCTCCTTCAGCTAGTACAGAAGTTATTTGCGGTGTTATACAAAGTTTCGTTCGAGTCGAGGAATATAAAATGAAGGGACAAGTAGATGTAATAATCGTTGTTGAGTTATTCCTTTAATTAAGCAATTTTCATTTGTTACAAAACTATTTTATATAGTATATATATACGTATATCGTTTCAGCTGTATCAAGAAATTTTTGAAACCCCTTTCCTCGAAGCTTGCGGAGAATTTTATATGAGAGAGGCATCCGAGTTACTTCAACAATCGGATGTAACACATTATATGGAAAGAGTTACATGGAGACTCATTCAGGAAGAGCTTCGTGCTCATAAGTTTCTACATGCAAGTTCTATGCCTAAAGTACGTTTAGCTTTTCCTACAATGTATCAGATGTTAATTTAAAATAGTTGATTGTTCGAGAGTAATATTTTTTAGGTAAGACAATGCTGTGAGGAGAAAATGATAGCTACACACATAGCCTGGCTTCACGCAGAAGCAGAAAGTATGATAGAAAATGAACGTAGAAGGGATTTAAGTCTTCTTTATCCATTGCTAAGGCCAATACCTTCGGGTTTAACACCGCTCTTACAAAAATTTACACAGCACATTACTCAGCAAGGATTACAGGCGATCGGTTCTTTACAAGGAGAGAATGTAAGAAAATTATAATCGTGTTATTCGTAAAAATATTTCCTCGCTAAATGTGTGTAATTTGATATCCAAGGTACACATACAATTTGTGGAAAGCATGCTGGACGTGCATCACAAATATTCGGAATTGATTAAAGAGGTGTTCAGAGTTGATCAAGCTTTTATAACTGCCCTCGATAAAGCTTGTTCAGCCGTCATAAACCATAGGCCTGTTCCCCGGCAACCCGCAAGAGCGCCTGAACTAGTAAGTAACTTTGTCTGTATTTTAGTATTTCCTTCAAAGTTATATTATCTACAATATTTTTTAATCCAGCTTGCTAAATACTGCGACTCTTTGTTGAAAAAATCTGCTAAAGCGACATCGGAAGGGGAAATAGAAGAGAAACTAGGACGTTGTATTACCGTGTTCAAATACCTCGACGATAAAGACGTTTTTCAAAAGTTTTACGCACGAATGTTAGCGAAGCGACTGATACATCAGCAGTCACAGTCAATGGATGCCGAAGAATCGATGATCGATCGATTAAAACAAGTTTGTGGCTACGAGTTTACGAACAAACTTCACCGAATGTTTACCGACATGTCGGTTTCGGCGGACTTAAATGCCAAATTTACGACCAGTTTACGAGAAGGAGATAGAGAAAATCAATTAGGCATCGGTTTTGTAGTGTACGTGTTACAAGCGGGCGCCTGGCCGTTAGGTCTACCACCATCGCCAGGACCGTTTGACATCCCTCAACAATTAGAAAAATCTATACAGGCCTTCGAAGCTTTCTATCGTGCGCAATTTAGCGGACGGAAACTCACATGGTTACATTATCTTTGTCAAGGCGAGCTAAAGTTTAATTATTTAAAGAAGCCTTACTTGGTCACCGTGCAAACATACCAAATGGCTCTGCTTCTTCTTTTCGAACATTGCGATTCGATGCAGTGCAAGGAGGCTGCCGCATCGTTACGTTTGTCGCACGATCAACTAGTTAAACATGCAACTAGTCTAGTTGATTGTAAAATTTTGAAGAAATCAACGGAAGGAGAACTGGAGGAGGATACGGTTTTGTCTCTTAATTTTGATTACTACAACAAAAGAACAAAGTTTCGTATAACTGGTACGTTGCAGCGGGATGTACCACACGAAAGTCACGATACCGAGGCCACGCATCGCAGTGTCGACGACGACAGAAAATTGTACCTGCAAGCAGCTATAGTTCGTATTATGAAGAGTCGTAGGATTTTGAGACACAATCAACTCGTACAAGAGGTGAGATTTTATTTCGACATATTATTTCTCTGACAATCTCTAATTCTTATCGTTCCAGGTACTAAGTCAATCTAAGGTTACATTTGCACCATCAATCGGTATGATCAAAAAATGTATCGAAGCCCTTATAGATAAGCAGTATATCGAACGTACGCCAAATAACGCAGATGAGTATTCGTACGTCGCATGATTTTATTGTATCATTTGTCACCATCATTAATTTATTTCGTTCAGGGTACTCTTTGATCATTCATGATATAAAAACATTTTCTAATGTTGGAATAAAACGATACATTACTACGGATCTTTTTTTTTTTTTTTTTTTTATTTTATCGAACATGCGTTTAATCTAATATAGAAGGAAACGATATTCTTATTAACGATACTCTCTAAACCGAATTGTTTGAAAGATCAGGGAAAGTAGCCTGAACTGCTTAATTGCTCCTAAATCAACAAATTAATAACTTAGTTGATTCAATGATTTGTAATATATGCGCACGGAATAAAGATGATGTTACTATTTTATGCTGGTACAGGTTTCATTGGTTGCTTTCCCAAGGATGAAAAGTTTGATTTTTTTATTTGATTGTAATGTACAATACAATTATCACTATTTACTTAAAGATTCATTGAATCCATAAGAAGAATAAATCTATATATTTTTACAAAATCTATATAACAATATTCCAGATACACTTTTGACTTTTAATTTTTTTTGTCACATTATTAATAATAAGTCTTTGGTCCCTCGTTTTTCAATTACATTATACGCGTATATACCAGTTGAAACCGGTAATAACATATAACACTTTTTGCGGTTATATATTGCACGATACATGGTAAAATTCAGGTGATATTGCAAAGAATTGTTTGCACTATCCACTTTACCTTTAAAAAATATTATACATATAATGTAGTAAGGTATGTTACTGGTGAGACACTACATCATGAGTTTAGATTATTGTTATTAGGAACGTGGAGTTTTTAATTGCAACAGTTCTGGATCTAGCAAAGGATTATCATCCGCTTCAGATTCCAATGGTTTGTTCATACTATTGACCACAAGAGGTGATGCTGTGGCTGTATTACTATATGGTGAAAATCCTGCCCATTCCATGCCAAGATATATAGGTGGAGGGCTACCCAATGGTGGTTCCAGTAACAAATGATCCGATTGTTGTTGTTGCTGCTGTTGCTGCTGCTGTTGTTGCTGTAATTCTTGACACTCCGAGGGTGGTAAATGGGAAGCCAAGTGAGTGGTTACTTTACACTGTTTTTCTTGTTTACGCCATTTCGCTCTTCTGTTTTGAAACCATACCTACAAACGATAGATTGACCAAAACGTATAACACTTTTATCGATTGCATTTTTTCCAAATAACAGAGAATATACTGGCTATTACCTGTACTCTGGCTTCTGTCAATTGGATACGTAGAGCAAGCTCTTCCCGAAAGAATACATCAGGATAGTGTGTCTTCTGAAAAGCTCTTTCCAATTCTTCCAATTGAAAATTCGTAAACGTAGTACGATATCTACGTTGTTTCCTTTTACCAACTCCGGACGACTGCCTGTCTTCGCTTCCAGGACTTGGTGAAAAGTCGTATGCTGCAATGCATCGATAACGGTATTGTTATCAAGTTTTTGTATGAAAGCAGTCGTATGACGAAGTTACGAGGTAACTGAATCATTCCTCTACGAACTGAAACTTATTGCAAGTTGAAGGATTGTTCGCGACGATTGATCCAAGCATTGCGCTTAATCATTATGACTTTTTACGTGGCGTAAAATGGTTCATAACTGTTAAACTGATTACCACTAACTCTATTTAAAACAACGGTTGCCGATTCACTTAATGCATTTAGCAATAATTTAATTGAGGACTGCCCCAACTTACGGAGCCGACAGGTAGAGAGTGGCAGTTAATTAAATCAGGTCTGGGGTGGCAGGGTGCACTTACAGAATTTTGTAGGAAAGCAAACCGAGGAAGATTGAGCGCCTATCAGACCAGCTAGAGCAGTCGACTGTAGATCTCCCCCAGGGTTGATCTCGTCAGGTGCTCCAGCAGAAGCTACGATCGCTCCAGTAGATACCAGAGGATCGCGCGGTGCACCCACTAAAAACAATTGTCTGCCACTTTCGTTCGCACTTTCGTCTTCTTCTTTTAAATCCATTGTAATACTTGGCTTCCGTCGTTTAATTAATTAAATATCGAATAGTTGAAGCAAATGGTAGACCGATGAAGGATAGGGCTAATGGTAATTGAATCACTACCAAGTTGAGAAGTTCGAGTGGATACCACCGCGACTCCGCAACTCTGCTATTTCTTTTCTCTTTTACTCCTTTTTTCCTTACACCTGTGCGATGTAGATAGGGTAGGGGATAGAGTATATTCAACGTGAACTCCCTCAAGAGGGGTAGTGAAGCCTCAAAAATGTATTGCTTATACACCACGAATCAATAGCATAGGTGTACGCTTGGCAAAAAGATATCCAGTTTTCCTTTATGCGCTTCTTAAATTTTATGAAAAATTAATGATTCCTACTTTTATGTGTAGCGGCAACCGATTTTTTTAGTATCAACTTATGCAACAAGATATACTCGTGTCTAATTGCCTCGTGACAGTAGCAATTCTAAAGAAAATTATTTAACGTCACTTCTTTTCATTAAGCATTTTTATTAAGATACGTTATCGGTTATAAAATTTATGTAAAAAGAAAGGGAGCAAACGATTCGACACATACAATTTTCATACATTTCTTTATTAGACAAATGTAGTGTATCACAATATATATATATGTGTATATATATACATACAAAATCTACTAGATCTATTCAATAAATAAAAATGCAATGTGCTTAAAAAATACACGTTTCATGGTGTAAGCATTTCCACAATAATTCTATTAGGCTTATACAAAATTAAACTAATGATATTTGTTTCATTTACGAGAATGTGTGGAAAAACGCATTGAGCACAGTGCATATCACAGAGAGTGCATAAAGTAAATTGTTTGATATGATTATTATTATCATTTTTGGTATTCCATCCTGTATTGTTGTGAAGTTGGAATGAAACTTTTTAGACATAAAAAAGACGGACTCTGCTGGTAGAGACTAACAGGTCATCGTCGAAAAATTTCGTTTCTATCACAACGTTGCCACTGATCACAGAGAAAACAGAATTAATTAAAAATCAATATATTTCGGATATAAACTTTGATTAAAGCGACTAAACTATGCGCTTACTTTAAAACATTGGCAGGCATCATTTGACTTTCTGGTGCAGCTTCGATTAAACTTTGCCAACTATTGGTACTGTTACGTATAACGAAACCAAATTCAAAGAACCATTCTTCTAAACAACGTCCTTTGAATAACACTTTTTGCTCTAACCTAAACCTTTCCATTGGTTCTGCAGAGCTAAAATTAATTTCCCGCGACACGGCGCGACATTTTAAAATCTTTTTCGGTACTCTTACTTCATGTTCAACGTCAGGTACGAACCTATAAATAATAAATTATCCTTTTTAGATACACATCGCGTTCTTGAAAACATACGTCAAAACGTTTATAGGTTATAGCATACTTACAAATCTTCGTTAGCCTGCCATAATATTTTACCCTTATCAGCATCCCTTACAATCATCCAATTTCTATAATAAATGACAGTCAAGAAAAACAATTGTATATAAAATATAAAAACGAAATGAATACAATCAGTCTGATCATTCTATCGTTTAACCTAGAATTCTTGGCAATAGGGTACGTACTTTGATTATTTAGAAAAGGATACACTTGAAAGCCTTTTAATATATCCTCGGCCCGGGAAGGCATAATTACTTCCAAATGAAATCAATTACTTTTTATTACACACACACACACATAAATACGATATATCGTCTATAAACAGAGTAGTGAAATAACCACGGTGCTTCCATAAGAATATACTAAATACATATGCATCTGTATATACCGCAGTTCACCAGAGTCCATAACTGCGACGCGCAGGTTGGAAGATGGTGGGGGAACGCAGCGAGCTCTCTGCTAATCGCTTTCCACTTCGTTTGGAAGTATCGCCAATCAGGGCGAAGATGCGCACTGGAGATGCGTGAAGAACGAAAACTGGTCTTTTCGTAGTTATGGACTCTGGTGAACTGCGGTATAGATAGGTATGTCGATTTAAAACGTATTTAATCATTCTTTGACGTTTGAAGAATAATGAACTCAGTTGTGTTATGTTTAATTAAGTACTAAATACATAGGCGAGAAAGCGGTATTGCGGTAAAATTAATAAAAAATAGCGGGTACGCATTTTAACGCGTGTCTCGACAGGCGTGGTTACAATATATAGTGGTTACAAGAATCGATGTTTCTTAACATGATAGCATGAGTAAATTCGGCAGGCATTATTCTTTAAGAATCAATCATAAAAGTTCGATTCTCAATGGACCGAAACGAATAATTAATGTTCTTTGCATAGTTTGCATAACTTGCATACGCTACCCAAATTCTACTGCGCAGCTGTTCTGCGCATATCCGCGGCAACTCACTGCGCATGCGCCAATTCGTATCGCCTCTTCGCGCATTCTGCGATCCTACTATCAGCAGTACGGTTCAGACCGTAGGTTTGTGCACTACATCGCGCCAAAAATCGTGCCACCTCTTCGCATATTCTGTGATCCTATTATCAGGAGTAAGTTTCAAATCCACCCTTCCCGATTATTTATAATTTTATCCTTTTTGAATGGATAGAACTCGTCTGTAGTCACTGATTACAGTACGCTATCATACTCGCGTATCGTACTATCATACTATTACATTAAGTAAGTTCAACAATATAGCCAACAATACAATAAATATTCTTATAAACATAAGTATATAATAATATCGATTAAATTTCAATAATTTTTTTCAATTTAATGCACCGTTCGCTGCCTAGTTAAGCTCGACTTGTAACTCGTCGATATGTATTAAATAATATTAAAAGAAGTCTACGCGGTTGCTTCTTGAATGAAACGTGTCGGGTAAAAAGATAAGAGAAGGGATATATCATTAACGATGCGCCTGGTATTACTCTCGCTGCGAGAATACAAAATAAAAACGTAACGAAAGAAAAGGATCGGCGGGTGTCTCTGGTTAACTTTTCAAAGACCAGAAAAGTCTGCTCCATCGAGACTTGGACTGCCGTGTTTCCCAGTCAATGCAATAACTCTGAATATCGTTTTAAAGTTCCCGCTATGCATTAAAAGAATATTAATCTCGGGACACGGTACAATTTCATTCGTTTCGAAACGGCTACGAAAAGCAGTCTGAAGCGGTGCAGTGGCGATGAATTAGAAGCACACGAAACTCTCGACGAGTTTCACAATGATACGAGCGAGCGCGAACGAGTTTCGATATTCGTAATGAGACGGTGGCGCGTTTAATTAATTGGAAGCCGTGAGCGTACATTAATTTTCCCGTCGTTACACAGATTGAAATATTAAACATCGTTTTACACCTTGATACAAGGAGAGTTCGACGTATCCATCTGAATGTTTAAATTCTAAATTGATTATACCACTTCTGATTCGCTGATAATCTATATAATCGATTATAGAAACATAGATATAGGTAGCGATTTGCAAAAGTTTTTTTTTTCCATTCAACTTTATAAGTATACTGCGGTTACTAGGGGACAAACGGTAGGTCGTGGAATTAGCATTCACTGACCCGATTGAGGGTCAGCCATCTACTCTCAGCCGTCGAATATTCTGCCAACATGTAGAAGAGGTTGTTTTTTTCCTGATTACAGTACTGGTGTATACATTTCGTCGCATCCTTCTTCCGCAAGATTTTTTAAACGATCAATAGGAACTAGATACATATTTTTCTTCATTTCTATCGCAGACATCGTCTGGTACAAGTGGATCCTGGAATCAGAGCGAAATGATCAAATAAAATCAAATCATAGAGAGAGTATACATATAGTATATAGTACATAGAGTAGAGATGGAGAAATAGAGAAAAGAAATATTGACAAAAGGAAGGTACGTTAGTCTGGTGGTTAGCATACTTAAACAGCCACCACCCCAGAAACTCTTTATAGGTTAAAAGGGCAAAGCTTTTTGTCATAGACCGAATGGAGAGAAGCGAAAAGAAGGACTTGGACAAATTTCATATTACGTTTCACCAATATATATGATTCACTCGTGCGTCGAGTGGATGAAAACTAGGGAAACGGAAAACCCGCTGGATATAAAGAAATATGCATAATTTCTCTCTTCTTTTTCTTCTTTATTTTTTTTTCTATTTTATGCGCTTTATATGCGCCATGTACTCTTTTTTTACGGATTGTACAGCGAATGTTCATCTCGGTACCAGTAGCACTTGCTCTCACATGTACACGTCGCCAGATCGAATGTATATAGATGTATATACCTCTCTTTCTCTCTCTACATATATGTATATATATATAAATACATATGTATATGTAGGTCTCTGCAGGAGTGCAGCAAACGGGACGATGGAAGTTCCAGGGGATGAGGACGTTGAGGTGCTGCTCTCTCTCTGTCTCGCGCATAGATCTAGTTCCAAGTACCACTACGTGCGCATCCAGCTGCTAGCGGTAGACTCGAAACGAATCACCCGAAACGTATAAAACGGATAAGTTCAGATATTTCTAACTAACAATAACTAATAATCAGATTTTATAGATTCTTCAAATCTGAAAAATCCCAAACTAATTATTATGTTTTTTTTTTAAATTGACAAAGTTTGACATAGATTATTAAACATCATTTTGTATGTATAACTTATTACCATGTAATACATTTAAACCCTTTAAAGTTTTCGAAACATTTGTGAATTGAAATCAATTCGGGTATTGTTGCGTGAGCAAATTGTTGAAAAATTTGCAAGAAAAAGGGTCAAATATCCATCGTTAGCGGATGCACGTATGCTCGCTACCGCTGACTACCACCGAGGCACACTTACGTCAGCGCAACCCTGTATGATGCGGTGTGCACCCTTTTCGACATAGCAGCGCGAGCAGTGTGCTGCAGCTGCAGCTGCAGCAGCAGCAGACCTACCTCTTTTCTCTGTGTACGTAGCATCCTTGGTGGAGGGCGCGAGATTGGTGGCACCCCAGTGACGTCAGAGCTGATCGTCAGGCGCAAACTGAGGGTTGCCCACCATATACGTCAGAATGACGAGCCGATAAACTACCTATCAGGCTTTTCTACGGCGGGCGGGCCAACGGTCTTGGGGTAAACATTCTTTACAATTCTTTTCGATTAGTTTTCTCTTATTTTTTTTTTTTTACTTCATAACGTGTTACGATTTTCCTAAAACTGAAACATGTGTTGAAATAATGAAAAATGAGACAAAGTTACGAGGTAGTGGTCGTTTAAATTGTAACTTACTGGGTTGTGGTTTCCAGGTGACCGCCGTTGGTTTAGCCGGCGATGGCGAATTCGACGGGGTCGACGGTCGACGGCATCGGCGTCGGTGTCGGCGAAAACGACGGTACGACAGGTGTGACCGGTGGTGGGCCTAGGAATCCTTTGATCTGCGGCGTCTGCCATGACTATTTCAACGAGCCTTGTCTGCTATCCTGCTTTCACACCTTTTGTGCCCGTTGCATCCGTGGCCCTCATCTTGAGGGAAAGGTCTCCTGTCCCATCTGCGGGTAGATAACAACGACTGTTATTGCATGGCGTCCTTAGGGTGGGTGACGATCCCAGGTCTGGGTTAGGTTCGGCTACTCTATGCATGTTATTGTATCTCCTACTAGTTCAAGTGTTTCTCTCAACTTTCTATCAAGTACGATGAAGAAATGCTTTAAGTTTTGGATACGTATAATTAATAATGATCTATTAATTTAATATATTAGAAAACTATAAAGCTATAAAACTATAAGTTATAAAGTTTATATAGTTGCTTTACTTTAAATCATAATAAGTAAATGCATCATTTTATGTCACTAATGTCAACTATTTTCTAAATTGTAAGCACACCATAAATAATTACACGTTTCCTTATGTTGAGAAGTTTGCACGATTCATGATGTACAAAGAATTATTTCATTCTTATCGTGTCTTTTATCCAATCCATCTGTTCTACTATGATTCATTGAAATACTTTGCTCTTTGTATTGCTTCTACAAAATTTTCCTTTCCTGATTTACAACTTACCACTTTGCAAGGTTCAAACTATTACTTTTGTCTGCTTAGTTTTCAATAGTTTTAACTTTACCCAGTTTCCATAAATTGTAAAATACATTTCTGTACATAGGCAACAGACACAATTAAAAGATGGGGCACAACTACCACCAGCCGATCACTTGATACGTCAGCTAGTTGAGTTGGCAAATTCTGAGAATCCACCTTGTGCCAACTGTGATAAACGTGATAAGTCTACCATGTTCTTTTGTACAACATGCGGTACGTAGTTTAAATTATTATGTAACATATAAGCGGTAACAATGTTAGAAATCTAAAGTCTCTTTGAAATTCAGGGCAAGCACTCTGTACACACTGCAGAGAGCACACTCACCGTGCAAAGATGTTTTCTGCTCACGAGGTGTTGCATATGAGTAAATGCGCCAAGGATACGCAACGTCGTTGCTCGACCCATGGAGAACAGTACATAATGTATAGCCAAAGTGCCAAGTGTATGCTCTGCGCCACGTGTTTTCGCGATACACCCGCGGACGCGAGGCTTCATTGTATCGACATTGAAAGTGCCTGGCAGCAGGCATCGAAAAAGATGGAACGGGCGGTTAATTCGATCTGCGAGCTGCAGGCTGGCGTACGGGATGGGGTGTTGGCCCTAAAGTCGCAACTAGACGAACTACGACACAGTCTGGATTCCGAGAAAAGGGCACTGAATTCGTTTTGTCAGGGAATGCAGGAAGCCATTACGAAAACCCACAACAACGTATTGGCAGAGTTGCAGCAACAATTCGAGACGAAAGAAAGAATGGTCTGTAGTCAGCTGTTTTCTCTAGGTTCCGCGTTTCCTGTCCTACAGACGCATTTGATGCTGTGCACCGCGTTCACCGGCGGTGCGACCAAGTATCAGTTTCTCGAGTTAGCTCATCCGATGCTGGAGCGATTGAGTCGCGTTGCCCAATTGGGATATCCTTCGAGGCCACCTTTGCTAACTGCTCACCTCAAGACCAACTACAAAAATGAATTTTCTCGCGCATTGCAGCCTTACATAGGTCAGGCACAGACCCCGAAAGAATCGTTGTACGATCAAACTCATTCGTTGGTTCAACAAGATCCACCAGTGATGCAGCAGGTATCTACAAGCATTTTAGACTGGCCACCTCTCGATTACGAATTCCATTTTTACGTTCATATTACAAGTTTTTTTTTTCATTGCATTTCTCACGCACACTTCTGTGTAAGTATTTTTGTTTATAGAATTTTTTACTCGATATACGATGTACATATAATGTGGCTTGTACTTATAATTAATCGTATGGTGGTAGTTAGTAGTCAGTTTAGATACAGTCATTTTTGTAGATATAATCAAATTCTGGAGAAAAAAAAAAGAAAGAGAAAAACAGAAATATATAAATTATACAAATTTTCGTTTCCTGTTAGTTTATTAGCCGAATACGGTAGTCGGTATTGGACAATTTATTCATTACCGCGTATACGTGACGTCTGGTACGAAGGATCATCGATTGTGCAAGAAATTCTTCCTTTATTTTCAAGCAGAGTAGCAAGTCGTCTCAGAAGATTTCGTCGAAGAGCGGAACTGATAGCGGACCGTTTTCCAAACACTGTAGAACATTTGATACCCAATTAAACGAATTGAATCAACAGTTAATGATGGTAAAGGAACGTTTAGAAGAACTTCATCGTGACGTAGCACTTTTGAGAAGAGCTAATACTCCTCCGTTGGGTACGCGTTACGAGCATGTAGCTAGAGATTGTAAAGTATTGGAGCAACAATTGGAGCATCAGCAGATGGAATTAGAACGACTTAGAAACGTGTTTGACGCATTATGGGATGAACAGCTATGTAGAATTCAGATGGAAAAAGAAATATTTCATTCTCAGGTATTATCGTTTTCTCTTTGTAATTTTTATATTTTTTATTCTAATAACGTAATAATCGATCATTTTTCTACCTATCTAGATGAACGATATAATGTCGTTGAGGAGTCAAGTGAAACAGTTGCAGAACCTTGCTCAACAATTAGAACCTTTCGTGAAATCCTTCTCCTCCGGTGTTAATGCTGGTGAAATAAGCATGACAGCATCTGACGCGGCCAGTACTCAACATTTGCAAGCGTTGCTTGATCATCTGTCACGCTTGCAGATGCAGGAACCATCGCAACCACAAACTCAAGCTCCGATCAAGGATCACCGACATTCTCGCACCACTGCCACCAGTGCTGATAATGCACTCTATATGAAAGGTATATCATTCCCTTTGTTAACTTTTCTTTAAACCGTTGCTAGATTGTACGCCAACTGTCTGTAACAGAGAACAAAGAGATACCGACGCGTTGTCGTACACCATCCAGTATCGGGGCTGTTTTGGACTCGAGCGGAAACATCATAGTATACGGTTCAGCGAAATCCTCGGAACAAAAGAGAAGCGTTCTTAGCCAATTGATCGAGAAAACTAGGAATAAAGAAGATCGCAAAAAGTCACCGGGTCGAGAAGAGGGTCGCGATCGCAGTCAAAGTCGACGATCGAGAAAATCACCGGACAGCACGAAACCCAAGACACCGCCAGGTCATTCGTCCGTTAACAAAGTACGTTCTTTGTATCGTTCTCTGAAAGGTGGTAGCGGTGATACATCCGCCGAGGGACTTGATCAACCGGAAAGATGTACAGATTCTCAGCAACCACAGTCGCACACGACTGGTAAGAACAAATTCGTGAGGATTGTATGCATGAGTAAATAGTGTTCGGTAGCTAACGAAGGGATACACCTGGAATGAAACACAATTGCGATTTCAGATTACTCGACAAATCAAAGAATTATGTAGATAGAATATATATATATATATATACACGTACATACATATACACAAATTAATGTAAATAAAATCCTGATTAATGCAGACAAGAATTATTATATACTTCGTATCGCGCCCAATTCAGGATCGACGAGTTAAATTACAATCGTTAATTAATTTCACGCTCTCGGCAATCAAAGTGATAATGGAGTACTTTAGTGACGACAAAATCCACCATTTGTCTTCCTTTGTAAAAGCTATTCGATTCCCCTTCTCGACGCATCGGTGATCAATTAGAAACCTGACCTAGTTTCACGGAAATCAAGTAACGATCGAATGGAAAATGTTGCATGGCTACGGTTAAAATACATACATTTTTTCCAGATAACTATTGGCCTCGATACTTTACTCTCTAACACTCTATAACAGATGTATTTTCGAACGTATTCTCAATTAGAAAATAGAACGTAAAGGGTATTCGTACTTTCTGAAATGATTTCTGTCCTTCTGACGAGCAGGCGAGGAAGGGGAATATCAACGAATATCAGAGGCTTCGAGCATTGGGGAGGCTAAGAAGCGTGTCCAGGCTCAGGTGCACGCGGTACCTGACGAACAACCAATTCCAACTGGCAAAGGAGCGAAAGTGTATCCAGCCAGTGACTCGGAGGACGTGTTCTATGTGGAGGAGAAGGCGTCGATGGAGGTGAGAAGACGTCGAAGAGCGAGCTGCGACAGTCTAAGCACCACCGGTTCAGGAAGCAGACGGTCGAGCATTGCTGATGGGACGGTAGGTCAATCCGCGCAGCAGGATCCGAGGAAAACGCTGGTACTTTTGATCGGATCTACACCGAAGTCGTCGTCTCTGGTTCAGAAGCAGCGTTCCTGGGAAACGTTTCCACGGCCGAAAAGCAAACGCAGCGTGACGAGCAGCGAGGGTGCTGCCTCGTCCCTTAGTCAATTGAAGAAAACGGATAGCTTCGAGGGACACGAAGAAACGGTGAAAACCTTGGTCGCAGCCGTGCAAGAAACTAGGTCTCATCTACGTCATCATCATATGCATCATCATCGTCATCATCGGAAGAGCAAGACGAATTAAAAGTTATTCTGGTTTCGATCAGAAGACGGTGAAAGAAATTCAATCAAGGAGCTTTTTCTATAGAGGTATCCAGGTCAGATAGTCAAGACGGCAGAAAATAGATGTTTCTTTCAGGCATTCTAGAAATGAATCAAATGAAAAGAAGTATTTATTAGAGATTGAGAATAGTTTCTTGGCTATCTGGAAGGGAGTGGAAGATCCTCCAAATAATGTCTAGCATACATTGGGGAAAGTATTGTCGATGGACTGTATTTTATCGATCGTTAGAATATTGTTATTCGTAGAACAATATCATTCAGCGAAAGGATACTACGAATATCTTTTTATTCGTTTCGAAAAGAAATATTTTCAGCGTTTTATTAGCAGTATTATTATCAAGAAAAGGGCATTTGTTATGATGTATTACAGGCGGAGGACGATCGTTAAGAATGAACCAGAGATTCGTTTGTCGTTTAAACTGTCATTGAAAGGTATTTGTATTTTACAAGTACACTTTTTTACTATTACTTTCACGGATATCGCGAAATTTTCGAGTTTCTTTTGCCTGAGTCTGGACCAAGCGTTTCCAATCATTTGTATCGCATCTTATCCAATTCCTCGTGATTTCTAGTCCCATGTATGTCTGGTCGGAGTTGTTTCAGGGTCAGTCAGCCTTTGATATAGAGCAATTTTCGATTTTTTTATTAAATAGCGTTTTGATCGCATTTTGAAACGCCGATGGTCATAATATCGCCGCTGCCAATAGAGAAATAATATATAAGAAGTACATATATATATATATATATATAAACGAAACAAAATGAAAAGAAAAAAAGAAGGGAAATGGAAATAAATACGTTGATACTCTTTATTGTTGATGCAATCCTTCAATTGATGATCGATACATTTTCAAAGAAATGCTCGACAATTAGGATTAATGCGATACGTTTTTCGTCGAACGCACTATGTATGAATAAATACAAAGAGAGTTAGGACTAATTAAATATTATTAACGAAAGGAAAGAATTTCCCATGATGCTCAAATCGCGCGTTTTCTTCTTCCCGATTTTTAGAATCGGTTTAGGTGAAATTTCATAAGACGAAACGATCTCTAACTGATTCGTTATAATTAAAGTTTATATGTAATACCTTCAAAGGTACTTTATACAATGGTATACCGAGTCGTAACGTCGCGCAACGGAAAAATTATTGTACATGATAAAATGATTCTTTTTGAAGGAGAGAAAAAAATAGCCTAATTATAAACATACTCGTAACTGCCAGTTGCACGGGGATCCATCGTTTACATTTTAATACATCCTTCCAACGGGATGTATTTAACTGTGAAAGATTTTTTTCTTTTTACAATTACACGTTCGATCATCGAATATCACGTAATTGTACTGCTAAAACGAAGGTTCCTCGTGGAAGTTAATACGATCGTTATTGTTCGTTTTTTCAACGATTGAATGATCATAATCTTCGTACTGATCATGAGAATGTTACAATTATAGCAAGTGTACACGGTTAATCATGTATCAGAAATGTCGAATTACTAATAATAGAGAAATATATAACTTATGAAGTATGAAAATTGTTCAGCTGTTGCTAGATGTTTCCAATTTTCCCCGTTCCTCAGTGTATCATAAAGTAAAAGCACTTCTTTTAATTTATACCGTGGTATCACAATTCTGTTGTATTAAGTTCGCTTATATTATTATTTTTATGTTAATAAAATGTGGGATAATTTTCAAATATTTAATTTACATCTTTCAATAAGTATTTTGTGTACACTAGTATCAGCGTAAAAAATATTAGATTTTCTTTCATTTCTATCTTATTTCTATTTTTAAATATGTACATAGTATTTACTACTAAAAGAAAAAAAAATCATAAACTGTTGTTGCATTTACTTACAGAAAAATTTATAAGGAACAAAATTATTTATATTTACAAGTCAAGTGAATTGTACAAAAGTTAATTTGTATAGATTAAGCTACAATAATGATACTGTATTTTTTATTATTTTATAATTTCCTTCATCTTTTCGGAATTATTTGTACTTAAAAGCTCTTCGTTCAATAATTCAGATTGTTCTTTTAATACAATATTTCTATCAACATTCGACGGTGAGTTATTTGTCACGTAATTCAGTAAGCTCAAAATAATTTCACTTTCGTCAGTTGTTATAAATGTATATAATGCACTTTGAAATTGATGTAATAGACGTACTAATTCAAGTTGATTAATATTTTTGCTAACGTTTAATGATCTTTCAAAAGGATTATAAATATAAATTGGAGAATTCTCCTTTTTCTCTTTGATTTTTCCTTCCCGAACACAAATTGCTTGCACTTTAAAATCAAACTCGCTGTAATACTTAAAGAATCCATACAAAAGTTTGTCCAGACTTTCGTCATTGCTGGATGAAAATTTTTTCGTCCAAGAAGTATCAACATGTTTTACCTCTTTACCTAAAAACCATATAATATTTAATATAAATAAAGTATAAAAAGCATCGGTACTATCTTCATACCTACTTGTATAAGAGAATAAATTGTTTAAAGGAGGCAATATATTCTTTATCTGCAAATAAAATATTACTAAAAGAGTAAGAGAGAAATTTGTAATCCAATGACCTGGATTATCCCTTGTTATTTGTTGAACTTTCGCCCATTTACGAACAGTACAAACAAGCGGTCTAACACGACTATCCAACTCTCCGTAAGTATATAACATTTCAGACATACACAACGCGATCCTACAAAAGTAACAATTATGGTATTACAGCTCGCAAGGAAGTAATTACATTTTTATGAGAAAGTAATTGCTGCATACGTGTTGGTACTACTAAGGTCACATTGTACGTTTGTATTGTAGTTAGTGAATTTAATTATTGGAACCCGAGCTTCAAGAATGCTTCTGATGCTCCTAATACCAGGAATACATGTTTTCATCAATACAGACACTGTTTCTAAGAATTCTCGTTGCTTCAGTTTATCACTAAAGGTCACAGTTTGTGTGAGAAAATGAAATGATTTTGGTTTCTGAAAAGAAATTTACTAAAACTAGTTTTTATCAAAACTAAAAAAAAACAATGGTAGTACTATAAGAATATGAAGGGTTATGCTTACTTGTCCAGGTTTAGAAAGATTAAATGATCTACATACTAAATCAAGATCACATCCTTTCTGACCAAAACCATTCACAGACGAGCCAAACGGCACGACATATAAATTCATAAATAATCTAGACAAATAATACGTCAGTTGTTCGGCGGTATAAAATCTCAATCTAACATCTAACTCTGAAATTTTCAATACATCATAAAGGCAGACCATTTGTTCTGACACCTACAAAATTAAAAAAAAATGTGTTTACTGTTGTCCATAAAAATACATATTTACCTGATATAACAATATATTACAGTTTTCAGTGGTTTCAGCTTGTTGGTAATTTTTGACGGTGTTGTAAGGAAACATTTAGGGTAGGTAGCAACTTCGTTCGACAAGTACGTATTATTATAATCAGAACCTGCTGCACGAGTGTATATAAACAATGGTGATACTGTACAAACAGTTTCAGCATTGCTTGTAGATTTATTTGTACAATTCCTAAGTTCTTGTATATTATCACTCTGGGCAAATTCTATTAAAATAAAACGCTGAAACAAGTAACATCACAATCTATACAACAGATACACATTTAATTTTGTAAACTTGAAATTATAGTTTTTTTTAAAAAGAAGTATATACCTTATAAATCTAGTCCAAAATTGGTAAAAATACTTACATACCTGATTATCTAGGGTAGTGTAAGGAAATGCATTTAAAATCCTTCCATAACTTGAACAAAAGTGGTAAAGCTTAGGAGCAATATTAAACGACTGCACTTTTACTATAATGCTCCTGTGCGCTTGATCACGTCTGTATGCAATCATCTCACTGAACGTTTGATTACCTATAAAAAAGATATCATTCCATTTACATTAATTAAATCTCAACAATTACACATTACAATTGTCTGTATAGTAAAAGTGAAAAATTATCATTACTGGGACGTATCACCTACAAAAGCATTCTAATAGTATCGCTTTACAAAATTAGTTTAATAATTCTTCTAACAAATGAAAATAGCAAAGAAAGTAAAGCAGTAGATAAACTTAATTCGAAAGATACATTTTAAGACAAAATAGAGAAAAAATGATCAAGCAATAAGAATAGCGTGATTAAGGTTATTAAATGAACGCCGATTTTTACATCGTACCAGGAAAGACTGCCGATCCCATTTTTGAACCAGGTAATTGTGATACAAATCTCGTTGTTTTTGTTACACATTTACAATAAAATGTGTTTAACAAAGGGCAAATATTTACATTAATACGATGGGCAAGCGCCATTTTTGTATTAATCAGTATTAATTACTCCCCGGTGTAGCACATGGTGTAAATACCCATACATACTCCAAATATGTATAGCCACGAGCACGCTCGGGTTGGCTCGGGTCTAACCACGCAAGTCAGCAGACATTATGCCTAATTCATAAGAGGCGCGAAATGCTCCATTATCAGAGGGAAATTATGAAGAGGAAGAGAACAAAATTTTCTTACCAAACAGTTAATCGCTAAAGCGAGTAGGTTCAGATCTATTCACCGAGGGGTGCAGATCTACCTGCGAAACATACGTATACTCTTATTTCATTTTCTGCGTTCATTTAACTTGTTGCATTTATCTTCTTAGCTTATTGAATAAACTTATTACGAAAACGAACATGTTGATTTTATTACTCCTGTGTGCATCCTTTACATCTCTTCACCCCTTACATCGCTGCATTCCTTCCATCCCGGCATTCCTTACATTCCTGCATACCTTTCATCCCTGCATTCCTTTCATCCCTACATTCCTTACATCTCTGCATCCCTTAAATCCCCACATTCTTATCATCCCTTAAATCGCTACATTATTATCATCCCTACATTCTTTTCACCCCTACACTCTTTTCATCCCTGCATTCTTCTTATCCCTACATTCCTTACATCTCTTCATCCCTTAGATCCCTACATTCTTTTCATCCCTGCATTCCTTACATCGCTTCATCCCTTACATCCCTACATTCTTTCCATCCCTACATACTTTTCATCCCTACATTCCTTACATCTCTTCATCCCTTAAATCCCCACATTCTTATCATCCCTACATTCTTTTCATCCCTACACTCTTTTCATCCCTACGATCTTTTCATCCCTACATTCCTTTCATCCCTACATTCCATACATCTCTTCATCCCTTAAATCCCTACATTCTTTTCATCCCTACACTCTTTTTATCCCCACGTTCTTTTCATCACTACATTCCTTTCATCCCTACATTCCTTTCATGCCTACATTCCGTACATGTCTGCATCCCTTATAATAAATATATTATAAAGACTGCTTCGAGTTAAGGTAAGTAAAGGTAAGAATTTCGCGAAAATTTCGAAAAAACAGCGCCCCCTAGCGGCAAAAATGTGAACTAAAACTTCGATGTCGAATCAGCGCCATCTGGTTTCGAAAAAAGGAACTATATCATGCTCAATTTCTGGCCCTCTGGCGGCAAAAATGTGAACTAAAACTTCGATGTCGAATCAGCGCCATCTGGTTTCGAAAAAAGGAACTATATCATGCTCAATTTCTGGCCCTCTGGCGGCAAAAATGTGAACTAAAACTTCGATGTCGAATCAGCGCCATCTGGTTTCGGAAAAAGGAACTATATCAGGCTCCGTTTCTGGCCCTCTGGCGGCAAAAATGTGAACTAAAATTTCGATGTCGAATCAGCGCCATCTGGTTTCGGAAAAAGGAACTATATCATGCTCTGTTTCTGGCCCTCTGGCGGCAAAAATGTGAACTAAAATTTCGATGTCGGATCAGCGCCCTCTGGTGGCAGAAAAAGGAACTAAATTTATACAAAAATTTAAACTTAAAATAGTTTTTCCCGAGACTACTTACCTTTACTTACCTTTACTGGAGCCAGTAACAGTTATTATGTTTATAATATATTTTTTATAAGAGTTGTCGGAATGTAAGGGATGCGGGAACGTAAAGGATGCAGGGATGTAAGGGATGCAGAGATGTAAAGGATGCAGGGATGTAAGGGATGCAGAGATGTAAAGGATGCAGAGATGTAAGGGATGCAGAGATGTAAAGGATGTAGGGATATAAAGAATTCAGGGATATAAAGGATACGCAGATGTAAGGAAGGCAGTGATGTGAGGGATGCAGTGCTATAACGATACAGAGATACAAGGGATATGGAGATACAGTGACTTAGTGGTAGTGCCTGCGAGGCTCATAAAAAGATTGAAAAAATAAATATCTGCGAAGGGTGGCCTTGGTCCATAAAGAGGAGTAGGATAATAAATAGTTAGGAAGCGTGGATCTTGGACCATAAAGACGAATAAAATAATTAATAACTGAAAAGGGTGAGCTTTGGCCTATAAAGGATCATAAAATAATAAATAACTGGGAAAAGTGAAATAAAGGGTATGGTTGGCCGAGACCCAGAAAAGGGATAAAGTCATAAATGCTTTTCCCCTTTCCCCGATCTCAGGATACCGACCTGATATCATCATGGGGTGTCAGGGACCCCGAAACACCGGTCACTCTCTCTACATACCGACACAATATCATCTTGGGGTGTTAGGGACCCCGAAGTACCTATGATACTCTTTGCATACCGACATTATGGAATGTATTTGGGGTGTCAGGGACCCCGATGCCTCATTGACGCTCTCTATATATCGACATATCACCTTGGGGTGTTGGGGACCCCGCAGTACCGGTGGCACTCTTTGCGTACCGACATTACGGTATCTGGGGTATCAGGGACCCCGATGCATCTACGTCGCTCTCTGCATACCGATCTGACATTATCTGGGGTGTCTGGGACCCCTAAATTATGATCCCTCAAAAATAAAGACATGTCCAGTCTTCTATATCTATAGTCACTAATTTCAGTGAGAAGCAATGCAATTTCGAATACGTTTTGAAGATAAATAATCAAAACAAGAGAATATCTATTCTTAAACTTACATTATAATGGCAGGTGTTACAAAATTTATGAAAAATGTTTATCACGATCCTTTTCAATGGTATGTTTTATAATAAGTTCTATAATAATTATAATAATCGTGTTTATAACCTTGCTAATGCTTAACCATGTGTTGTACAGAATGTTTCTTATGAATATTATTGTGTATGGGTATTATAAATAATAAAATTTATAAATTCAATCATTTGTTTATAGGTCAATAGTTAAAAGCATTGGATTCTTCATATTAGGGGTGAAGATTGCTCTTGAATGTAAAGGAATGACCCTGATGCCAACCACCTCTTAAAAATTCCAAATATAGAAATAAAAATGTAAAGACTTAATGTATTGCAGTTCATAATACATACATGCATATTTTATTATCTTAACATTAATGAAACTACATTCTTTTTGTATTTGTACATAATTTCTCTAAGTTCACAATTCATTTTTTAATTGTACATACATGAAATTACATACACAAAGAAAATGTATAATGTGAGTTATCAATAAACAGTGAAATAATATGTAAAAGAATAGTAAATATATGTATTTATTTCTCTTCACTAATTGAAGTTTATATGTAAATGGCTTGAATATCTAGAATATTTTAACTGCTATATATTATTTGTAAAAAAATCTGCACTCCTTGTTTCTTGCACTTTTAATGTAATTGTTTATTAGTATTTAATTTCTAATACATGATTACAATACATACTTATTAGTGAAAAAATGTAATTGACTTCATATTTCTAACATTTTTTTTTCATAAATATGAATATTTCTTCAATTTTTTGAGCTATTTGCGTATATATTATTATTCTAAAATATCATTCTAATTACAATTAAACTGTTACATGATTATAGCGAATGAATTATGAAATACTTACTAACTTTCTCATAACTTAGACTTTATTTTGTTATATTGCTACAATGACAAACCATTGTGTTATATTGTATAGAAAATATTTGTATATTATTTACATAGTTCTACTCTTTGCGAGAAGAGTATCAATCCAGGAGGATTATAAATGAAAATTGTACAATTTATGTTGAATAAAGAAAAATGTGTGAACGTGTTTAAAAAAGAAGTTGAACGTATTGTTGTTTGACGCTAAATTTCAACCGCTTATGTCGCGCTTATGAATGAAGAATATAATCGACGGTGGATATAAAGAAATGATTAAATAACTTCGATGCATAATACGAAGTTACATTAAGGGTCATGTAACACACCATGTCAACAAGCGTTTTATATACTACGCTGGCTGTTCAACATCCGGTAGATCTAAAATCTCTCCGACAAATTCAGCAACATTTGTATCCCTTTTAGCATGCTCCGTGATAAAATTAAGCGTCAATAATTGATTGTAATTTGGACGGGCAGTATAATCTTTCATTAGACTGAAAGAACGATGATTAATTAAAACAGAAACTACATAATTTTATTAAATACACATAGCACTTACCATTTATTAATAAATTCTTCAAAGTTAGCAGAAAATTTACCAGCGGGTAACTTTGGTGCTTCGTCCTTTACAACCTGTTTCAATTGTTCGAAGGGTGTCCCCCAAGACTCGTAAGGAAACTTTCCCGTTGCTAATTCAACGAGAGATATACCTAATGACCAAACATCGGATCTGATGTCGTACTGTGAAGGGTTACCCGACGGGTCTATCCTTTCTGGCTAAAAAAAAGGTCACGATGGAGAATTTATTGAACAGATATGAACAACGAATCGTGTAATTCATGTTATTAAATTACGTACAGCCATGTACGGTTTACAACCGGCATCGATTGTTTTAGCAACAGAATCTACGAGATAACCGGATATACCAAAATCGCAAATTTTTACTTCCCCTTTACGATTAATTAAAATATTGCTAGGTTTTACGTCTCTATGGATCACTCGTAACTGTGAATACAGATAATGTAATGCGCTTACTACCTGTAAAAATGATTCGAAATTATAATCGTAATTATTACTATAATAAACAACAAAGTAACTGTATTTTTACATACTGCAAAAGCAATTTTTCCTAAAATATCTTCAGGAATGGCACGCCCGTGTTTATACACTTTTGTATAAAATTTATCCAGACTCATATCCATTACCTCCATACATATCCAAACATCTCCTTCTCTAAATAATGCTCCATAAAATTGTACTGTATACTCACATGCTGAACTCCGCATAGAAATATCTAAATCCATAAGTAATCGCTTTTGTTCTTGTGTATTGACTGTTGCAGTTATTCTCTATGTGATAAATAAAATGCTAGTTTAAAATATACTTAAAATGCATTAAGATTATATATGTATATGTAGAGTTATATACCCTACCTTAACTGCCATAATAGTACCACTTTGCTTGTGTCTCATTTTATCTACAACACCATATGCACCCCTTCCAAGAATGCAAATAGTTTCTAAATCATCCGCTTCTACTACAAATGTTTTGTCTCCTATGGTTATTGTAGTTCTTTTATCTAAATTTCTTGGTGGAGTGCTGTAATATAAAATTGATAAAGATATTAAATTCTGTTTCTACATATCAAATATTTTCAATGTACATTTATTACTTTGAATACTGGAATTCATTATATTTCAAATAAACTACATACACAGGCACAGGTACCTCTTCGGAAACCTGCAACTTTAAGTTTTTCCTTCCTCGGCGCAGAGCCATGATGCAATGAACACTTGATAAATATTATTAGGCCTGCAAACTTGGCAGTGCATACAATTGAATATAATTCATATTCAAGTAAGCTATAATAAATACCGGACGCGTGTTCTGAAACAGAAAAAAGGAATATAATTTTAGACATTAAAGCAGTGTTAAAGAATTGAAGGTTATACAATACATTGATCAAAAAGAGATACATGAGAAACGATGAATAAAGTAAAATGTTTTTTCAAATAGATTTCTTTCATAATGCTACAATAAGTAATTTATATAATACCTTCTTAACATGATATCTTACAACAATAACGAGAAAACTAAAACTTTGTTGCCCTTATATGAAGTTTTCAGTAAACTCAAACAGTTGCTTGAAATTGGTCACAAATGCTGGTTAATTTTAAATTGAATTTAGACTTTCTACGCATTAAATCATTTTAAACACAGCATATTAAACTTTTGATAAAATTTTATTAAAAGAATTTAATTGAATAATAACTAGTATAACTTGCTGTGTAGTAAAGTAACCATACAAAATATTTTTATATAAAATAATGCATTGAAAGATGAACTCTATTACTTGCTTGCTATATTCATATATTTTTGTTCACCGTGTATATGATTCGATAGAAGCAGTGACTACAGATCCAGTAAGACTGGACATGCCTTTGTTTTCAAGGTGCCTCGAGAACGAACGCCATCTGCTCTATCCTAATAAAGAAATGTGCACAATGAGATTAGCTAGTCACTGCAAACAGCTTATTAGAACTGACGCTACCTTCTCGTTTAAATCGCTAGGTAAGACTGTTTATTTTTGTATCTTACAATTGGTTTACAAATTAAAAAGTTAATTATAATTTGAGTGTGAAATTAAATCTCCCGCCACAAGGGAAGGAGTTCTGGATTCGATTCTAGCGCCATCTATACGAAAACGGCGCAAACTACTCAACAACTTATCGATAGATTTTCCGAGATAAGGGAACGCCTACGCCATCTAGCGGGAAGTCCGACTACCGTACGATAAGTCGGTAAGTTGCTTTCTCTACTTCCCGGCAGATGGCGTTAATGTTCCTCTATGTCGGTAAATCGATCGATAAGTTGTTAAATAGTTTCCGGCATTTTTGTATAGATGGCGCTACGATCGAAAAATGAGTGCGACACTCTTCCCTCCTTCGACGTCCAAAGCAGACTGACGCGCTTCAGCGCACAACGGTTTATTTATAGAGTCGTGTTCTCCCTTCTCTATTACGCATGCGCGCTCGGCTATCGTAATCTTAACATGTAGACTGCAACAGTACGAAATATTTCACATTTTTATACTAGGATAGAGCATATGGTGCTTGTTCTTTAATTAATCGTATTTGATTTATGACGGTCTTCTTAAAATACAGATTTCCAAAAAAAAAAGAATAGAAGGGAGTCAAAACTGTGTCTTTTGGCTATCAATGGGAGATGCGGTAAGAAAGGGACTGGTAAAACGGGCACGACATGCAGACCTAACTGTACCTGGGGGTGTCCGGAATCCCCAAAACCATGTCCCCTCGAAAACAGAGGCGTGTCCAATCTTTTTGTATCTGTAGTCATTGGTAATGGTAGAGGAAGTATTAGTATGGTCTCTCATTGAGTGAATGATAATGCTATGTTTATATAAATTTTGCTGCATATTCTTTCAGCAGAAATGTCTTAAAAAATAAGTAAATATTATTCGTTTTACATTTTAAAAAATTAGGATTAAAGATTTCTATGTTTAGTCAGAAATCCGAACATATATATGTATATAAAAGTAACAAACAGGATGCATTGCTTCAGAATGTTATGTTCCAAAACGGTATGTCTTTATATAAAATAACAATAATGTAACATAGCCTGACAATTATGTGCAATTATTTATTATTATGTTATGTTTATCATTCTTATTTTTAATAGAAATCTAAGTAGGTAGTATAGAAATATATGAACCCCTATAGTATTAAAATATTTCAATTTGGTTACATGGTATATGTATGTATATATAAAAATTTTTTCATGTTTTTCAATAAAAGACACTATTGTCTGCAACACTGAAATATATCACCGACTATCAGCCTGTAATTAATTATGGCACCTTTCCAATAAGAAGACAGTTTCGTCAATATAGTGAAAATGTTCATGTAAAGGATGTAGCTACAGCAAAAAGACTACCCAACCCTGGGATATTTAAGAGGTTTCTGTTACGCTTTGCATTATATAAAAGGAAGTATGTAAGTATAATTATAGTTGAAAGATTTTTGATGATTGAATATTTCTAAACTGCTTACATATATTTATTATATTTTAGCAATTAATGGCATTAGGTTATCATTTATATAATGATCTAGCTGAAAGAATCAATTATTCAGTATTTTTCAAAGGTATCTTTTTAATTTAAATTTATTATTCATATAATGTCAAGGAATTTACTAGTAATTGTATTCCTTTTTATTTTGTTAGATTTTAATATGCCAGATACTTTCTATTCCTGGTTTTTGATCACAGAATTACATGTTTGGATGTTAATGGTTCGTTTTATGGCTGAAGGTGCTTATGGTAAAGTAGTTAGGAATAATATTGTTGATGCTATGTGGACTGATGTCATGGTCAGAGTAAATAAGCTTGGTGTAAGTAATTTAATTTAAAGTAAATTCAACTAACTGAATTTTGCTAGAATTACTTATGTTACTGCAATTTTAATTTATATTATAAAAATTAATTATATTTTATTTTAGCACATTGCTGCAAATGTAAAAAGGAAACAGATAATAGAAATATCAGAACAGTTTAATGCTGCTTTGATTGGTTACGATGAAGGAATTATGTCAGATGACAAAGTATTAGCTGGTGCACTATGGAGAAGATACTTCTGTTCAGAATGCAATGATCCAGAGCAGCTTGAGAAACTCTTAGTTTATGTAAGAAAACAGGTAATGATATAATAAATACTTTTGTACTGTATTAAAATATATATATATAACGATTTAATTATTTCATTTTTAGATAAGTTTACTAGACCAGATTCCGTCAGAGGAAATTTTAACACAATCAAAAATACAATGGATAGATTTAAGAAACACCAGATGAAACTTCTTATAAATTTGTAAATAGTAATTAGATAAAGTTCATATAATAAATATATTAGAGCTTATTTAGCAAACTTATTTTGTAATTAAATTGCAGTTAATTTGTTTAATATGCATTTTTTTTGATTGGTTTTAAACGCAGGGCCCTACACTTTCAGCGGCTACAATTATTTTACATAAATATTGTTTCTTACAATTTAAGTCACAGCCTGCTTGTATTGACGGTTCCGCTTGTTTGAAAAAGTTTCTATAATTAAAAATTGGGTATTTAGATAAACTAAACTTAGTCTTTTATAATGTGATTTACATTTTAATTATCTTACCTGTAATACTTGTTTAAAAGTGTTTCATTTTTTGTTGCTGAAAAAAGCCAATTACTTAGAGATGTAGCAGATAAATCAAGAAGGCCATATTCCTTTTTGAAAGAATATGATTCATACCAATTCGGTCTTATATCAGTATACTTATTAGCCGAATTGAGATCATATATCCAGTTGTGGTAATCAATTACTGCCTATAAAAACAATTCTTATTATACACAAAAAAAAAATAATTAAGAATTTACAGGGTAAATATAAATATGTAAGTACTTATCAAATTTTTTCAGAGTTCGTTATATGATAAAAAGGAGATAACACTTACATAATTGCCACCATCTACTGTGTAAACTTTATAATTTGGGTTCAATCTTGAATAAGTGGTAATACTACCACCATTCCAGGCAACATTTTTGTACATAGTATCGGAATTATAAAATACTACTAGTTCGTCGTTATGAGTATGTCCATTAAATTCAGCCTTAATTAAATGAGAAAATCTATAAATTATTTTTACATATTCCCGTTTCCATGAATTTAAACAACTGTTGCTGTTAGCAGGGATATGAGATAAAATGTGTACGAATTCTCCGTTTTTCTCTGCATTAAGAAGAGTGTCTGCAAGCCATTGCAATTGATTGGCAGGGTATTTTGGATCATACAAAAGCCACCTGAATAAAAAAATGCACGAGAAAAATAAAATTTGAAGAAGAAAATTATTTTGAACTTAGGTAATTACTTTTTTTCTATGTATCATAGGTAGTATGATTCATTCTTTACATACCAATTATAAGAGTAGCATATATTACTATTTAAGGCTATAATCCTGAATCCCTTTTTAGGGGTGAAGGTATAATATCCTCCTTGAAGGATAGTAGATCGCGCAGATTCTGGTAACCATTTATAATTAATCCATAAATCTGCCAATAATTCATACACCCAATTTGTAGTTAAATGATCTTCTGTGATATATTCTGGTGCAAATCTTTACATGAATCAGAAAAGTATCATTAAAATTACTTACTAAAATTTATATTAATTTTTATAATTAACTTACTGATTTACAGGATGTGGTTCGTGGTTTCCAAAAATTGGATAGATCGGAATGTTTTTAAAAATAGTTTGAATTTTGTTATAGATTTTTTTCAGACTTTCTATATTTCCTTCTTTTGAAGTCTCCCATATTCCATGGTCTATTATATCACCAGTAAAATATATATAATCTATATCCTGAAAATTGAGGAAAATGTAATTTGATGTAAGATTGAAATTGGTTACTGTTCAATTAATCGATACCTTATGAGTATCATTAATATGAGTCAAAGCATCGACAACGGCATGCCAAGGGGTGTCACAGGGTTCATAATCTCCCCAAAATCCAGCTAATGAATTCTTATTAGTTTCATTTCGACCTTTCCTACAGCAAACTGGTTCTCCACATTTTGCATTACTATTTGGTTCATAAAGAGGATCATAATGAATGTCCGTTAGTTGCAAAATTTTTAATTTATTCGTTGTATAATTATCGGCAATTGCTGTGCGAGAATCGTTATTTATATTAATGGTCCAGTCAAATTGGGGATCGTTTAAAGGACAAGATTTTGATTCTAAGACAACACCACAAATCGTATCAGCCGTCAAATTTGGTCTAGAATCCACTATGTACAAAATAATGGGCTGTAAAAGTAATAAAAATATTTGTAGATTCATATTGTACGTAATATACATGTACAAAATGTAAAATTAATAGTACCAAATTTAGCGCGATGGCTCCTTCGCAAACTCTTTTCTTTTGAATATTCAGTAACACGCATAATGTAGTCACTTTCTTTTTAATCTTTTCTTCAGACATGCCTTGTCGTCGAAATTCCATAAATGTTCCCACTATACTTGTACATGTTGTACAAATTGCAGCACCCTTGTCTGCTTTGAAAGTTCTCCAATCGGAGTTTTGAAGTTCCGTAGGAATTTTTAATAAATCTATCATCTCCTTGAACGCCTCCGTTTCCAGATTCTCTTTTGCCCATATTTCGATTTCATTTCCAAATAACGATGCATTTATGTCTGGCAATTCATCAATTTGTTATTTATTTATTTCAGAAGATAAATTTGGAAATGAATCACAGTTTTTTAAACAATGATCTTGTTTTACTTATCAACAGTAGGTATTTCAACGCGGGTAAGTATTTAAAATATGCCTAATTCTACTATTAATTAAGATATTCATTATTTGAAATCATTGTATTATTTTAGCATACCTTCTATCTTTTGATTAATGCCATTGACCGTCAACAGTAACACGCAAAATACAATACAATTAAACCACATTGTTGCTAGATTATCCACTCCCGTTGCGATTGATACTAATCCAACTTGCTGTACCAATCACGCTTTTATCTTCTTAGCTTGTTGCTCGATAAGTTTCGTAATTACTACCTTGAAAAGATTAATTTACAAAGATTTCAAAATGTCGATGACAAAGTATTGATAGTGTCGAAGATTAATTATAATTATCTGCAGTCAAAGAATACATCCAAACCCCCTTCGCCCTGGACGTGCCATGTTTAAACGTGTGATACATATTTGACAAACTAGTTTTCAAGATGTGTTTACAAATTTACTAATTTACAGTGAAGGAAACTTGTTTGTACCGGAAGAGACTAAGATACGGTCGGTTTTTGGGACGACCCAAAAGTTGACCCCATCGGATATCCCTCAATGTACCCTAATACTTTTTTACGCACAATATTTTAAAGAAAAAATCTCGGTTAAATTAAAGCCTAGATAAAGTTGTTGTTTCATCTGGCAATCACTTAAGAATTGCTTCCCTTTGCGCAATATCTATCCGTATTGAAAAATTCAATCACCCGATTATTAATCGCAAAAGAAAGTAAATGTTTATCCGAGATATCCAAAGATAAATATCATGATCTGTTGCTTCTTCTATAGTTATCTCAGCTTAGATTATTAAAGAAACACTTCTGTTTTCAAGTGCTTATTTCATCAAACTCTCCCCTTCTTCTACACACATTGGGCTGTGATTGAATTTATGTTAGTAATAAAATATGAAAAATAATCTTCATAAACTGGTATTAATAAATGAGAATATGTACAAATGTAATCGTTTACCTCTGTCACATTTACAAAAAGAAACGACTGCAACTGCTTAGTCAAAAAGGTACTTTTACTTTGACTTAACAAAAGAAACTACAAAGTAGTTAGTCTGGCACAGTATTTGAATATTTTACCAAACATTAACACACACAAGAAGTGAATGTTGATTATCCCCTTAGGTGCAAGAGCGATAAAATTAAGTGGGTCGTACATGTCCTGCAGGTTACAAGAGGATTAACATATTTGTTGCTCAGCACGCGATATCGTGTGTCCTAATTGCTTGACAATAAAAGATTCCTTGTGTTTCTTTGATGATGTATATCTTTACTCAAAGAAATCTCAATCAGTATCGTAAAAAATCTGCGATACCATCTATTCATTTTTCACTCTTTACGAAATCATGAGATAGCAGTTGATTTTATTTGTTTGCGTTTCTCCACTTAATCTTTTACTTTACCTAATTACAATTCTGTCCTTCTTAATTAAAATGTCCTATCTACCATCGTTTTTTTCAAGATAGGTTTCAAGTGGAAGCGAACGTAATTTTCATTACATTTTTATTAAAAATTTTTGTTATAAAACTTGCGGTATTTCAATATCATCAATCGCAAGATCATCAAGCATCTCCTCAAGAGTGATCTGTGGGTAACTAAGATCGGATAATTCATTAGTATCCACTGGAATTATTTTCTTACGATCTCTGAAAATGTTTATATTTTGTCTCATTTCCGGATCCTCCTCGATATCTTCTAAAAATTCGTAGTAATCGCTAAAACAGAAGAAAAATTACATAATGTATTCTAATTTAACATTGTTACAATGAAGAATATTGTTTTACATACTTATCATCAGTAGCCATGCTGTTTTCATCCTGAACCATATGTTTCAATTTCCAAGCTCTCATTCTACGACGTGCTGCTCTGTCATTTGCGTAACTCTTCTTTATTAAAAGTACGTCTGGTACTAAGTCTTTATTTAGTAACTCGAAATTGTCGTCATTAATGTTACTTTCACTAAGAGCATACCTACAGACAAAAATCGTTTCGTAACTCTCTAATGATAATGGCTTTAGTCATTCATTTGCTATCTTTTTACCCTAAAGCAGTGTCACCAGGCTTTAATATGTGACCAAGATGAGTACGCGTATGGATCGGATTATCGTTTATTCCTAAATCACAACTTCTAACCAGCCATACATCCGCAATGACATGCTATAAATAAAGAAAAAATATAATTTGATTCCTATTACAAACAATGCAATAAATATTATTTACCTTGGTGGAAATACTTCCTTGTCCTGGAAAGAATCTTCTATCCTTAAATTTTATTGGTTCAATATCCATCACTGTATATTCTACTAACTGTTTTGGATCACAAATACTATTGAAAGCATGTCTCCAATAAACTGTTGCATTTATTTCTGCAACTAAATTAAAAAGATTTTTATTTAACAAGTAAATTTTAAAGATTCAAAAACATTTGAATTTATACATACTTTGTCCAGTTGATGCATCAATTAAGTGCACGGAATTTGTAACTTTGTATACTAAGCAAATGGAATTTATCCCTCCAAGTTGATGACTTAACTTCTTTGAAAGACATACTACACTATCTCTGGATATTGGAACTATCTCCACACTGCAACAGAAATTAAAGACTAATGTAATAAACGAGAAGCAACATTTAATTGTAAATAAATTTGAATAAAAATATAATTATTAATACATATACGTTTTACCTGTATGTAAATTTGTAATTGTATATATTGCTATGAATATCATGTGATATCAATTTTTTCGAATGATCATAACGGCACGGTATTACACTCGAAAGAAAGTCGACCATTTTTCGTGCTGCTGCTTCATTTGCAAAAAAGAAGTCTAACCCCTCTATAAAAATTTATAACGTTGCTTTATAATCATAATACAAATTTTACTTCCTTGATATTCTACAATTACTTAATTAATTACCATGAATAGGTTTTATACCCAATGTTTGTTCATGTGCCTTATACTTCAAAATTAATTGTTCCAAATAATAAAATGTTTTCTTATTTATTGCTCGTTGTCGTACTTGAACCTATTGTAAATAAATTACAGAATAAAAAAATAATTTATTAACAAACTGTTTTATAAAACTTACCAAAGCACGCCAATAATCTTTTGCTTCTGTTCTATGACAATCTTCGCACATTTGATGATTTACTGTAAATTCAACAATAAATACTTGTTGCAGCACTGCACCACCCATTACCTCAGCCTGTACTGTTAATTTTATCTAAAAACATAACACAGTAATTAAATGATTTCTTTATAACAAAATAATTAGACAAAATATACCTTTAATCTCATAGAATGTGGCTCTGTCCATACAAATCCAGCATCAATTAATTTCAAACGATTTAAACCCTTTAATTTTTTCAAACATAATGTTAATAACTCTCTGGATTCTAAAGATGCATGAATCCATTCTGCAGGTGGTTGCAAATACCTGAAGAAAAATTTCAATTTAGAATAAAACAAAAGAAACATGACTAAATATATTTTCTTTAATTAATATTACCTTTCACATCCCTTACAAAAATGTATTGTTGCTTGTTTTGGAACATTTTCTGTAATATCAACCTGAGTTCTTAAACATGCTACACAAGTGTTTGCTGGATTGGGTTCTATACCAATGCCACACATGCAACATAATCTATAAACAAAATAATATTATATATAAATTTAATAATATAATGTATTGTAACATTAAATATTAACGCATTAGAACTTTGAATAAATTCTGAAATATTTAAGGTTACATTTACGTACACCATTGCTTCTTGCTGAATAGGTTCTTTCAACAGTTCCATTATTTACAGTTAGTTTTATCAAATGCTTTGGAAATAGTTTAATTAAATACACTGGGATAAAATAAACAAAACTACGAGATTTATATTATATCTTAGCCACGTGTGATCTATCATTAATTGCAGGTTAGAAATACAATACTTTGCAGTCAGTTGCAAAAGTTCTGAAAAATTCCTGGAGAGGTCAGTGTTATCTCTTCAGCTTTTATTGCTATTTACACAGAGAAATATCATATTAAAAATTTGTATACATAATCACCTGAAAGTAGATTACCTCAAAGTTATTTTGTATAAAATTATAAAACATAATAATTTGTAAATTTGTATATTTTCTTTAATAAATTAAATGTGTATTCTTTATGCAATGAATGAACGATTGAAAAGCTAATTTTCTTTATTTCGAAAAATCACAGTAATTATCAGTTCATAACTCACATATTATACAAAATATTTAATACTACACAACTGAGTTAATTTGATGAAAGCAAACGTTGTTAATTGTAGTTTTTCACTTTAATTTGAAAGTTATTACATTTATATATTAATGTTTAAGTCAAACAATTAACAATACGAATACCTAAAACGATATAGGAAGTTTTTGAACTATTAATAAAAAACTTGACTCCTAATCAACAAATTATTAAGAAAACATTTTATGTAAATATTTTAGGAGTATGATAATTAAATCTTCTAAAAAGTCTGCAGGCTAAAAAACTGTTCTTTTTAATACTTTAACCCTGATTAAGTCCTGGTCCATGAAGTTCGATAAAACTCTCTAAAGAACGTGGTACATTTCCACAATAGGACAAATTGTAAGCTTTTACTACTTTTGCCGCCATACATTTTAACGATAATTTCGTCTGCGTCCTGAGTATTATTTCTACCACACCTGTATAATATTAATATGTATTTTTAAACTTTTATATATCTTTTCATCTTGTTTAAATGATATACCTTTGGTGACAGCATCGTACGGAGTTTTTCCACTGCTGTTTACAGTATCCATATGTGCTCCAGCTTCTATAAGTTCCATAATAATGGAGTGAAGAGTCATAAAATCACTAAAAAACAAAGTCAAAAATGTCTATATAAAAATATCCAGTAAGTACAAACAAGAATTAGGAGTTAATCATACCTGATCGGTTTTCTGTAGCTAACTATAACATGTAATGGTGTATTTCTTTCATTATCCATAGCATTTACATCAGCACCACAGCGTATAAGTAGTTTCGCTGTTGCGGCGCATGGAAACCTGTAAAATATTTACTTTTAGAATCTTATTCCAACACAAAACAAAATTTATGTTCTCATATTTGTTCACGTTTTATCGTAATTTCGTTAAGAAACTTACTTGCAAACATCGTTAGTATGAAAATCATCAACGGGAGTTTCAGCATTTACTGCGAGATGTAGTAACGTTTGGCCATCCTTCAAACGTAATTGCAGAGCACAGAGTTTATGAACTAAATGACACGCTTTATTTTTATCTTGCTCGTCATACCTATTTCCATTTAACGTTAAAAGTTTTGTTAATATTGTTAATATGTATAGCGTAGTTGTAATATTTGATTCCATTTCTTCCTGTAATTTTTCATTTAATTTAATTAAAACATCATTTCACAAACGGGACATTAGAGGATCGTTATCAGCTTACAATATGTTGTTCAATATCTTCCTCAGAATCGGGATTACCGACTTTCGATTTATTATGGCTCAATTCGGTTACGCTAGCTTCTAAAACACTTAACACCTGAGAGAAATCAAGGTCTACTCCTACGTGTATCATTTGTGAAAATACCTATAAAGAAAATTGTTAAGTACAACAAACAAAAGAATAAGAAACGGATAAGTCGACCATTTTTGTAGTAGTACCATAAATACTTAAATACCTGTGCAAACCTCAGGAAATCTTTTACAACAGATATATTGTTTAATTGTTTTAAATACAGAGCATGAAGCCACAAATCTATACACTTATCGAACCTAGCGTTATCTGCAAAAACTGCTCCTCTAAATATAATATGATGTGGTACTTCTGGATTATGTTGTCCTAATATGACAAATAAAAAAAAATAAAAATACTTTCTGCAATTATTGATTATCTGTTTTCGAAATTATAGATATAATAAATACCTAATATTCTTTCACGAATAGATAATGATTCCATGTGAATAGCATTCTGATTGTATCTAATGCTTTCCAATTTCTCCGGAGTCTCGCATTCTTTCCAGTTATCATATGCTTTTATAGTTTCTCCCAATTTTTTATGAATAATATTTTCGGGATCGCTATATCTATGATACGCAAAAATGACATAGTTGATTTTTCGAATAAAATATTAACTTTATTTTATGAAATAGTATATCTACCTAAGTTTCATTCCTTTCCATAAATATTTATATGCCTTTGTTAGACAGTAACTGCCTTTATCATTGGCATAAGAAGCACCCAGAAGTTCGTAAGCTTCAATTGTTTCCTCCTTATTAACTCTTGCATGTTTGATTAAATATTCTACAACTTCTGCTTTGGTACGTTCTGCTGCTGCTATTAATGGTGTCATTCCACTAACATTCTTTGTCATCTTTGTTCCATACTGTAGTAACTCTGCTACTATATTAGTATGCCCACATTCTGCAGCTAAGTGCAATGCAGTAGCACCGCAGAGTGCTTTTTCATTTGGATTTGCACCTTTTTGTAAAAGAAATGTAACCTGTTTTGAAAACAATTAAAATTGTTAAGATTATAAGTATAAATTAAATAAATTCTGATATAGAATTACACTTACTACATCCAAGTGTCCTTTATATGCAGCAATCATTAAACATGTATTGTTAAACTGATTTGAAATATTTATATCTGCATTATGTTCTATTAAATATTTAACTACATCTAGTCGTCCGTCAAAGCAAGCTGCTCTCAAAGGAGTAGAAAGACTTTTAGTAGGATGATTGACATTTGCACCTGCTTTTACTAATGTCTTTACAACTGTCAAATGTCCTGCACCAGCAGCACACCAAAGAGCGCTTGCTTTTTCAATAACATATCCATCAAATTTAACTGTTCCTTCTTGTTCTAAGTCAGGTTTAAATTTATCCAATAATATTTTAACTACTTTGTCATGACCATATCGTGCAGCTATAATTAAGGGTGTACATTGTTGTCCATCTTCTTCCAACACTTTTTGATTAATCAAAAGATTAACTTGTTCAAGTGATTTACTGCTAAGAAGATCATAAAGAGCAATAGCCATACCATCTTTAGCAGCATAATACACTCTTGTCAAAAGTGAATGTGATAATTCTATTGAATCATCACTTGAACTGACAGTTTCCATTTTTATGTTTAATATAACTTCAATAAATTCGTTTTATATAATAAACATTGTATAAAGTCACATTCACCGTAATTCTTTCTTCTCAACGAAAATTGTCGATGTCATTATAACCTCGAGAATTCTTCACAATACACGTCGCATTTTAAGGAAAGGTCTACAAGTTATTTTAAGAACATACAAAAATATAACGATATTGCTGCATTAAAAACAACCTTTCACTTCATTTAAATCTTATTTAGTGTTGATGCAATTTATTGCTATATACTTTATTTATAACTGCTTAATAGTTATTTTATTTTTAAGTCATCTTTCTCATTTTAAAAACATCTAAAAGGAAACTTATAAAACAGATACTTATTTCTTTGTAACTAATCCTCATACTAATTGACACTCTAATCACAATTCTGGCAAGATTAATGAAAGTAAACAAGTAATATCTAATTTAAAGATCTGTATGAAAAGTCTATACTCTACAATACGTATGAATACGTAACTGCGAAGATCCAAATATAAATACAATAATTCTTGGAATTTTATAAATTTTTATTCAATGGTAAAGTCGTACACCGGGCACGAGCATTATGACCCAACTCTGTTCGATATGTGACCGGCTTCACATGGTTTCCGATTTATTGGCGAATATTTCTATGATTTCATGAACCATGGTTTAAGATTCAAACCAATGGCAAACGCACTGTCCAAAACCATAATTCATGAAGAACTGTAGAAATATTCGCCAAAAAACTGAAAATCATATGAAGTCGGTCACTTATCAAACGGAGTTCGGGCACACCGTTTTGCTATTTACTTGTATTATATGTTTAAATTTATAAGTATTTTATTGTAATTTATAATCGTATTACCAATATCATGCAAATTTATTTATACAAATAATTATTTTTTTAGTGCATACGTTGTATAAAGGAAGAATGACAGCAGCCAGATATGATCGAAAAATTAAAAAAGTGTTTCATCTAGTTTTTCAGAGTTTGTGATCTGTTTAAAAAGGGGCTACTTTCACTCTCTATTGTATTGTCGTAGCGTATGAGGTTGAAAAGTAGGTGTTTAGAGGTAAAATATTGTTTGTTTAATGTTATTAGTTTTCGTGTTTCTTATTCGTTATTAACATATTTTCATTATTTATAGGTGTATTATAAAAATGAGTAATCAACATTTCTATACATTCAAATAACAATTTTGTGATTTTGATGCAATATACTGGAGACAATTAATATAAACCAGTTGACAAATATTAATAAAACAACCATATAATAATATGTGTATTTAAAATAATGCAATATATGAATATTATATTGAGCCTACAAATCAGTATATAAAAGTATCAACATTATTATTATAATTTTGGTAATTCATTAAAATATAATATAAAATGGCTCCAGTGCCTTTAGAGGGTCATCAGACCCCTGTAACTAATAACATCCCACAAGAAGGAAATCGTGGTGGTTCTATTTCTCTTGGCATGCTCATTGATTTTATAATACAGCGTACTTATCATGAACTCACAGTTTTGGCTGAATTGTAAGGAAATTTATAACTGCATCAAGTGGAAATTAATCAGAAGAATATAAACAAAAATGTAATATGTTTACAGATTGCCTAGAAAAACTGATATGGAACGTAAGATAGAAATTTACAACTTTTCAGCAAGAACCAGACAGCTGTATGTACGATTATTAGCATTGGTTAAATGGGCTAATAGTGCTTCCAAAGTTGACAAATCTGCGGTATTCTAAGAATTATTATTTTAGTACAATTAATTTAATATCTATGATAACTATATGACTAACAAAGAATTTCTTTAACAGCATATAATGGCCTTCTTGGACAAGCAATCACTGCTTTTTGTCGATACGGCCGACATGCTTGCGAGGATGGCTCGAGATACGTTAGTACACGCTAGATTACCTAATTTCCACATTCCAGCCGCGGTTGAAGTTCTTACAACTGGAACCTATAGTCGCCTACCGGCATGCATAAGGGTAATCGTAATTTACTACTATTTACCACTATATTGATCGAAAAGGTTTTTAAATTCTATATCATTTTTCTTTTTTAACAGGAAAGAATTGTTCCTCCGGATCCGATTACTCCGGCAGAAAAAAGAAGTACGCTTCAAAGATTAAATCAAGTAATTCAGCATAGATTGGTAACCGGAAATTTACTTCCACAAATGCGTAATTTAAAGATCGAAGCAGGAAGAGTAACATTTCTTGTGGAGCAAGAATTTTCGGTATCGCTTACGGTAATGGGAGATGGTCCGACGGTACCATGGAGATTATTAGAGCTGGAAATTTTAGTATCGGATAGGGAAACAGGAGACGGAAAAGCTTTGGTGCATCCGCTACAAACTCGCTATGTGCATCAAGTATTGTTTTCTCCAATAAATTATTATGCTATTAAATATCTTTTTCTAATTACTTTGTATTAAAATGAAATGATTTTAATTGTAAGGTGGTTCAATTGAGATTGGCGGAAAGTTCAAATCCATTATCCGAAGTTTATCATATTTTACATTACTTTTGCCAATCACTGCAACTGGAAGTACTTTACTCTCAGACGCTACGACTGATACGAGATAGATTGGACGATCACATTCACGTTGATGAATATACACCAGGAAAATGTCTTTCTGTGTCATATTGGAGGGAATTAACTAGTAAAGATCCTCGATCTGAATTGGGATATAAACTTACAGTGCAAGTAGATCAACACGATCCTGCGAGGCCTCTCGCGATAGTACACGTTCCATCTTTAGGTAGTAAAGAAAGTGAAATAGCAGACAGAGCGATCAGATCGGATCAGTTATCGATGGAATGTTTACTGGTACACACAATTTATGTACGTACTAGAAGTAGATTATTAGATCTGAAACAAGAACTACAAACAATGTTGAAAGATGTTGAGTGTACCTTGGCTGGTTCGCCTGCGATCCTTTCTGTGCCAATCTTGCAACCTTGCTTGAGAGCAGAACATTTATTAGTTACCGTTGATACTCACACTGGAATGTTGCAATGTCATGTGCCTCAGTACGAAGCACCTTTGGTACCCGAGTTGACTGCTGCTTTAAACGGTGATCATTCTCGTCTTCCAACCTTAATATCAGAGCTCAGGTAATACTGTATTTTATATTGTACATAATTTTAGTTTTTACTTATCTTTCTATGCGCTTCATTTGATATTGCAGATTTTGGATCACACAAAGAAGGTGCGAGAAAACGTTGCAGCATCTTCCAGCAACTTCTCACGAACGTTTACCGGTGCTCCTTCATCCTGATCACCCGATATCAAAGATTAGTAGACATCGTATGTTTGTCCAGCTGCATCGACATCCTACAGTAATTTTGATAGTAGCATTTAAAGAAAAGGAAACTTCACTGTGTGAAATCGAGTGCTCGTTTTACCTGGCAGTAGTAAAACACAGTTCCATAGAAGATGATCCTCACGATGATAGTATTGAAACAGAGATCCCAAAGATGTACTTGAAAGTACAAAGTTTAATTGAATTTGATACATTTGTCATAACTCATGGTCCCTTTACTAGCGTCGATAATGGTAAATTTTGTCTGTTTATAACATTATAATACGATAGTATTTGTATTTTTATAAGAAAACTAATAAATTCGTTACAGAAGCTACCGAGATAAGTGCTAAACGAAGAAGTGCGGGGCCCAGTGGAAGAGCCGATACTGGTACAATATTACAAAATAGAAGATCCAAACAGCCTGCGTATTTTATTCCAGAATTAGCCCATGTGGTTGCTCTCTGTGACGAAAGAATACCCTTTGTAACGTTGGCGCAAGAGTTAACTAGAAGAGAAATAGCTCATCAGGGACTTCAAGTAGAAGCAAATGCTACTGCATTAGTATTAAAATTAGTTCAATTACCTGCCCCTTCTGCTGCAATAAGTTCCAGTAGCGCGTGGTACGCGCTTCTTAAAAGATTACTTAGCGTTTCAATTAGAGTCCAGGGTAAGGGTATGGCTAAAACATGGATGGCTGAATTTGTGTTTTATGGTAGTCCCTTATCTAGTAGTCATCCTAAGGAACAAGGTAATTTGTTATTAAATATTTCATTTAATCTATTTAAATAATTTATAACTAATCGTATAATTTTGTATTAGGATTAAGGAGACCAGTATACTTTCAGTATGAAATGGGAACAGCAGATACTGTGTCACGTACAGTAGATGCATTACTTAATGATTGGGCACAAATTGTACACCTGTATTCTCTTGTACATGATTTAGCTGAATATTTCAAAATGGGTACAGTTTATAATTTTATGGAAAGCAAAAAATATTTATATGAAAAAATACAGTAATAATTAACTTAATCATATATGAATTGCAGAAAAGTATAATTTGCGTAACATGGTCAGTATAAAGTCATACAATTATAGTAAATTAGTGTTAACCTATGGTCCTAATCGTGGAGCCACCGTTACTATCCAATGGAGTATCGATGATAAGGCTTTCAAATTAATTTTTGGAAGAAGTAACTATTGTTTTATAATTTCTATTAATTAATTTACCTTTATAAGAAATTATCAACATTTTTATTATATAGGTCCAATGAGTACTGCCAGTAATGCTCATTCAATTATGAAGGAACAACTTGAATCTCACCTAAATAGACATAGAAATTTAGCACAACTTATACATATTCTTCATGAAACACTTCAACCCCTTACATCAATTAGTAAATTACCCACAATTCCACAACTTTGTGTCTATAATTCGGTATGATTTTAAGATGACCTGTTAATACTTTTCTTTCAACAAAGATTCGATATTATAAGATTATTTATTTTTTACAGAGACCTCAAGTACCGGTGCAAACTTTTACTATTATGCCACAGTGTGTAACTCTAGTCAGAATTGCATATCAAGGTATGTACTGTTTGGAACTACGTTTACGAGGAGGTGGTTTAGTAAGTTTGCGAGATGGAGCCTATAGCCGTTTTGATAGGAGTTACGTTGTTGATGAATTTACTCCAACCCAAGGCCTTAAGGTATCGTCGTATTCTTTATACTCTAAAATGATTTACACGGTTCATTTTGTTATTATAATTATTTGTTACCATTGCATAGGCATTTCTATCCAAATACGTGGACGAGAGTGCAGTTTTTCGTAGAAGATCTCAGTCAGAGGATGATAATCCTCCTTCTCCTGTGACAATGGATAGCGATGGCGGTAGTGGTAGTGGGAACGTAGGTTTCTTAAGTCATCATAGAAGTGGGCCACAATCGCCTGCTCAGCAGAGAGATGGTTTAAGATTTCATCCTCCGCTTACTCCACCTTCTGGTAGTAATCCTCATACTCCAGCCAGTCCACATACTGCTAATATCTCACAGGTAATTTATTCTACGCGTGTTCAACAATAAATTTGCCAAGTTATTCATTCATTTTTCTTTTCAGACGAATCAACATCAGAGTTTTGGAAGCAGCCCAGCCACTTCTTTCAACTTGGCTTCACCACCCTCGCTACCGCCTAACACACCTAACATGTTGCCACATCCTTCACCAGGTTCTGGACTAGTCGCTAACAGTCCTCTTAATCCAATGCACGTCCCAAGTCCAGCTGGATTAATGCCAACGTCTTCGCCAGGACCTTGCAGTAACGTTCAGGTGGGCCACTCTCCTGCAGGATCATTCATGCAAACTGGTAAGAAATAATTAAATGCAAATTGAATACTGTTAATTGAGTCTCTTGGGAGTTAGCATCAACTTTGTTCTTTACATTTAGGTCATATAGATGGAAGTCCCTTTCCATCTTCCCAGAGTATGGCTTCACCAGCGGCATCTAACTGGCCAGGATCGCCCAGTGTACCTAGACCATCTCCAGCGCGACCTGCGCAGAGTCCAGGACATGCTGCGTTACATAGTCCTCAAGCATCTGATCATAAAACTGGAACGCATATTTCAAGAGTGCTTCCACAACGTTCATGGGCCGGCGCTGTACCTACTCTTCTTACTCATGAAGCTTTGGAACTGCTTTGCTGTCCCTCCCCACATCCGTCTGGACTTTCCGGCCCTGATCTTTCGCCACTAGAAAGATTTTTAGGATGCATTTACATGCGCCGACAGTTCCAACGATTCATTCAAACTGACGATTGTGTACGAATTTCAGTTTTAATTCAATCATATATTACAGTTTCAACAACGTAATTATGAAACTAAATTTTGAATAATATTTCCAGCTAACTGCAATAAATAGTACAGAACCAGGAGTAGTACATTTCAAAGTTGAAAGTCTTCAGTGTCGAGTTGGTTTAAATCCACAACACTTACAATCACTTCATATTAAAGTGCAACCTCTTCCTGAACATAAAGATCAATGGACGCTTGAAGAATTACAAGTAATTTCTGTTTTATAATTGTTACATTTTAATTCTTTTTGATTTTACTCTATTTTGTTTTCTTTTTTATTTTACAGATTATAGAGAAATTCTTTGATACAAGAGCAGCAGCTCCGCCATATAAACCAAATACACTTTCTGGTTTTGGTAGAATGTTAAACGTTCCGTTTAATGTTCTGAAAGATTTTATACAAATTATGAAGTTGGAATTAGTACCTGGATTAGCGCAACAACAACAACTTAAATGGAACGTACAATGGTGTTTAAGGATTCCTCCTTCTGGAACTCCAATTGTACCTACTGGTATGGCAGCTGTGCTTGTTTGCAGAAATAAAATTCTATTCTTTGTAAGTATTCGCATTAAAAGATTTCAAATTAGTCTATTATCAAACGGTACAATAGCAGACCTAATCCTTTCTAAAAATTATCTGTTTCAGTTGCAAATAACAAGGATTGGGTTACCGTATCAAGGAGAAACACCATCATTGGTTTTACCATTAGTCTACGACGTTAGTACAAATTTAACACAGTTAGCTGAAAAAAGAGACCCTAGTCCAGCTTCCGCGATGGCTGCTGCATCTTTACAGTTGAAGAGATTTGCTGAATATGGTGCGAATCAATCCGAGTGTTCTCTCTTTCCAGCTGTTAGGGACCTGCTAGCTAATTTGACTCTTCCTTCAGAACCACCAGTTATGTCTCAAGTAAGTAAATAATATGTACTTAAAGTTATAACGTTTCATTCATAAATACAAGGATGGTATAAAAGGAAAAATGATTTTTTTTTTCTTTACAGGTTGTTCCATCGCCAGCTGGTGGGCAAGTAACACCAACACAGCAGATACAAAGTCCTGCAATGCAACTACATTCTCCCATGGCTGGAAATCAAGGTCCTCCACAGGCACCATATGGGATTCAAGGTATGCCTCCAGTGGGAATAATGGGTGGACCACCTCAATAGGATATGCTTTACTCTCCTAGTCCCCTCTGCCTGCCGAATCAGTCGACCTGGATCAACTGAATCGTGCTGTAGTGTCCGTCTCATAAATGTACAGTCTTCTTTTTCTTGAACGGACCGATTTGGGGATCTGTAGGAGAGTTCTTCTGTTGAAAAGCTTGTTCTGTAAAAAGTTAGTATAAATGATAGCTGTAAAAAGAAACGTATACATTTTGAAAACAGTTTTCATAGATTTATTTATGGATAGATGAAACAAATTCCATTTTAAAATGATTTATTTTTAATGTAATCTATGCGTCTGTATTTCAATTATCTTATTAGCATTATATTGAGGAATCAAAATGTTAATTAATAACTTTCTATATGTTTTATGAAAATATCAAATATTAAGTTTTAATATTTAGACTTCGATAAGTTTAATGGTAAATTTAGCAAATTAAAAGATTGTATCTATGATAAGCAAATTCTTTTATTATTATAAAAATGACTGTGATACTAGTTCAAGTGTAAAATAAATGAACTTTATGGTTAGATATAAAATAATAGTTCAAAACCACCCATATATCTGAGAAAAACCATAACTTACACTCCTCTAAACATGCGACGCCGGTGAGTCGACCTAGTTTTGAAATCTCAAACGATAATTCGTTGAGTAGTTTGCGCCCTTTTCGTATAGATGGTGCCACCGTTTATTGGAATTCCGGTCGGTAACTCGTCGTGTAGTTTCCGCCATTTTTGTATAGATGGCGCAGTAATAGAAAAATTTAAAAATTATTACGAATTGACAATTTCTCTGAAAATTATTAATCCTTTTCCTGCAATAAAACAATTATTTATCACAACAGTTTTGTATACCCTGTAATAATGCACTGTTTCATCTTTTATTTATTAAAAGATAATTTTTTCATATAATAGGATTTAGAGAACATTTTTCTTACAGAATAGAAAATTTTTATCAAAATTTGTATACATTATAAAACAATGCAAAATACAATATATTATAAAACATTATACAATTTAATTCTCTTATAAATAGGATTACAATATACGTTATCTGTACACACTAATATAATATGGTAAATACAACTTAAAAAAATAATGCAATATTATATTCTGTGTCAATTATTTTATATGTACATACAAAGTAGTTCAGCGCAAGCATATGTAACTTTATCAAACCTTGCATCCTAATTTCTTTAATTTGCAAAATTAAAATTTGTATTAAATAAATGAATTTTCTAATTACATTGTCTGAGTTGTGAAATACTCTCCCTAAAACAACCGAAACAATGAGACTTAATTTGCTGAAATAATTACAATGTATCTATATATGTTTGAATTTTTATTTATATATACTAAGATATGTCGAAATGTTTGTTGAACTTTTTAAAAAAGCAACAAAATATAATAATGTAGATGACGAAAATATGTATCCTGGGCTAGTTTCTAGTAAGCTTAAACGAATGTTTCACTTCTGTGAAGAAAGGAGCCACGAAGGTGCGAAGAGTTCGCTGTTTAGTGTATCGGGTCAACAGCAGCACCAACAAGTTAAAACTGCAAACGAAAATGTTTTGTGTGCGCGATGTGAATGCACAAATGATTGCGTGAACTGCTTAAGTTCGTTATCATTTAAAGTATTTGCAAAAATTGCACAACCGTAAGAAAAATATAAAAAGTTATACTACACTATTATACTACTGCATAAGTATACAAAATCTACTTTCTCTAAGTTTTTAACTTTTTAAATAAGTAATTCTGTTTACATAACTGTAAATATATGAACTTATTACATAAATAACGATAATTTATTTTTAATATAATTATTATAAAACTTAATCAATTACAATTTCAATAACAGAAGATAGCGACTTTAATGATCATTATTCAAAATTATTTGAATTATGATTTCTATATTTCTTTTTTCTTTAACATTGATTCTTTTATCAAGAGAAAAATGATCGTACGTCCTCTTCGATCAAAAGAAAATAATTATACTAATTGAGGTTTACTTGAATTGGAAAAAGTTTCAAAGTAACTTAATTTTCTAAGTCTTACTTGAGAAATGCAAATACAACATCTCCGTTGTTGTTAATTCACCAAGCCTGTTTCGACGACATGTCGACGCAAGCTAAAAGAACGTTTTTATTAAGTTTTCACGAGAAACGTGTTTCAACTTCTTTAAATTGTCTTTCATAGAAAATAGTTCTTTCTAATCGTTCTTCGTGTTATTAGTAATTGTTCTTATTCACTCTTCCAAAAGAATATTCATTTGATTCATTTAGAGGCGTCAGTGAAAAGTGCAAGCCTACCGTGTTGTGGTCGCCAATAACAGCAGGCTAGATGTAAAGCTAAAATGATGACCAGAATTTCGACAAGTGCTAGTCCACTCGCGACACCGATTACTACTGCCTTGTTCGCTTCGATTGTCCTCATTATTGCATTATAACAACCCTACAATGTACATATGCTACTTTTATATCTGTTTCTTAAATATAATTTATGCAAAATATGTTTCCAAATCATATATTTATGTTCTGACCTGTTGATAATAGGAATTAGAAGAAGTGGGGTTGATAGGGCAGGTTGGATCTTTCAACATATTGTTTTCCTTCATACAACATGCTTCAGGAACGACTTTATCCGACGATGTCCAGTTTGCACTCTCCCTAAAGTCCAAATAATTATCTACTCCACAGCAATGAAGCTAAAATACACAAAATACATGATTTTTGATCTGTGGTATCTAGTTGAGTATACATTCTTCATTGAATTTTTAATAACCTGAGTCATTATACCATCCCAAGCAACTGTTACTGTTTCTGCTTTATCAATGTTACTGGCATAGTATTTAATTGTGGTCTTGAGAAAGTTTTGCGTAGTTTTTTCCGCCTAGAAAAACAGAAATAATAAGTATAAATTTCTACCTCTAATTAGATTGATACATCACAACAGAAAGACTTACATCCCCTTTAAGTCCAAAAGCTAAACCTACTGCAACACATTCCAGAATTAAGATCAGAAGAATAAGAACACCGTACTGTAATTCAAAGTATAATTATATTACGTGAACGTTGTTTCCCTTGTTTCTGATGGTAGTTATGTTACTTACAACGCAGAGAAGGCATCGAGATTCAAACATAGCTCCGCAATAACCTAAGAAACTAATCAGAAAGGTAAGCGCTCCTGCCAAAATCAAGATGTACGATATTATCTTGATGACATCCGCATCCGTTTTCGTCTACAAAAATGTAATTCAATTAAGTCCAAATACATTTTATAAATACATGTATATTCATTCAGTCGTCAGTTTCAATTTGAAAGAAAGAATAATATATTACGTAGACGTAAGAAAACGAAAACGATCAAAGTTAGCGAATAGAAAGTGGTGGTTAAGCATTTTTCTCGGTAGATAATTAATTGGTAACGCTTTCGTGTTGCAATCAACGAAGCATGGAATCTCCTAAACAAATTCTTTAAACATCATCGTTCAATCTTCTTTACTCAGCTACGTTTCAATCGACGTTGTTACCTATCGTTAATCGTACAGAGTGAATAATTTGTTTCGGATAAAGTGTCTTTAAAGTTTACCAGAATATCTGACTGGTCAAGCTTGCCGATGACATCAGCAAAAGAACTGCTATCGGCGCACAGCCAAATTCCAACGGCCAACGCAGCTCCTCCGGCTACCTAAAAACAAAACAAATTAGTCTCTTCATCTTGCTAATTAATCTCTTAAAAGAAATAACATGATTTGCGCAAGGGAAACTCGATATCTTTACTCGGGAATGGAATGACGGATCTTCGCTAAAGCAGAAGAGTTGGGGGTGCAACGTGTTAACATCCATATACTTACAAAGAAAACGAAATTGAAAAAACAAAGAAAGTATTTGGCACACTGCGAAGCGCAGCCCATTTTCGCTTCCTTCGGTGTAACTGTATCTGTAATCAAAGAAAATAAATTACATTAGAATGAGAGATAAGATATGTGATATAATTTTTCCTGAAAATCATTGGAAAGTTGTGAAAAATGCAAATAAAATACGGTCATGGTTACAAGTTCGTTATACAACATCAGGAATAAGGAAATATTTCTAACGAAACCCGGGAAAGATACAAATATTCTGTTTACTTTGAACCGTTTGTCCGAGGTAAGGGAAGATGTTGCTTCGCTGTCTGCAACGTCTTCGTGACGTCCCAATTACTCAATTAAAACATATTTGTCAGTTGAAATTATGCGTAGGCGGGAAACAAAGAGCTACGAAAATTGGCCGAATTAGGGCGAATTTCTGTTAATAAAGAAAACGTCTTTTGCATTTTTATTTGCATCTCGTGTCAGGGACAAACAAGTTCCATCTGTTATGAAATTCTCTATTTAGATTATCATAGAAATATTTTTAAATTGGTGTACACAGAAAAGAAATGAAAGTATCACGTTCAAAAGGATTTATATTTTCATAGAAGTGATAGCATTTTATGCATGACTTAACGGATTGATTGGTATAACTGTGAAGGAAAGTTAGTATCGTACGTTTCTACTATGAGAACACGTTGTTTATTGTTGCATTGCAGTATCAATATTCAACGAATCTCCAATCTGTAACTCTATTATGAGCGCAGTTCTAATTGCACGCGTTTAAAATCGCTCTGAAGCTTTTTACACGGTAGACAAAGCAACTACAATGAGCGTATTCGTGTCGAATGAAAATTTACACTTGCAAACCTTGAACACATTCAAGTAAGAAGAACGTACAGGGTGTCCCATGCAACTGGGCCAAGCTTTGAAACGATAGAAGATAGAGAAAAAATTCATTAAGAAAAATTAAACGGCGCCTGATGGAGCATCACGCGGACACGTCTGACGGTACCGGATGTGGATGCGTTGCAGAGATTTCGATGTTAAATCCAGTTGCATTGGACGCCTTGTATACGTACTCCTTACGTCCTTGGATTGTCTTCTACGTAATATAACAGTTGACAATCTAGTTTCTTCTTCCGTCAGCAGCTTACTATCCTTCCTTATTCATTATGCCTCTGCAAATGTATCATTTTGTTAATTACGTATCGGATACGTTACATGAGATCCATAAAATCTACAGTTTGCTTTAATGACAAAATTATCAGAAGTTCGTTGTATCCAACTTCCAGCTTCATGAAAGTGAGTGTTGAAATATAAAAATACGTACTATTACGCTACCTGCAACCAGTTATCGATTGAAAAAAAAAAAAAAAAAACGTACTACAACGTCATTTAATTTTTTTGATCTAATACCGATATATTTTCCATACTACAAACTTTCACCCTTTTGATTCCACCAATTTTCTTACTAAAACCTGGAATATCTCGGTTCTCTTAGAATCAAAAATGTAGATAGTTTTTGTTAAGTACTCCAACCAACTAGTTGCACATATTAAAGGCCATTTGTTCGGCATTTAATTTTAGCAGTTCAACGAGTTTGACAACTTTCGATGATGACGCAATGCAAACTCACAAATGTGTATCGTTTTCTCGTTGCATAATGCACGGCGTGCAAGCTTAGAATGCACTTACCCGAGAAATCCACGATCTCGGTAGCAGTGATTCATTTTTTTTTCTTTTTTAATCACCTGCTTTCCGTACAATTAAAATAATTATTTCAAAAGGTAGGTACATTCTATTCGGAATATCAATGCTCGTGTTTACAGAATATCAGTGGTATTTCGATAGAATGCTCTGTTACGTTAGAAACTAGGCATCGGAGAGAACTAAAATGGACACTCGTTACGAGACCGCGATGTAACTCGGTCTAATAGCTTCCTGATTATTTCGTGAGCCGCTCAGCTGATTTCCTCTCTCTCCTGTTACGATCATTTTAACCCTTCTTGTTACCGAGATCACGGCTTATTTCTCACGGAAAAATCAGATGATTCACGCGTTATTTGTTCGCGAATTAAGTAATAATAAGTGTATACGTGTAGAAATTACGTTGGTTCCAATTAAAAGTTTCATATTCGATCCTCTATCAGATAATATCGAGTCATAAAAGGGATTGAAATTTCAGAAATATCTGTGTATCACCCAATTTCTTAACGCATTACCTATCGCCCTCAAATAAAATAGATAACCACTATCGCCCTGTAACGTTTATTATTTCAACCGATGGCGTCGAACAGCCTCTTCGTAAGATTCTAAAAATTGTAGCATTCTAAAGGGCCGAATAGCAACAGGGCAAATCGCGATTATCTGCTTAATCATATAAAAAGATGTAGCGATAAGGTATAAGTAAGTATATCGGTATTAAATCTCTACAAGTGCCGTTCGTTGTAGCATACTTCGCTGATGTTTGTTCCAGAGGTGAATGCTATTTGTCGAAGACAGGGTGAAGCAACCCCTAGGGAAAACGTTTTCATTCAAGCCGGCTTAAGCACCTAACGTAACGAGGGCATTGACGTCCTACAAAGTGCATGCCGTGTGTTGTTATGGAGACACTACTCATCACAATACCGATTTTTCTTTTTCGATCAATTATGTATTGCTTTCCTATCCGTCGAAAACCTGAAAAATAATATATTTTATTTTATTCCATTAACGTTATTGAATTTGTTTATTTTTTTTTTTCCTTAATAAAGTTCCATATAAATTATTAACTTTGTTACCTTATTATATAAATAAAAATAGTTTCAACAGAAGAAAATGGGACTTTTAACGATTTCTTTTACGTGGACAGAAATAGATTCTCTGATGGACTAATTTTAAACTCCTCCAACATCTTCGAATTCCTAAGATTAAATAATAAATATAGTTTCTAATTAAAGCCTCTTTTCTTTATTTTATTTACAATGATGAATTCACTTTTTCCCTCTGAAAACGGACGTTCTGGGTTATGGTCACTTTGACCCGCAATTAAAACGTGAAAATTTAATCGTGAAAACTGCGTACGAACAACGGAATAGCAACAAGTGGTGGATAATTAGAGGGGAATAGATTTTATCAAAAAATATTTCTTTCTCAACCTCGTCGACCTGATCTTATCTCGATAGAATTTACATTCTGCAGGGAGATATATTGTCTCTATGGATTATACACAGTGTACCGAAAATAAGCGAAAAATATAGAATAAAATTTCTTTATACGAGGTTTTGGTACCATATAAATTGATTACCACTGAGATTTATTATTTGTCAGTAAGATCTTTGAATCCACCATTTTTAATTTTTCCGTACTTTCGAATTTTAAACGACGCAAAACTACCGTCAGCAACGACGATTATTTTATTAATTTTATCGCATATTTTCAATTTATTATAAAATATTAATTTACATTTAAAAAAACTTAAATCGATGCCCTTTAAAGCATTTACTTAAACGATTACGTTAAATTATAACAGTGTCAAATATTAAATTGTAAAATATGGTGATCTCAAAAAGAAGAAGATGACAAAGAGGAGGACAAATACCGTAAAATGATAGATAAAGAAAGAATGAGGATAGAGGGCAAAGGGAGAAGGGTAAACGGGAAGGAGGTTGGGAAGAGGGGGAGAGAGAGAGAGAAATTTCCAAGAGAAAGTCGTGTACCTCATTATAAAAAGAATATAAAACAGTAAATTGTCGTCTGAAATTTCAGCTGTATAAATTTTTTCATACTGAACAAAAAAAATGAATATATTCAATAAAAATATGATTATTTCGTGTGTACCGATATTATGTACGTAATTTTTATAAATATTATACAAAAAAATCTTATATATATAGAAAAAACTTAATTATCTGAACAGTTGTCATCTTACTATTAAGTAAAATTTTTAACCAAATAGATCTCTTTAAATCCTGAAAACGAAGATAGCAAAACGTTTAAAATATGTAAGAAACCGTTGTACGAAAATGTAAGGCGTCACTAAATACATAAGAAGACGAACTTATCATCAGAATAAGAGATTCTTGCGACCACATCAATGTTTTATTTTCGAGTCGTAAAATCACATGAATCATTAACTGTTGCTTCGAGATTCCTAAATAAATCTAATAAGGTCGTAGACAGAAAAGAAAGTGATTATATTTTATTTCGTCGTTAAATATCTTTTACGTAAAGAACAACTGAACTGTAAAATTCCTACGTCGTATGACAATTAAGAAGCAATGAGCAATTATCCTTAACGAAAGATAGAGAAAGAAAGAAGGAAAAGATAATAGATTACTTACGTTTACGATGCTGCTGTACCTAAGATTCTCCAGCAAGAGATTTCCCAAAGCTTGAAGATTAGTACGAATAACACATTTCACACCACATCACTGTTTAATGCCACTATAAAAATAGAAGAATCGAGTTGTAATAATTTTACCGGCGTCATTCGTGCCAACAAATTCTTTTAGACACAAACAACCGAAGAGACGTCGTTACTCGACGCCGTTTGCCGCGCATCTACCACAGATACCTGTCGCGGTAGTCCTACCACCAATGGCGGCAACTATGCTGTGATTGGAGTACTACTGGCCAATCACCGATAAGCTTCTGAAGCGTTGAAAATTTCGCGCCCCTGCGTAAAAATAATAGAATATTAGATATATTGTTGTAAATAAAGTTAAATTTCATTTTTTACTTACAAAAAAGATGACTTATTCAGTTAAAAAAGAATATCAATGCTTCATTCACAAATTTTAACTTTATCTTTATTTTAACATATTAAGCAAAACAATAAAATTAGTTAAAATCAAATGAAACATTTATATATATTTCACAACATATAATGGAATAATAGAACTGGTGGGATTATTCTTCTATTTGTTCCATTTTACCTACACATTTTCATGAAATCAATTTTGCATTTAGTTATTTGCGTACACGTTCAGGCTTTTTTACAAACTGTACAGATATTTATGATTATTTATTGATATCATTAACGTACATATATTTATTGCAAGTATTAGAAAATGTGACGTAATTTGAGTGTTGCTAATTAATAGTTCCTATGTACGTCACTTGTACTTTATTGCACTTTTTAAGTTTAAATTAAAAAACAGTACTTTATTTATCTTTATTGCAGGATTATATTTTATTATTTACAATGATTTTTTGAAAATCATAAAACAATAACATATGTGTGTACGTAAATATAAATAAATATAAATTAGACTCCTTCAATTCAGTTTCTTATTATTATATAAAGATTGAAAGTTACTTAAAGAAAACTTTCAACAATTACAGATAATTTTTCGACATTTCAAAGTTTATATATGTTTTTCTTTCCAATAGAGTTAATATCAAGTGGTATACAAGTGAAGTATTATCTACGTTTATTATAATTATTTTTTATTCGAACAAGTTTCGTGCGTGAATTTACAGAAACGTAAGACTCTCAACCTTCTGATTATTTTTTTTTTTTTTAAAGAAAACGATATTTTAAAAAACTGAATTATTAGAAATCATAACAAAACGAAAAAGAAACGACGATATTTCAATCTTAAACCTGTTAATATTGATGAGCAAATATATATTATAATATATATACGTATTTATAAACAACAATATACACGTTTACTAAAATTTCATTTCTTCAAACGAATGAAAAAATTAATTGAACATGATTTCGTTAGTTTCAATATTATACACTTTTTGCTAACTAACTGTGGCACTGAGGAAAAGTAAGACTATTTTTTACATCTTCTTTAAGCTTAATATCGCATTTGTCTATAACGCTGTTCTCACAAAGAATTGATATTTTAGCATTTTGTATAGATTTAAAACGTTTGGACGCTTGTTCTACGTCCAAACCGTCTTCATCCAGTACCAGCGGCTTTTTACCCAATGTTTTACTAAAAGGTTTTATAAGTAAAGAGTCCTTTCGAAACGTTACATCTTTTAAATCATAAATAAAATCCTTGTTTAAAGGTTTTATTTTATTGCGAATAGGACGTTGCGGTTTTGAATGATTTTGCATAGACATATTGTCGCCTTCTTTTAAATCGGAACAGCTCGATTGTGCTGTTTCATTATCTTTTATACTTTCTAGCTCTTCTTTTTTGTCTACTTGTTTCGTAGAATCCATTTCAGGTGGCCCAAATATAACTTCCATTACCATTTTTCTAACATCAGGATCCAATAGATTATTTTGTTCCTTAGTATTAATAGTTGATGCCTCTTGTTGAGATTCTCCATTTATGTGAACTATTTCTTGATGCATTGTCGAATCTGTGTTTGTTATTTTTTTGTCTTCCTCCTTTTCTTTTTCTTTCTCCTGTTCATTGTCTTTCTCCTTTTCCTTTTCTTTTTCCTTTTCTTTTTCCTTTTCTTTTTCCTTTTCTTTTTCCTTTTCCTTTTCTTTCTTCTTTTCCTTTTCTTTCTCTTTTTCCTTTTCTTTTTCTTTCTCCTTTTCTTTTTCTTTCTCCTTTTCTTTTTCTTTTTCCTTTTCTTTTTCTTTCTCCTTTTCTTTTTCTTTCTCCTTTTCCTTTTCTTTCTCCTTTTCCTTTTCCTTCTCCTTTTCCTTTTCTTTCTCTTTTTCCTTTTCTTTTTCGATTACAGTTTTTTCTTCGACTTGAACTTCTGATTCTACACGTTCTTCTATAACTTCCGGAGTACTGGACTCCTTTTCTAAGTTTGTTATATCCACCATAATAGTTTGATCACGTATAGATTGATTCTCTGGGATTAGACCTATCATATCTTCTATGATAACACGATTGTTCTGAGCGTTATGCATTTTATTACAATGTGCTACACAATCGCACTTGACGAAACATTTAAAATTGCAAAGTTTACATCGATAACGGTTCCAACCAATATGAATGGCAGCATGTCTTCTTAAATTAGTTGCTGACATGAATTTTCGTTTACACTTAAGGCACTGAAGTTTTGGAAGATTTATTATCGAAGCCACTTTTTCTTCCATTAATAATACGTTATCCACGTTTTTCATTTCTGCAGCTTGTTCAGTATTTATATCCAAAGATATGTTTCTTGTAACATTTGCTGAAAATAAAAATTTTGATTTCACAGAAAATATCTCGTATAATTAAATATAAATGTTATCGACGTAATATGTAACTTACCTGGACTGTTACTTAATCTTTTTGGACTATCCTTGCCTTTTCTTTTTCTACTTCCAACATTGATTTTTGGTTTATTTATATTAGTATACACAATCTCTATAGGATCAGAAATATCACTTGTAGAAGGAACGTTGCTTTTCTCCGTAGTTTTTACTACTCCATTTGTATAAACTGCCGCAATTTCTTTGTTCGGTTCATTTTGAGAACTTAATTTTTCAGTATCTAACATTTCCCAATCTTCTTTACTTAATGTTGCAACGGATTCTACGCGAATAGGTGTTTCGTTACTATGATTAATTTCAGCCGAAATAGAACAATTTTCTGCATTCAAATTCTTCTGAATTTCTGGATTAATAATTATATTTTCCTTTGGAATAGAATCTGGTGAAATTTTATTCACTCTTTTTACTTTATTTGTGCTTTCACAGGCTGCAACACGCCTATGGCAATACTGTGAATGAGCGGACAAGGCTGCCTTCCTATCAAATCTTTTTCCACAACCACCGCATCTTTGCAATTCTGCATCAGATTCTAAGTGATCCATCCATTCCTATCAAAATACTATGTTTTAAATTAACAATATTTTGATGAAAATTAACGTATTACATTGATAACCGAGATACCTGAGTTTCATTAATTCTTAATGCATCGTTCGTTAAAGTTTTGTTGGCATCTTCTTTTTGTAAATCCTCGGCAACAGTCGTATCCTTCATGTATGCTTTTTCCTGAATCTGTGACCTAAGTTTCCGTACTTCTTCACTGGTTTTCCTATGAGCTATAAGACGGGTTAATGAAAGCTAACACGTTTCTAATTTAAATGTCATTGATCACTTATGCAAACTATATATATATATATATATATATTGTTCGTACTTTTAAAGAGATGTCGATAAACACTCCAAGTATTTGCAAATGTAGCAGAACAAAATGGGCAGGGAAAACATAACCTGTGAGATGTATGCAATGTCTTTGTATGAACAGCTAACGTTTTCTTTGTTGAAAACCTCGCATTGCATATAGTACAAACTTCAGGAGTTTTACTAATTCCTTCTGCACTACTGCTTTCAGTCCTGCTGTTACTGTTTGACTCTTCGATAGACTGTACAAGGTGTCCATTTGAATTTAACACTGCAGTTTGTCCACTTATCATATCTGTTAGCTCTGTTACCTAAATATCATTGAATTTATAATAAAATATTTCACGTAACATTACTTTGTTAATTATCTTTGTTTTTAATCAGTTATTTGTAAACAATACCTGTGCTTTCATTAAATCTCTATGATCTTGATTTGAAACTATTGACTCAACAGTTTGATAAACTGCTGATGAATTTGACTGCACAGTTTCCAAACAGATCCATTCTGTGTTACTTCGTAAATTTTCTGTTTGTTTTTTCTGTAACATATTAACAACAGAAGTGAGATCCTTTTTTTCTTCTTTTTTAAAAACTTGACTTCTCAAGATTCTATCATTTCCACAAACCTCTTGAAGCAATTTCTCTGGTTTCTTATTATTTGATTCACTTGTAAAAGCCTGTAAAATATATATGCATATACATAATCTTTATATATATTTTTTAAATCAAGTTGCAGTTAAAAATTTGGAATACTTTTAATGCATTCTATATTTGAAATATTATATAAATAACTTATTTTTAATAACAAAAATCAATAATATAGCATAAGAGATAACAACATTTAAATAAAAATATCTAATTGTATTAGTATTATTTAGATCAGTAATTCATTTGCTGTTAGAAAAATTACTTGTTACTTTAACTTTGTATTATAATAAACAGAATAGAACGTACTGTAGTATAATCATTGAAAGAATTCTTAGTAAATGTGACATCAAATTTTTCTTTACAGTAAATACGTTTATGCGAGATGAAATTAACCAAACTTCTAAATAAACTTCTGCATATACGACATTCGTATACCAGATCACATTCATATGTCAAAATAGATTTAATTTCTTCGCTGCCGCTTTCTAAAATTTTGGTTGCACGATACAGATTTGAAACGCTTGTATCAATTGGTTGACTTAGTTGAGATAAATCTGGATTTATAGTGGTAACTTCTGTTGGAGGGAATTTAACTTTTCCAAATTTCCCATTAGGTTTTTTACTTTTGGTCTTTGCTTTCATCGATTTCATTTTCCATAAATATCGCACATCCAACGTATTATCTCATAAGAACTGAAAAAATAAATGTATTATGAAATTATGTAAGCTTAACAATCCTAGCTAATCATAATATAATGAATATACATAAATTGATCAATTACATAATGTAGCAGTTAATTATAAATAATAAGAAAGAAATTAAAGAGCTCAGGGAAGAAATAAAGTAAGGTAATTATAACAGCATAGTTCAAAGTGATATTTCAAAGAACTGAAAGATTATGTATAAGAAAATATGTTTTAAAAATAATAATTCATCTTCTGATACAAAGGGAATACTTAAAAATTCATTAAAAACTATGAATTTAAAAGTGAAACAAGAAAAAGCATACAATGGGGATGTACCGTCTCTCCTGCATTTTACTGCGTAAAAATCGATTTTTACTTTTCAGATTTTGAAGTTATGAAGAAAACAAATTATTAAGAAGCAATAATGTCTGTTAAAAATGAGTTCTCTCACAAGAAAGACACGCGATTTAGATCTTCTTATACAAGACTGATTCTGATTTCGATCGAGCTACGACCTCCATTTTTCCAAAACCTAGAAGTTCTTGGCTCTACCACTTTAGTGAAACGGTACCGTGGGCAGCACATTCATTTTATTGAAGAATAATTTTACTTATTATTTAAATTTGCTTATTTGTTCAATAATTTTCAATGAAAATTCGACGTACCATTGACCTGCAGAAGTAATTCAGCAAGCTCATGATATAAAGCATAAGTTATGAATTAAAAATTATACGTTTTCTTAAAAATTTATTACAGAAGGTTATGTCCCTTTAATTTTTATAAAAATTATATTTAGCAATTAAAATAAAGTAATACATCATTTCCCCAATTATGATAAATACAAATTTTACCACAAAAATTTTACAAGTAATTTAATAGAAACAATGCATGATTCTATCATATAGTAATGACTAATAATAAAAGAAAAAGATTTCCTTGAAAAGTAATTTGAATTGTTCTATATTTTTCAAATCTGTGCATATAAACATTGAAGTATATTATATTAAGATTTTTCAAGCTTTTTCCTATATGCATTATGCGTGAAGACCTTACGTATTTCTTTTTCACTTATATCTTTTAACATTAAATTTTAAATTATCATATCTTCTATTACAATTGAATTTAACTTTGTATAAACAAAATTAAAGGTTTATACATATCTTATAAACCTTTATATATATTGGTAAGAATCTTTATGAAAAATGAAATAATAAAAACATCATTTTCATTTACCATTAGAAATTATAATAGCCCACTGCATACAACAACTTAGACTTCAGATTCATTAAAAATCTTAGACTGTGATAAACAAAAAGACTTTCATTTGTAATGTTGTTCCTGATTTGAAGATTGACTATGTATCACAATGTTATAGCAAAAGCTTAATTTCTGCAAAATTCTTTCTCTTCATCATTAGTTACAAAAATATTTATAAACATCATTTATAATATACTTATAACTCATCAAGTAGATTAATTTTTGATACCCAAATTGAAATGATATTTGTAAACCACAATTGTATCATATAATGACATATTAAAAGTAAAGAAAAACTTGAATATTTAATAAAATACATACAGTATAATTGTAAAGTTTGTTGTGCCGCGGCGCATGCGTTACAATTTCGCATCTTTTCCTCGTGAAACCATTCGAAAGAATCTGTGTTTTGTACGTTTAGATTTTGTACAAACTGAACTGTTTAAAAATGCACGTTAATTGATGGTAATAACTTCTGTGAATAAGAAGAATAATCATAAAGAAAAAAAATGGTGTTGAATGATTGTCCGGACTCGGACGTAATTGGTTGTGGATTCAGTGCGTTTAAGGAAATTGATGAAGTGATAGCTTTGATTTCGGAATTGAAGAAAGCTGATCTTTCTTCGAGTCTTGTTGAAAAAAATCGAGATCGTTTCAACTTTATCTTGTCGCAGTATCAGGATCAAAGGCAATTACTGGATCCATATTTAGATGACATTCTACAACCACTGATTGGTATCATCAAAGATGAAAATTCTACAGAGAGCATGCAGCATAATGCTTTCAAATATATTTTTGTTGTTATGTCAGTCAAGACGTACAAAAACATTGTTACGTATCTCCCACACGAGGTATACTAATCCTTCCATCTTATAACTTGATTGATAATAACATTTCAGTTTTGAAATAATTGATTTAATTTGATATAGGTGACAGATCTCCTTCCTGTTTTGCGGATGCTGGAAAAGCAAGATATAAATGATGTAGAAACATGGGAAACTCGCTATGTACTTCTGATTTGGCTTTCTATCATTTCAAAGATACCGTTTCCACTATCGCGGCTGGAAGTCTCTGATGTGACATTAGAAGAATCGATAATAGTCAGAATTATAAAGATATGTAAACTATTTTGCTTGTCAAAGGATGCTTGTGCGGTAGCTGCAGTTTTCTTAATTGCCAATTTCTTAACAAGATCAGACGTTAAAAACGTATATTTGGGAGAAATGATAATTTGGAGTTTACAGTGCGTGGAAGATGACCCCTTAAGACACGGTCCTTTAGCCGTTATAGCGGCGATATTAAAACACAACGCAAGAGAAGACGTTAAACCGCACATCCAAATAATTTTAGACAAAGTTTTACAGTTCCATTTGAACGATAATCCCGCCGATCTCATTCGGAAGTTCGGGATAAAGATTGTACAAAGAATTGGTTTGGTATTATTAGGAACAAAATTAGCTTCATGGAGATATCAGAAAGCTAGTAGACCAATATCCTTGCTACCAAATGCTAAAAATAGTAATACTATAGAAAGCGTAGAAGAAGCTAAAAATATTCCGTTTTATCACGACGATCAGGATATTCCACCGGCGATAGAAGATATTATCGAGCAACTTATACAAGGGCTCAGAGATAAAGTAATTACAATACGGTGGTCTGCTGCAAAAGGAATTGGTAGAATAACAGCAAGATTACCAATAGATTTAGCAGACGAAGTAGTAGGATTTGTATTAAACCTTTTCTCTGGTCGAGAATCAGATTCTGCCTGGCACGGTGGTTGCTTAGCATTAGCAGAATTAGGACGGCGCGGACTTCTTTTGCCTCATCGATTAAAGGATGTGATACCAGTTGTTGTTCAGGCATTGGTATTCGATGAACCACGTGCTTATGGATCAATTGGATACTTGATCAGAGATGCTGCCTGTTACGTTTGTTGGTCATTCGCAAGAGCATACGATTCTGATATTTTTCAACCCTACGTAAAAGAGATTGCAGCTATGTTATTAGTTGTTACTTGTTTCGATAGAGAAATTAATTGTAGAAGAGCCGCCTCCGCGGCGTTTCAAGAGAATGTGGGTAGACAGGGTAACTTTCCCCACGGAATAGAAATACTTACTATTGCTGATTATTTCGAAGTTGGTGTTAGAAATCATGCATACTTAAAGATTAGTACGCAAATTGCACAGTATGAAGAATATACAAAACCTCTGATCGATCATTTAGTCACAAGAAAAGTAACTCATTGGGATACAGCACTTAGAGAACTTTCGGCCAAGGCTCTATTTAATTTAACCCCTATAGATCCAAATTACATTAAAGACACAGTTTTACCAAACTTATTAGATATGTTAAATTCTATCGACTTAAATATCAGACACGGTGCGGTATTGGCTATTGCAGAGATATTGGAAGCATTGCACAATTGTTTTAATGACAACATTGAAAATATCATTGGGGCGTCAGCGGTAGAAAATATAAGAAATATAGTGAGCACTTTTAGAAAAAGAGGGCAATTCAAAGGTCTTGGAGGAGAGTTAATGAAGCAAGCTTGTGCTGTACTTATAAAGAAATGCTCTATCGTTCATTTTCCAATATCCAGGGAAATGATTTGTAAGTTAATTATTACTAATAGATTTTTTATCATTGTATTTGTATTTAAATATTTGCTATAACTTTTGCAGATGACTGGCAGGATCTTTTAGAAGAATGTTTGAGCCATGAAGTATCCACGGTAAAAATAAAAGCTGCCGAAACTCATACAGAATTTTTTCGAAAATATTATGCCAATCTAGATAGCGAAGACCGTAATGCTGTAATTAATCGTTATCTCGATAATTTGCAATCAAACAATCAGTTGGTCCGAATTGGTTTTGCACAGGCCATAGGTAATACACAAAATATTCGGATCCTAAAACGACTCGATACTACTTTCATTAATCTTTTTTCAGGATATTTTCCTTTATTCATACTTTGTGAAAGAATAAAAGATATAATAGAGGCTCTGATTAAGTGTATTGAAATATCAGCGAGTACTTTGAAATGGGCAGAGAGTAGAAAAGAAGCTATCCATGCTTTGATAATGGTCTGTCAAACTTTAGGAGTTAAAGAAGCTGGTTTGTTTCTTATTTTTGGAAAAAAATTTTAATATATATTTCATTTAGAATGATCAAGATTTGTATACTTTTTAGATAAGTGGCAGGCATTCGTACCCGACTTGTATCGTTGTTATTTGTTAGCATTGAAGGAGTATACAATAGATAGTCGTGGAGATATAGGAGCTTGGGTACGAGAAGCAGCTATGAACGGCTTACATGTAAAGATACCTACTTTATTATCAGTTATATTGAATTTATCAATGTAAAAATCTAAATGAATGTTCTTTAAATAATTCCAGATGCTAACGAATTTAGTGTCACAAGCAAAGCTAGTCTCAGTATTAAACGAGGAGCTAATGGCAAATATTATTGGAGGAATTGCACAGCAAGCTGTTGAAAGAATTGATGGAATTCGAGCACAAGCTGGAATTGTTTTCAGTGCGCTTATTCACAGTGATCCTCCTCTACCGAACATTCCGTATCACGAGGAATTAAAAACTATTTTCCCTTATGACGAGTGTAAAGAAAGTATGGAATGGCGAATGGAATCTGCTACTTTTCCACGATTTATTAAGATGTTATCTTATCCTCCGTACACGATGAATCTCTTACGAGGAATTGTATTTAGTGTCGGAGGCTTAAGTGAATCTTTGGTAATCATCCTGATCGTACAAGCGATTAAATATTTTGTATTTTAACGTAAAATTTACGATACTCTTTTGTTTAGGTTAAACATTCTAGCGTTTCTTTATTTTCTTATTTACAAGAAATAGATGAATTAGGCCTGACAAATTTATGTTATAAGATTTTACAAATTTTTGAAGAAAGTCATAAAAATGAAAGAATGATTACGTCCATGCTGGCCTTTTTGGATCGTTTACTTAGTTCCGGATGTATACAAATTGTTCTTGATGATTCTAAGAATGGAATTGCGGAACGAATTTTAATACTACTTAAGGTTGAAATTAAAAATACAAGCAATACCAAGTTGGTAATCAGCAGTATAAATGTTTTTTGTCAGCTTTTGCAGGTATATTTTGATATTAAATATCACAAAAATAACAACATATTTTTAGGATAACTGGGCAATTTCTTGTTTTTAGATACATGGACCAGTAGCGAAGAGAGCATTTTGCCAACTGAGCATCTTTCTTTGTCATAAGTACAGGTGCATACGAAAGGTTGCTGCTACAAAAACCTACGAAGCTTTAACTCTATACGGAGAAGAAATGGACCTTTCGGAAGAGGAGTTAACTAAACTTTTGACTAAATTAAATGTTACCGATTGGGAACAACCGGTATCCGAACTTCGATCAATCAGGAATGATCTTTGTGATTTAATGAAAGTACCTGCTCCTATTGTGCAAACTAAACTAACGAACTGAACTTAATTATACATTAGGATTTCATTTCACTAAATTGGTAAGTGAAAAATAGAAAACTTCTTCCCTTATGATATTATGATTATTATATATAATACTTTCAAAATATAAAAAATATATAAAATTAAATGCAAAGAATTTCAAGAGTATTATTACTCAACGAAAATTACTTAAGTACCAGTAACTTAGCAGTCATTATTGTTATACAATTGCAGTTTTTCTTTTTCGAAATTATCCATATTAATTGTCAAATTATTTTGTAAATAATAAGTTAATAATTTTGCACTACACTTTTCTAAAATCCATTGCTTTACCCACCAATTATTATGATCAATCTTATTTGTTAACGGGTTTATTGGCAGTGGACATTCATAATGTTCCTTATTAACAAATTTCGTTTTCCTTGATTTTTCTAAATTTTCGCAAATAAAACATTCGAATTCTTCGACGTAATTTCCAAATTCATTTCGAAACCATCTTTTATTCTTTTCTAATGCTTTCTTAAGTCTTTGATTAGGTATTTCATAATTATCAATTAATTTATGTGATAAATATTTATCATATTCAGTTTCATTGGAAGAAAGTACGTGTAAAAAATTGGCCAAACTTATTGGATCTTTAAATTCCAACATTGAAATTGCAGACATATTATTTGGAAGCCAATCCTAAGAATGTTTAATTTCTTTTTGAGAATGAAAGAAGTCACATTATACGATTTACTTTACTTTAAAAATAAAAATCAACCTATTGATGTATTAAAAAGAATCATTAAAATAACAGTTTAAATCGTAATACCTTAAATGAAGGTGATCCATAATATATAGGTACAGATCCAACAATAAGGGGCCTCCACAATTTTTCCGTGATATAATCTTGACAGACTGCATTTTCAAAAGCTATTGTAAATTTGTAATTGCTGATGAAAGAGAGAAAATCCTCGCTATTTAATGTTTCAAGGTAATTTTCCTTTAGCCTATATTACAGTTATGTGTTATTTGTAGAAATAATATAATTATTACAATTAACATTTTCCAAATCTATAAAGTATCACCTTGTATCTAATTGAGCATTATTCAAACATACGCCATATGAATCTACGCGTATGTATTTCATTAATTCCGCTACATAAATATCTCTATTACTTGCAGTATCACAGTCTGATTGTATGTAAAGCAATGGTGCAAGGTTTTTTGTATGCATTAATTTAGTCTTTTCTTGCGTTGTAACAAAGTATTTTTTACCTGAAATATAAAAGTATTAAATTAATTCAAGTTGAAAAAACATGAAAAATATATAATGCAATGTAAAGGTTTTGATTTACTGTATTTATCTACTTAATAATTCTGTAATTCCAGGTAGATCTATGAGTGTCAGAGGTACATCGCTAAATCTGCTAAATGTTGAAGAGTATGTAAAAAGATTTAAAGCTTCCTGATGAACTAGGATTGGGTTGTTTCTTGGAGATTCTTCGTGTAGTAAACCCCAGGGAACTTGGTCAGATTTCCATGTTGGTAAATCGTTAATTTGAAAAGCACTACCATAAAAAAGAATACTCTGAAAATTAAGATACGTATTAAATATAGATTTACAACGAACATTTGTTATTTAATACTTGAGACCAGATTACTTTTATCTTTTGATGATACTGAAATGATCTATTGTTGGTAAAATAACATTGATAACGTCCACAATCTCTAAGTTTCCCATCAGTTCCAAAAGGAGTCCACCATAAAATTATAGGTACTTCTCCTGAAAAAAAAAATATACATATGTATAAAAATATGAAAGAAATGTTAATATTTTTCTAATTTTTATATCATTACTTTACACACATTTACAAAAATATTGAAAATTTAATGTATTCTATATACCTGAATAATATAATTTGTTATCACCTTCAATTTCAATTGAATACATCTGTAAATTATTTTGTTTATTTTCAAAATCATAAACTTTATTGATTAATAATGATATTACTGCTAAGTTAACGTTTAATACTTTTATAAACAATTGTGAATTACAAAATTTTTGTATGTTTATTGCTTACTTAACAGTTACTATAATGATAAGCATTTACTGTATTAATATTTTACTTCGTTAATTAAAAAATTGTATTTATAATGAAGATATTAATAAAACTTGTATTATATTAATGTCTTTCAGTATTTTTATAAAAATATATAGATATGTCAATATTTAATAGATTATACTAGGAGAATGCATTTGTTGTAAATTATTCTAAAATATTTTGCTGTGTTAGATATCTAGCTAATATACCTGATAAATTATTATACTTAATGTGACAGCAACAATTGTCATAAGCATAAAATACATTTTTTTGTGAGAGTATAACATTTTATATTTTAATTATTACTTTCAAAATTCAATAAAATATAATATTAAACTACTCTTTATATCATTTTAATCTCTTAAAAAAAAAAACTGCTTTATAAATCAATAATGCGACATCAAACGGCCATAGCTAAGTTTCAGGTTAAGTGTCAAACGTTATCTGCTTCCTGCAAGCATCCTTCATTTAAAATCTGACATTCAAAATCTATGAATTTTGAAGTTAATTAATTAAAAAAAAGGGAGTAATAATTGTACTATGACTGGAAACTTTATATGCATAGAGCTTATTCGAAATAATATATTTTATAAAATATCACACGTGAGCGTGAGTAAGACGGACATGGAGCGGATTATGGGAGAGTTGGTCCCGCATCTCGTCCGTTTCCTGCCCACTTCCTGTCCACTCTCCGTTCATCCGCTTCACGGTCGTATCGCGAGCCCCACTTATCCGCTTTAAAATTATTTAATTAAAACACTATTAATTACAATTGTTTGAAATACGTAAAGAAATGGTAGTGAAGACTATTAGTACGATTTAACTAGACTTAATTATATCTATAAATGTTATATTTAAAGAACTTTCTATAATGTATATTATCAATTTTGAAATAATAATTAGTATAGAATACAGTAAATGGATATAAAGTAGAAAATCTCCTTTTTGTTTTAACGTACACCTTACATGAAAGGTGCGCAGATTTTCTACAAATGATTGTAATATCCGTATAACTCATACGCAGGTGTATGTACGCGTGAACGCACATAAAACTTTCTAAGAATTTGTAAAGGCAAGTCGGTCATGGTTACGATCACGGTTGCAATCAGGATTACGATCACAGTCATGGTTACAGTCACGCTTCTGACTTTTCTTTGGCGGTCAACGAACTCTTTCTTCTCTTTTTCTACATTTATTCTTCTTTTCCTTCCATCGGTAACAGTTTCTTTAACGACGTTGCTCGATGCATCTAGGCTATCGCAAAAACACCTTTCTTCTATAACAAATGTACTACTTAGTAAAATTAATGAATTTTTTGCTTTATTTTACGATAGCCTAGTTATAATTACGCGCCATTTACACTTGATTATAAAAGTTATATCATACCATAGGCTGTAGTAAATTTATTTTCATTAATATACACGATAATTCGTGTTATTTAATTAATGATAATCTACATAATATTGATACTTTTATACCGAAATTTAATTGTAAATAGAAGGAAAGAAATTTAAAGCTGTTCTGCGTCCGCGATTTGCGAAGAAAATCAAATTAGTGGTAGCTTCTTGTTAGACACGCTCCAAAGTCTTACAATTAGTCTTCCTATACGAAATCGGATTAAATTTTAAGTATCACACTGATCTAAATAAAGTTTTCAATAATTAAATGTTTTAATCAATGATCATAGAAACTTTATCCTTTTAGTTCTTCCAGGTAGAAATATAAAAATTTTTATAAGTTTATAATAATGCAAATAACATTTACAGCTAAGCAAATATTTCAAATTCGTGTTACTTGGAACGAAGCTTCACGGAATTAATAGAACCTTTTGTTCTAGAAAAATAATAAAAATGCAACGTTAGGATTAAAGGGACTACGGTTACAGAGCAAGATATCTTTTTACAAAAAATTTGTTTGAAAATCGTCTTTCTTGGAATGCTGCACTCATATTGCAGACATCGTTCACATGAAAAAATATATTTTATATTTAAGGATACGGTAATCGAAATATTTTGCAAGAAAAATTTATACGATTCGGAACAAAGCACGTACCGTTTACTATTTTAAATTAACGAACTCTAAAATGCTCTTAAAAAGGTAATTATCATCGCGAAAGTTTATATCGCAACATAAAGAGGACGAAATAACTGTATACCGTTTAACTGTATCTAAGAGGATTAAATTGCTAATTACGTAAATATGTATATCTTTCACAAAAAAAAAGATATTTTAAACTTGCTACTATAATGAAATAATATAATATTTTTTTTTAATTACGTTGCATTGTAAATTTTACAAATATACATAGTAACCTAATCATAAGTATAATCTTTCTAATATAGTTATACATGAGCTGTCTGTATAATGCAAAAGTTAATTTATAGAACAAAACAATAAATAATACCTAAAATTAAAAAATGGTGACATTGCTATTGGGAAAACGGTGATCACAAAAGTAGGGTCGTCGATCTACAGTTCACGGTCCTTCAGAAAGCCGACAGTTCGATGTATGCTTGTTCCCCACCTTTTCCTCTTTCTGTATCCCCTATCATTCACGACCCCCTTATTAAAACAGCGCACGCGCGATATTCTGGCAGAATTCCACAGTGCCGTATGAAATTAAAGATGTATCTGTTAGATTTACCTAATTTATCGTACACGAAATTCTAACTAACAAACAGTAACCAACATATTTTATTGTAATTTTTATAATTCCATTCGAGTAATTTCGATTATTTTTTACATCCTGATTATTAAGAATCAATTGAGGTAATAAATACTTACAGAGAAATTCCTGTAACATCTCCTACAATGCTACAATTCTATAGACAGTCCTGAATTCTATGGTGGAATCAGATGCTGCGCATGCGTTGGAAATCCTGCGGGATCTTAACACAGTCGGAGAAGAACAAGCGAGTTAAGTCAGTTGCTGGGTATATCTGTGTTGTGACGAATATAATTCGCCGTTCGTGACTTGTACTTCTCTTGCGTACTTTTCTCTCTTACTTTTTCAGTGTTATTCTACAACAGGTATAGATCTATACGTATATCTTCTTTTTATTCGACAAGTTTATTTATAGACCTACTTAGCAACAAAAGAATAACGCCTCTTAAAAAATTGTTATTATATTGACCTTAGTAGGTATACACACGTATAATTATTTATTTTCCTATTTATTTATTCATTCATTGAACTTATAGATTTTAACTGTACTTATCTAAACTCGCACAATTGTTTTTCATTCATCAGGCGCTGTCACTAGATTAACGGAAATTATCTGCACACCCTCGGAGAAAAGGCCGATGTATTACTATTTATTGTTTAGTTATCTTTGTTGAAGATGTCCATTCGTTTTCTAATGTTTTCCCATTTAAACCATCTACGATGACATACCTAGAAATTTTAATATTAAAAACTTAAATATTATCTAAATCTTCGAACAGTTACTGTCGCTTAGATTCTAAGTTTTTTTTATTTCATATTTATATATTTTCAATTTTCTATGTTTCCGATTCCTATACTACTATCATTTGTCAATATAAATTCAAAATGAATTAAAGATACCCTGATTTGAACAAATGAAGCTTCACTCATTGTTCTGCCTTTCTTATCATATTATTGATTTTATGTTTACTGTTTAATGAATAAGTTTTGAATTTCGTGTCCTTTTTTTCCGTAAACATTTTAATTTTTATTTATATCGTTTCTGACAAGTGTAAATAGTTAAATATTCTAAATATTTGGACATTTTTATTAATAAAACAGCTCATGCGTTTAAAAGGATTTTAAAATTAGAATAAGGAATAAACGTACGATTTCTAAGTAGAAAACAAATCATATGTACTTTGCTTTGCAATTAATAAAGACAAATGTAGTATTCTAATACGAATAAAAAAAAATTATACTTATAAAGGACGAAATAGTCCTTTTAACGTGTTCCCGTTGGAGAAGTTGGCCCCACCCAGGCGGAAGCCACGTAGAAATGAGTCATCAAGTCGAGGGTTGAAAATAAAATATCTTGGAGAAAAAAAAATTTCAGGACAAAAGTAGGGGTGTTCGAAATTAAGAAGCGCGTTATCTACATACAAGTACTTTTCCGGTTAGGTCAGACATGTATGTTCGTAGAAGGCGTTTCGCAGCACAACTGTCACTATAAACATTTCTTCGATGCACTATAATTAAATATAGACGAAAAGTTATTTAAAATAAAAATTGTTATTTTAATTTAAAACAATAAATTTCTTATACATACCCTCACGATTAATTATCCGCGGATGATTATATTCATTGCAATTGAATTATTTATTGCAGAAGCAAATCCGTGGAACTTTTGCGGCACCTATTTCTAAATTATCCGTTAATTAAACCAATTCAATGATGCAGGCTAACGGATCTGAAAATATTGGTTCAGAAAATACGAACGAGAAAACGGGATGGACGGTAATTATGAATTATTACAAAATCATTTATATGAAATGAGAAATCATAAGAAAAATTAACTTTATCCGGTAATTACTTTTAGGTCGGATTGATAAATGGAAAATTTAAGTACCTTACAGCTGAAACTTTTGGATTTAAAATAAATGCAAATGGTTCAAGTTTGAAGAAAAAACAATTATGGACTTTGGAAGGTAGCGAACAACAAGTTTACCTTAGATCACATTTGGATCGCTATTTGGCAGTGGATCAGTTTGGAAATGTTACCTGCGAAGCAGAGGATCCTAGTGATCCTGGCTGTGCTTTTCAAATTCAGCTAGCTTCTGATGGTATCTAACAATATTTCCTGTTTATATTAATAAGTAATAGAAGAAATATCATTAACAAGAATTACTTTTCTGTATTAAATTAGGAAGTGGAAGATGGGCTTTGAAAAACATTCAGAGGGGATATTTCCTGGGTTCTAGTCAAGATGAGCTTAAATGTACAGCCAAAGCTCCGGGTGAACCTGAATACTGGCTGGTGCATCTTGCTGCTAGACCGCAAGTAAGAAACATTTCATGTATCAAGAAATGAAAGATTCAAAACTACTTACTATTATGATGAAACTACAAATGTAAAATTTACAGGTAAATCTGAAATCTGCTGGAAGAAAACGTTTCGCTCATTTAAGTGCGACGCAGGATGAAATCCATGTAGATGCACCAGTTCCTTGGGGAGAGGATACACTTTTCACGTTAGAATTTCGTCCTGCTTCGATAGAGGATGATGGTCAAGAACATTCTAAATTCGAGGGTGGTCATTATGCTCTTCATACTTGTAATAATAAATATCTTGCACGTGATGGAAAACTCTTAGATACCTGTACAAGAGACTGCCTTTACGCGGCCGAATTTCATGCTGGATTACTTGCGCTCAGGTTGGTTCTATCGATACTTCTTTTATTATTTTTTTTATTACACTCTTCAGGTAATCTTCTAATAATAAAACTAATATAACGAATTAAAGAGATTTGTATGGAGCGTACTTGGCACCCATTGGAAGTAAAGCTGTTCTAAAATCAAGATCAACGACAGTAACGAGAGATGAATTATTCTCTTTGGAAGAATCACTACCGCAGGCTTCTTTTGTTGCTGCCTTGAATCAACGATACGTATCTGTAAAACAAGGTATTTCATATTTAAATAAGTTATAGTTACTTTGATTATTGCTTTGTCTTTTAATGAAATAATTTTCTAAAATTTTAACTTTTCATTTATAACTTTCAATTCGTTAAAGTTTAAAATAATGTTAAAAGCCTCTATAGATAGCATCAGCATCCATTGTGGTTCTAGGAGTTGATGTGACAGCTAATCAAGACGAGATATCCGGCCATGAAACTTTCCAACTTGAATTTGACCGTGTAACTAAACGGTGGTATATACGTACCATGCAAGATCGCTACTGGAGTCTCGAAGCTGGGGGAGGAATCCAGGCATCAGAGCACAAACGTTCTTCCAACGCTTTATTTGATTTAATCTGGCAATCAGAAGACGGTACGGTAGCTCTACGTGCTAACAATGGAAAATTCTTAGCAACCAAGCGTTCTGGACATCTCTATGCTAATGCGGATTCTGTAAATGGACTGGACTCGGATGTTAGCAAATATTATTTTTATTTAATGAACAGACCTGTTTTAGTTTTACGTTGTGAACAGGGATTCGTAGGACCTAAAAGTTCATCTAGTCCAAAATTAGAATGCAATAAGGCTATCTATGAGACCATCAGAGTAGAAAGATGTGAACGCGGAGTTGTTAGATTTAAAGGTAAAGTATTTTAAATACATATATACCTATATACCTTAAATCGCTTACTTTACAAGCTTTGCTCGTTTCAGGTCAGAATAACAAGTACTGGCATGCGGACAGCGAAGGAGTAACCGTGGATTCTGATATACCTTCTGATGGTTTTTATCTGGAATTACGAGAACCTTCTCGTATTTGTATTAAACACATCGATGGGCGATACCTTACTGCAGGAAAGAATGGAGCATTACGTCTTGGGGAAACAGATTATGAATCTGCTACAAAATGGGAATTTTAATCAACCAAACGATCATACATAATCTATGTTCTTTTGAAACTGTTTTTACATATTTATTTCAAGGATTGATATTTAATAGATACTATATTCGAATTTAAAAACAAAAGTTAAATACATAGCTTATGTACTACTTTGTTCTTAACTTAAGTTTTATCTTTTTTCGTATACATTCTATTTCACGCTCAAATGGGAAAGGAATGAATTAAACGATAATGATAAAATATAATACGTGTATCGGGTTGAAGTTTCAAAAGAACATAGCTAAGATTTACTGCCCTTTTTATAGCTTCAATGTAATCTAATATGATATTTACAAGTATGGGAAAAGCTCGTATCAAGTACTTAATTAGGAGTACGCTGTGGAATTAATTTTATACGTCTAACTGTAACTTCCTCCATTTATAAAATATCGTATAAGACTGATCACTCACATGTTTACAGAGTAATTAACGATTACATCATTTTTTTTAAATAATTTAATGAAATATTTAATAATGATTTATTATTTTTACAGATAAAGTAACTGAAGAATTTTTTGACCAGAAAATTGAGATTTATTCCGTTGACTCAATTTTTTCTTTGGAATATTATTTATTTTTCAAGTTAACTAAAACACTTAACCGATTGGTAATTTTAAACGCAAAAATACTAATATTATATTTTTCAGTTCTTTTCGTTGTTGAAGTTTTGTAATAATTAAAATCGATAACATCAGCTGTTAAGAGTCATTATCAATTTTGTAAATAATTATTTTAGATACTTCATGATTTTCTATAATCTTTGATTAAGATATTTTATTAATTGTGTTAATCGTATAAAAAACGAAGTATAAGAAAATAATAATTTAACCAATCGTTTAAGTGTTTAAAAAGAATTTAGCTTTCTAGTCTTCGCATTAATATTAGTATTAATACTTGAATTTCTGTGAAACACTACATACACTAGACAGCATATTTCATGGTATGTCAATAAGTAACATAGGTTTTCAGTCGATAAAAGTAATCATTCCATACAATAAATACATTTGTTTTTTACTCAGACATATACTAACATAAACGCACAAATGTGTAATTAGTGTATACCTGCTATCTAGTGTATATGCCTCTAAAAAAAAAAGAATAATTGACGCAATAATCGAATCAGTCTATGTAATTTGAGACCACGCTTTTTCTATGTAAGAATTTTACATTCCGTGAGCTGTGCAATGGTCGAAACATTCTTACAGGTATTTTTCCGAAAAAGAAAACTACATCGGAACCCGCTCAAAGAAAAAAAAAAAAAAAAAAAAAAATTGAAAGCACACATTTTATACTGTTTGATACCAATTTTATCAGCATGTAATCTATCAATTAGCTTGTAAGATTTTTCTCTTTTTTGTCGAGTTTCAATATGTTTTACGTATATTGAAATTTCAAATTCGACACAAAGAGAAAAATTATTTTTTGATATGCCTTTTATCCTTTTATACAACACTTTGTTATCTGCTCTCTATTTTTTATACATAAATGAAATTAATATTAAGATCGTTATTTCAACGAAATTATCTGTAATTTATGTTATTTATCATACTGAGGAAAGCGGGATAAACTAAGCGCATTACATAAACAATAAATTCTGCTATTAAAAACATATCTGGAGTCAAATTTGTCTGATATTATCATCCTTATTTTTAATTATTTATTCATACTAAAATAATTGCAAATTTATACCACCTTGAAGTATGTAGATCTAACGAAGAGAAGAGTCATTAACTGTCAATTACTTTATTATACGCACTGAACATCACTTTCAAACATGGATAGAAAAGAGGTAATAATGGTAACTGTGGTAATTTCACCTCCATATAATCGTAAGCAAGTCCAACATTTGCTTCTTCCTTTGGAATTGCTGGAATTTTTGAATAACGTTGACTAAAATGCGTTAATAGAGTGAATTTTGCATTCATATATTTTCCAGCTTTTATTGCTTCGGATGTTGTTGAATGTAATTTACGTTTAGCCATGCTTTCACGACCATCATCCATGGTCGCTTCATGAATTAATAAATCACAATTTTCACCTAATTTTATCAAATTTGGACAAAACATCGTATCACCACTGAAACAAAAATATTCAATTGAAAGAATACTTTTTACCTCAGGTACACTTATTTCTTAAACAATTCTATCTCACCTATAAACAATCTTTTTATCATCCTTAAGGGTAATAGAAATACCAAAAGCGTGTTTGCAATGATTTACAAAAATAGTATCAATTTTTGAAACATTCATTACATTATACAATAATGATTCAGAAGAAACAGCCAACTGATGAGCGTTTAAATATAAATCATAATTGCTGATTATGATGTACTGCTGTGAAATAGATTCAAATCGTTGGTTATAGAAATTCAACCATGGTATTATGTAAGCCGGCACTAACAAATATAATTTTTCATCTGTGATCTGTTTTCTTCTGTCCAATAAGCCAATGAGACCTAAATGATGATCCGCGTGCATATGAGACACATAAACTGCCTGCAAAGAAAAATTTATATGAAATGATAATTATAGTGGAAATTTTGTTTATTTCTTATTTACCTTAATAGTACGTAAAATATTGTCACTTTCGGAAAATCCATAAAACCTAATTATCTGACCAAGGGTGCCTTCTCCACAATCCAACAAGATACTAGTATTTTCATCGATTCTTAAGAGAATGCCACTTGTATTTCTAACTTTGTTCGGTACGCTACAACCAGTACCTAACATTACAATTCGAGGATAGCTAGAAATATTAGTTAAATTAAGCTCTTCTGTTTTTTTCTCAATATTAGCCCTCACTTCCTTCAACACGTTTTCAAGCTGATCAATCTTAAGAACTTCTTCAATATATGATTCTTCTGCCTGATAAATATTATTATTAGTTAGAGGTGTAAATTCTGGCCGTATTTTAAATACTTGTATTGCTCTGGCTCGATAAATAGAATCCTTTTGAGTCTGAAATGAAATATTTTGTTAACTATATTAATCGACTTGATACTTTTTTCTTGCTGAATACTTTACCTCTTTATCTTTTTTAAAGCAATCCTTGCTCAATAAAGGAAATATTTCAGGATGCAACATATGCAATAGATATTGATTCTTATGAACAGCTTCGCTGCCCATACAAGTATTTTCATCATTTAAAACGACATGTTGCGTCTGCGACGAAAATTTTTCTATCCAATTTTGATATCGTTGATCATTCAAGATCTTTTCAGGAGTGAAATGAAATACAGAAAAGGCTATGTTATTTTCTTCTGATAATGCCTGTTGCTGATGTTTTAAAAAAGCAGGATGATTTACTAAAGAATCTATGTACTCTTCGTCGGGACACTCTACAACTAAAAAAATCAGATTCATATACATAGTAAAACTTTAAATTTCATTTTTAAATGAAATTTAAAAATAAACAATTTTAGAAATACCCATAAAAGTGAATTTGGGACCATCTGGTTCAGAAACATCTTTACTATAAACAACAGATCCATCTTCTTTAGTAACGTTTTTACCAGACTTTAGTAGATTCCGAATTGGACCATTTTCTATACCAAGTTGAAGACATTTATCTATCAACAATTTTCCACGTTTTGGGTGAATTTCACAAATATAACATACTATTTTTGGAGTGCCTTTGATCTTTTTCTCTCCATTTTTTACACTGTTTGCAGGTCTTTTACCATTTTCATTTGTATCATATTCGTTTTCATCCGATACATTTTTCTCAGTATTTTTTGTTAAGGGAACATACCAGACTGTCATCATATGATCTTTAAATGGTTCTGACTCATTGACAGAAGGATAAGTAATTTTGAGTCGTGGTAAGTTTATAAATGATTGAACTGTACGTACAAGATTTTCTACTCCTTCAGGGCTATGAATACGCAAATCGGTTGTACCATTATCTTGTGCAGTTAGCATTAAACCTGGGAGTCCCCCAACATTTCTCCAACTAAGATTTGTTATAAATATATGATCTATTTTAGATAGTTTACAATGATGTTCTTGGCATAGCCGCTGAGTTCCTTCACCGCAATTGAACAGATAATGAACTTGATCGGTTGTAAAAAACATAAAGGCTGGGATTCCAGGTGCTCCACTTCCAACAACCTGTTTTTGAAATATTTAGTTGTAATAAGATAATTTATTTCATTAATCTGGCAGTGCACACATTAATTTCTGGTAAATGTAAAAAGTCATAATATAAAAAATACTAACAACATATACTGAGGTTAGAACTAATTGTTTATTGGATTCTCATTTATACACTGCCAGGTTAAATCCAATCTATCATTTCTTTATCAAATATTTATGTTATTTATAAAGATTTTAATTACCTGTAACTTTGCAGAATTATTGAGAGTGGAAAGCAGTTTAAGCTGTTTCTTCTGTTTCATTATCAACTTTTTATATAATTCAGTTATGTTCGTTGATTTTTTTTTTAATTCAGTCTGTGTATGTGTATTTCGTACAAAGTATTTGCAAAAATACTTAGTCAATTGAAACATTACTAAATGATTATTAATACGATTATTATCTAAATACAATAATTATTATGCTTGTATTTCATCATTTCATTTCTATAACTATAAGTTGATTGCAATAGATATTTTTGTAATCATTTAACAATTAAACAGAATGTTATAACTGTAATAATAAATATACTGCAACAGTTACAAATTATTCTTTTGTTATTTTACATTTGCATCATTTTTCATTTATAACCTCATTATCTGCAGACTTCTGAAAATAAAAACGCATAAATATGTACATTTTTGTTAATGATTTCAAAATTAATTTTTCTAAGAATAATTGATTATTATTATTATAAATTGAAGACCCAAAACTAAAGGTATAATCACCGTTTATATATAAACACGTGTTATTAACCGGACCACGCTTGATATGTATACACATATATATATGTTATATATATATTTTATACATACATATATCGTCTCTTTCATAGTGTTCCACTCTTCTATATAAACGGGATCAAAAACCCCCCCATTTCTAATACATATCAGATCCCCTTTTTTATTCCAACGGTCATATATGTACAGTGGATCACAAAATTATTCGCTCACCGTTTAAAACAGAATACCTCATTTAAAATTCGACTAAATGACTTAAGGCTTTTTGAGAAGCTATAAAAATTAATTGCTGCTTTAAAAAATTACAGTTTGTCGAAATCGTGAAAAGAAATAGCGAAAGAATAGCGAAGAACGAACTAGTCACGTTCTTAGATGAAAAGTCGCGATTTTCGGAAATTTTAATTACTTGTAGCTTCTAAGTGCATTAACCGACCTCGATGAAATTT